AGAGAGAAGTCTTAGGAATGGTTTTGTGAATGTGGAACCTTTTATAACAAACAAAGGAGATGTTCTGAGAAAGAAGGTGAGTGTGGGAACATTTTATCCCAAACAAAGAGCTTTGCCCAAGTATACAGTGTCGGAGGCCTTGGCAATTAACTCAGAGAATGACAAGAGTGCTGTGTATAGCTCAGAGAGATCCTGCCCTGGGATTAGTCCAGACCAAGATGCAAACAGTGCAGGGCCTAACTGGTTTGACCAGATAGATATGTCCAAGGAATGTGCCAGGCAAAACAGTTCCACCCAGTCCTGTCAGAAATGCAGCATTTACGTGGATGGATTAGGAAAATATACAATCACTGACTGCCAACTGAAAAAAATAGAAAGCTCAGAAAAAAGGGATTTTGTGAGAGACAAAGGAGTTGTCTACAAAGTACATGCTTCAGACACAACAATGCTTGGTTGGTTCTGGGTGTAGTTGCACACTGGTCTACTTCGTATATTGTACTGTAATAAGCCAAGGTTTGGCTGTGCTTACAAAGTCTGTTATATGAAATCACGGTTTAGAAGCTGAAAAGACTGGGTTCACAAAACATCCTAAGCCCAAGTCAAATAAATGAGAGTTTGATCCAAGCCATGAAAAAGGTGGACTTTTTCAGAGACAGCTATGTGACCTAACGAGCTAAACACCCAGAGAAGCATTGGCAGCCCAGTTTTTTTTTTTTTTTAATCCCCTTGCTTTTACTACCCTCCAGGGACTGTAAAAACTGAAGATGATGTGAGTGGTGTTCTTTTAAGCATAATAAACCAGAGCAGCAGCACTTTTTATGAGCAAGAAGATTCATGAGATCCTTGAGTGATGAACTGGGCCACTTTCTAAAATGCAGTGAGTTAATTAAAAACTGAAGCATTAAATAAAAGTGAATTTGATTCAACTCATTTACATTTAAATTTCATTAAAATTAAATGTAGCTACTATGATTAAGTTCCAATTATATATGTAGTAATTTTCCATTTCTGTCACATCATTTCTGATAGAAATAGATTGTGGGCTCTGAATTCAGCTTCTTGGACAAGAAGTCCATTTGGCCTTGGTTTGATCAGAGAAGAACAAGGCAATGAAGTTAAGGGCTCTATTTTATTTTTAGAGAACAGGATCATGGCCAGAGTAGATGTTTCCGAGTTCACAATAGAGTTGTTATAATTTGTTACATAACACTCTTCTTCCCAAAAGCTTCAGACACAACCCCACTCCCTGCCTTTTAGCTGCACGATTGCCTTGTGAGGTAGGGGACTGAGCCAAGATCAACCCTTGAGCTTTCTGGAGGAACAAAGATGGTCTTGGGGGAGGGGGTATTAGGTTATACTATAGTGGCATTTTAATCAACTTCCCTGGGCAAAAGCATTTCCAAGACAATGCAGAGAACTGATGCTGGCAGAGACCACAGCTAAACCTGCCCCTGGCAGCAACACAAGAGGGGAATCAAACATCCAGGAACTGCAGATGGAGATAAAAGTTTAAATAAACACCCTTTCAATTGAAGCAGGTTAAAAAGAATGAAGAAATAAATAATAGGCCTTAATTATAAGGAATTGATAAAACTCTTGCCTAATCAAACAAACACAGGGAGAGAAGGGTTTAATCTCCTTCAGGAAACTATTTCAAACTTTGAAAGTTTGTCCTAGATCCATAGTTATTAAATGTAGGTCTTTCCTCAGTACAATGAAAACCATCTATCCCTTTATAAGGAAAAATTAATAATTTAAGATGGAAGCAAGTTTGGCCTTTTCTGATTAGGATCTCTGCATTCTACTTTGGACATATATTAGAAACCAATTTTTGCTATACAAAGACATACATGGGCATAATTTTACCTAGTAAATCTTTTAAAATAAATATGCTTCAGTCATGCAAGCGTTTCAGGCATTTGAAGTAAAATGCACTGAGCTGATTAACGAATTCTTGGCACTTATATATATAACAGTACATTTATGTTTTTACATTTTTAATTAAAATGCTCCCCAGAATCTTTCTGGCTACTGGCCAGTGCAAACTTTTAGGTATATGAAAGGAAATCTGAGAGAACTATATGGCTAGAAGAATTCCTTTTTATTCCCAATCAAAATGTGTTTTTTTTTTTCCCTTTTTAATTTGGGAAGGGGAAATAAAATGCTGATGTTTGTTCTTTGTTGTTGTTTTTTCTCCAGGAAGCTCAGAATGGTGTAGATGATTTTTTCCATTTTACACTGATAACCACCTAATAAAGCTACATATTACAAGCACAGGTAGTCTTTCACTTACAACCACTTGTTTATCAACTGTTCGAAGTTATAATGGCACTGAAAAAAGTGAGTTATCACTAATCCTCGCACTTGCAAGTGTCACAGCATATTCACTGTCAAATGGTCAAATTCAGGTGCTTGGCAGCCAGCATGTATTTACAAGAGTTGCAAACTCCCAAGGACACATGTTTGCCATTTGCCATTTTCCCAACTGGGAAAGTTAATAGGGCAAGTTGGATTCTCTTAACAACTACATGTTTCTCTCAGGAACAACAGTGATTCACTTAACATCCATAGGAAAACAGGTTGTAAAATCAGGTGTGACTCACTTAACCAGCTTGCTTAGTAATTGAAAATGCGGTTCTAAGTCAAAAACTACCTTTAATAGTGGCACACCTTGTTTTTTTGTATATACAGTCTTGAACAGTATAGATATGTAAGTAATGATATGAATTTCTATGCCATTTTCTAGCTTAGATTCTAGACCTATTGGCTCAGTTTTAGGCTTGTTTGAGGAAAACTTAAAGCAATGTGCCTAACATAGGGCTAGGCAGCCTGATAAATTTAGTATTTTTTTAAAAAGAGGGGTCAGTTTGGTGCAGTAGTTTAAGGCATCAGGTTGCCAATCAGAAGACCTGATTCTAGTCACTCCTTAGAGACAAGGCAAGCCAGGTGATTTTTGGACCACTCATTTTCTTTCAGCAGCAGAAAGTAATGGCAAAGCCCTTCTGAAAATCTTGTTAAGGAAACTGCAGGAATTAATCCAGGCAATCATCAGGAGTTGTTCGAAGGCATACACATACAAGCACACAAAATCTTTTTCAGTCCATCCAATTATGCATGGTATTCAGAACATCCATTCTAGTGATCAGCTGTCACAGTAATAAAACTGTAGTGTTCATCAAACTTGGTGCTCGCTATACTTTGAAAAATAAGCAGACTAAGATTGAAAAATGCTGAGATTCATTCTTCCTTGAACCAGAAGAAAAAGAAGAGAGTTGGAAACAATCACAGGCAATTGTTCCTGTCTGGATTTGGTGCCTGGGTTTGACAGCTGCAAATGGCACCTTCCATTCTTAGCAGACAGATTAGTGAAGTGAGATCCAAATTAAATTGGATCTCACTTCCAAACAAACAGGGATAACAAAGATCTACCTGGCAATTTGGGTAAAAGAACAGTCTGAAAAAAATAAAGCTATACAGGTAGTCCTTGACTTACAACAGTTCATTTAGTGATTGTGAAAAAAGTGACTTATGACAATTTTTCACACTTATGACTGTTGTTACAGCATCATCTTGAGCCGCAGTGGTTAGAATGCAGTACTGCAGACTACTTCTTCTGATCACCAGCTGCCAGCAGTTTGGCAGATCGAATCTCACCAGGCTCAATGTTGACTCAGCCTTCCATCTGAGGTCAGTAAAATGAAGACCCAGATTGTTGGGGGCAATAGGTTGCTTCTGTAAACGGCTTGGAGAGGGCTGTAAAGCACTGTGAAGTGGTATAGTCTAAATGCTATTGCTAAATGCTATTGCTATCTCCATGATCACATGATAAAATTCAGACACCTGGCAACTGACTCATATTTATGATGGTTGCAGTGTCCTGGGGTCATGTGATCACTTTTTGTGGCCGCCTGACAAGAAAAGTCAATGGGGAAGCCAGATTCATTTAACCACCATGTTACTAACTTAATTTAGCAACAGAAATTTTGGGCTCAGTTGCGATGAGGAGTATCTGTACTTACAGTCCTTTATAATGAATTGCTCAATACATTAAATTTGTGATGGGACTCTGGTGTTTAATTTAATTTTAATGGAACAGTGGGAGTAAATTAAGACCTGGGTTCTAGTCCCACTTCAGGCATAAAGACAAATGGGTATCTTGAGCCAGCTGCACACTCTCCCAATCCTAGCAAGCAGGAAATGGCAAACCACTTCTGATATTTGTCATTATGGCCAGTGAAGGGTAGCTAAAAGGAGATTTATGAGAAATTACAGGAAAAAGTCCCTTCGGTTTCCCCAGTAAACAGAAATGAACGAGTGCCATGCTGGAGAGTGGAAATAATAATCCAGAGCTTCCTATTAAAAAAAAAAGGGAGAAAAAACATTTCTTGCTTGCTTCCTAATCGCTAATTTGTGCGGAAGGCTCACCGACTACAGCCGCCGCTTGACAGGACTCCGCCTATCCTCCGCACCAAGCGAAGCGCTTTTGTGGCTGACTACAGTAGAAAAAAAAAATGAAGCTACTAGTACGTCAGGGATTAGGCTAAAAGAAAGCAGAAACAGCTGTGCGTGTGTGTACTGTTGTTATTAATATTACTCCGGATTATTACCGGTTTTATGTTGCTCGCTTCTCCCCCCCCCCTTACAAATGGGGAGGGACCTTCGACCTCCAGGCGGCGCAGGTTCACCACTACTTGCCACCTTTTGCACCATTTCGCTTTTGCAGCTACAAAAACAGACACGTCTAAAAATATTACCAGCCCGCAATGGAGTCAATCCGAATTTAGCTGGGGGAGGGAGAGGCTGAATGAAGGATGAGATGGAGGAGGGGGGGAGATCGCCTTTGTGGGGCTCCCCGTTGTTACCAGGATCTGGAGAAAGATGGTTGCCCGTTTCTCCCCCCGTTCCTTCTCCTCCCCGATCTCCTCCCCTCACGCCCCCTTTCCTTTCCTTGTTGGCAGCCCGGATTGGCAGAGGCGGAGCTGGAAGGGGGAGGGGAGACGATCCGGGGGGAGGGGTCTCCCTAGGGTGGGGGGAGGTGGTGTTTGCAGTCAGAGAGTCAAAGGCAAGTGAAGGTGGAAGGAGAGACCGAGTGGCGGAGCACGGGCAGGAAAGCCGCTGCAGACCCAAGGCAGACGAAGCGACGCACGGACAGAGGGTATCCCGAAACAAGGGGGTGGCAGACAATGTGGGGGTGGGGCTGCTAAACTGAAAATGTGATTGTTCTTTTTCCTCTTTCCCCCTCCCCTCTTTTCCTCATATGCCTGTTTCTCCCCAGATCGAGCACCCCGAAAAAATCAGGCAAGGGAAATCTGTTGCAAGGGGTGCGTTAAGCCTTAAGAGGAGAGCGTGCTCTTTATTAAGGAACCACCTCCCCACCTTTCGGCTCCAACACCCCATACCCACCCCAAATTGAGTAGCTTTCATTCCCGAAGCAGGCTGCAAACAAACAAACAAACAAAAGTCCTCCATCGCCTCTCCCCAAGTCAAAACAGCCTTGGGCTGTAGGGGGCGACCTCGATGCCTATGTTATTAATGGTAGCATTCCCCCCCCCCCTCCGGTCGCTCTAAGTCTTAATTGGGGGGTGGGGAGGGGGCGGCTTTCTCTTCCGAGCCGGAGCTGCTTCGGATTAATATCTTCTTGGGTTCTTCAATTCGCTGTGCAATTGACCTAATCGGCAAACTCAAATGTCAAATGGTCGGGGGGGGGCGGAGGGGAAGGAAACAACAGTCCGGATGGGAGCAGCCTTTCCCGCCCCCACCCAGATCTTGAAGGGCCAAATTGCCCGCTGGTTTGGGCAGAGGAGAACCTTTTCTCCTTGAGGGTACTGGGAGGGAGGGTATCAGGTGGGAGCGGGGAGGGCGGGAGATCCTTACCTCCTGGGAGAGAGAAAAAAGATGGGAGGATTAATCGGATTGCAGTAAAGGGGAGGGGGGAAATGTGTGAGCTGGCTTGTCTGGGTCCCTGGGGAAGAAGGGCCTTGCACAGAAGAAGAGGTTAAATGCAGGTGAGTGCGTAAACTAAACACTGCTGGATACTGGACCCAGGCTGTCAAGAGTTCCAAGTGCTAATGGCTAGAAGCCTGCACTGAAGCCAAGAGTTTCACAGGTTCAGGAATCCAGATGTGTGGGAGGGATGACAGGTGGTTTCCAAAGGAATTGGCTTTAGAGTGTTTGGGTTGGGAGCAGGATCAGCCCCGTAAATGGGTTGTTGTTGGTTAATAGAATTCATGGACCTCCAACAAGGGAGCTAGTCCCTTAGCATTTTGGGGAGTCCCCCCCCCTCCAATCGAGCCCAGTGCGTTAAAGAGCTACAAACACAAACAGCAGAGTCTAGTGCTAGGTTTCTGAGAGATTAGTTAAAGCATTTTAATTTGAGGGTCCCTACATTTCCTGGGAGAGGGCTATAAAAGAGCATGAAGCAGGAACTCGCTGTCAGGAGAACACTAAGGAGTGAAACTGGGTTCCTTCCACTTGCAGGGTTTACAAAAAGGAAGCTTGTGAAGGCACTGGGTGCTATGAGGGTAAATATGCCATGGGGAATCTATGAATGAAGTCCAAAGATTTTTATTCCTAGTTGAGAGTAGGGCATGGTGAGGAGATGAGAGAATGTTCCTGTTCCCTGGAGCCAGATTGGAGTGTGTTGTGCTGCTTGTTTTTGCAGCCAGAGGCTTCACGTGGAGGTGCCAAGGGGACTTGGCAGGGAGCCACTCCTTGTGCTGGAACCTGTAGGCACCTGGAAACTTTCTGGCACCAGTTGTCCTATTGGCCTGCAAGCATTTCCTGGTCTTGTGCTGAAAATAAAGGGAATGCTTCTCATACAAAGGTGTTTGCCTCTAGCCATGTTTCAGAAGGCTGTAATCTGACCTTCAGCCCCCTGAAGATGTGATGTAAGGAGTCGATGGCTTACTGGCCAAAGAAAAAGGTTGTGGGAATAAACCAAGATGAAAGATTGTAGCAGCAACTGATTTAGTCCACATGTGCTTCCATGTGCTCTATTTGTCACATAGTTTCAATTGTTTCTATTTTGCTTTTAAATTGGAGCATATTTTGTTAAGGTCAGATCTGAGCTGTCACTAAATCTAGATTAAGGTAAAGGTAAAGGTTCCCCTCACACATATGTGCTAGTTATTCCCGACTTTAGGGGGCGGGGCTCATCTCCGTTACAAAGCCGAAGAGCCAGCGCTGTCCGAAGACATCTCCGTGGTCATATGGCCAGCATGACTAAACGCAGAAGGTGCACAAAACGCTATTACCTTCCCAACAAAGGTGGTCCCTATCTTTTCTACTTGCATTTTTTAATGTGCTTTCGAACTGCTAGGGTGGCAGAAGCTGGGACAAGTAAAGGAAGCTCACCCCGTTATGCAGCACTAGGGATTCGAACTGATTAACTGCCGACCTTTCGATCGACAAACTCAGCGTCTTAGCCTCTGAGGCACCTCATCCCTTAAAAAAATAGATTAGGGAGCAAGAAAATTGGGAGCGGTCAGTAAGCATATATAGCTTGCTACAGCTTAGGTGAATCATACATTCAAAATTCTTAATTCCTACGTGGATGCTAACAGAGATTGTTATCATCCACCTTTGTAGATATGGGTTAGAAAGATGAAGTCAAATGGTGCTTTTAACATTAATGAGGGATAGAAGGTCCTTTAGGTAGGAAAGGGAAGTTTTGAAGATCCCAATGCTGAACCACAGTTCCCAGTATCCCTCATCTTAGGCTGCATCTTGGAAAGCAGCATCTGGAAGGCTTCAAAGATTCCTCACCAATAACGGATGAACTATTCAGCCCAGGATCAAATGTAATCAGCTTCTCTACTCATCTTTCTATGATTTGGAGGAACTAGATACAGTATGCATTGCTTGCCATGTAAACAGTACTTAATCCACATTTTGTGTCTTGTGCAACACTGAAGGTGCTGCTCAGACTCCTTTGGCTTAGCATATGGAAACCTTATTCTTTTGCATTTAACTGCTCAACAGGTGGGGAATGTCTAGCAAAGCAATTCTAAGCGGCACAAACTACACCTGTTGGTCTTTGGCCTCTTAAGTTGAGCTGGTAGCCAAAAAACTGGAGTCCTGCCAAACCCGAGGAGAAGAAGGGGTGGGGGCAGCAATTTTGGAAAGCATATTGGGAAAGAATGAGATAAAGAAGCCAAGAATCCTTAATGTCAGAATCCTTAATGTCAGGAAAATCTAATCTATTAAACTAGAAACAGGGCTACTTTTCCATTTGGAAATACGGATCTCCCACTCCCCTAGTCCATACTTTCCTCTCTGCCTTCTTAACAAGAAATAATGGAACCCTGATGCCTGGCATTAGCCTAGGCTTCTTTGTACAGGACTGGGGTTATCCACTAAGTGTAGAGTTGCTACATCTTGGAGACTGAAGTCATGACTTTCTGGATGCTTGCTCTTTACAGGCCCCATTAAGGGCCCCTCAGTGGCAAGAAGCTCCTGGGGAACTGGATGGCTGCCCGAGTCATGGTGATCGAAACAACTATTTATGGCTCAGGAGGGAGATCCTTGGATGGAGCCCAGCGTGGGAAGCAGACATAATACCTGAGGGAGGAGGGGAGAGAGAGATAGAGAAACAGGAGAAGAAAGAATGGAAGATTCCCTGTTCTTACAGGGCCCTGGGGAGCCTACCCCAGGGCCAAGGATGGAGCAACACTAAGAGATGGAAGAGAGGGTTGACTTGCAGCCAGGCAGAGGGAAAATAGCCTAGTTGGTAAGAGTGAAGGGGGGTAATACTTAGTCATTCATTTGCCTCCCTTCGCTTCCCCCACCTCTTTTTGCATTGCAAGAAGAATGCCAATGCAAAATCTTTTGTAGCATGATAGGGCATGTAAGCCTTAATATACAAAAGTCTCTGAATTATGTACTAGGGACTGGGAAGTAGAGATGGGGGTACACGGTAATCCATTTGGGAACAAACAGTGCTACATGTCTCTCATTTCACTTTGTATAGGAATGGGTAGATCCGTAGAAGAGACCTTCCTGGGGTTCAGATCTTTGTAGCTATAATTCAGTGTACTACCATACTAGGAGCACATGTATTTGTGAGTGTACAGTTCCCTGTTCCAAGTTTCCCTTGAGGAAAGAGGAATGCCAGTTCCATTTTTTTTTCAACTGAGAAGACTCATCAGGATATATGTCTGGGTTGGCAGAACATATGCGGACACACCTCTAGCACAGCACAGTTAATAACTTTGTGTTCTGGTCTTGTGCAAGTTCCTGTTTTGTTTTTTTTTAAGTTTTCATAACAAGACTGTAAACTACTGTAGATAGATAATGACTGTTCCACAATGGAGTTCAGCATCAATTGATGACCTGTAGATATCAAGATGTGATGAATGAAAACAGTTCCCACATCCAGATGGACCTTCTGAATTGTAATTAGCTGTATTTTTAAGTGGGGTATGTATGTATGATGCATGTTTAGTTCGGATACACTTCTGTATATTAAGGATTTGCACACAGAGAAATTTGGAATAAGGCTTTGAACCTCAACAATTATTTTTTAAACCAATTAAATGGCCAATGATGTAATGATTAAATAGGCTAGAAACTGGGACACCAACTTAGTTCTAGTCCTGCCTTAGGCATGATGCCAACTGTGTGACCTTGGGCCAATCACTCTATCTCAGCCCTAGAAAACAGACAATGGCAAGCCACTTCTGAAATCTTGCCAAGAAAACTACATGGACTTGCCCAGGAAGTTGCCAGGAGTCATTGGCTTAGGCACATATACACACAAAATATGACCAAAAGCTTATAAAATTGCTAAATCTTATGAGATTTATCTACAACTTGCAAGATTTTGGTTAAGGAAATTAAAATTTGTTGAAGTTGTTGATATTTTGGACACATGTATCCTAATGTAATATAGTACAGTAATAGTTTACATTAGTGCCCATACCAAAGATTACTGCAGTATGCTAAGAGATCATCAGTCATTCTTAGACTGTAAATTAGGAATCATTATTGTGAAAATGCTCTGTTCATTATGTTGCATTAGTGATATATGAGCATGTATGAATCAACTCTGAAGCAAAGGTAATTTGCCCAAACTGCCAAGTGAACAAAATTGATAGCTTTAACCAAGGTGAATTAAATATTGAAAAATAAAAACTGATTTAATTTAAACTTCCCATTTTGAAATGCATATGTTTTTTGAATAGGTCCAAATAATCAGATGGCTATAACACGAAGTATATAGGCTAGGTTCCACTTCATGTATGTAGTTTGTTTGGTTTTAGCTTGGTATGTTGTCTGAACGCCAGCCTAATGGTTTATTGCTCACCAAACAATAAGAAAGCATCTGTCATAATATAAGCCATGGTTAAGCAAATAATGGTACTAAACCATGTTTACATTGTAAACAATATACTAAACTATTATTTGCTTAGTTTTTGCTAGCACAAAAGAGTGTGGTGGCACAGTGGTTAGAATGCAGTACTGCAGGCTAATTCACAATTGAATTCTGAATGGCTCAAGGTTGATTCAGCCCTCCATCCTTCCAAGTTCAGTAAAATGAGGACCCAGATTGTTGGGGACAATATGCTGACTTTGTAAATCTCTTAGAGAGGGTTATGAAGCACTATGAAGTGGTATATAAGTCTAAGTGTTATAGCTATTGTTACTAACCTAATCAGGAAGTAGGTAAATCAGAGAAAGCTATTGATTGGTTTTAGTTTAATACTTTCTGTAATGTTTATGTGTAAACCATGGTTACCTGAATCATGGCTTAGCATAATATGTAAACTAAGACTGCTCAAATCAATAGTCTTATTCTCTCTTCCTGGGAGAATAGAGGAAGGAGCTTAAAATGGCTATATAGCATTGTGTAATATGTAAATATGTGCCTCGTAATTCCAGACACTTAACTTACCCTAGATTTGTCCTGCAAATTGGCAGGATATTAAATATACATGTTTGGAGCACATTCCAAAATGTATGGTTGTATCTGCAGATGCCGTACAGCTTCACCTATGTCTCTTTGTTGAAAGCTAAGATTGCAGCTCTCTACACACATGATAATTAAAGTCCAAAATGTTTTTTTTTCCCCTGCTGAAGAAGCCTTCACATTTTGAGTTTAGATTAGTGTTTCCAGTGGTAGGTTGCCCCCGGTTCGGACCGGTTCACAAGAACCAGTAGTAAAACCAGCGGGAGGCTCCGCCCACTGACCCAGACATCATCATAGGTAATCTGAGCATGCACAGAAGCTTCTGTGCATGCACAGAAGAGCACGCATGCACGCTTGCTTCATGCGCACACGCGGCCACAATGCAAACCAGTAGTAAAGCTAAGTAGAACCCACCCCTGAGTGTTTCCCAAACTTACCAACTTAAAGATGTGTAGACTTTAACTCCCAGAATTCCCCAGCCAGTATGGGAGTTGAAGTCCACACATCTTAAAGCTGTTGAGGTTGAGAAACACTCCTTTAGACTAATGGGTCTCAATCTTTTCTTCACCACAGACACTCTTTATATAACTTTTATTGGGTAAATAATATGAGTTGGAAAGTAAATGATCATCTTGTTTGGTAAGCAGTTTTATTCATTTTCATTGTTTAGGATCCAAGCACATTGTAATTACTTACATAAAATAGAAAACAATCATGATGTCCTTGGATAAGCACAGCGAGAGATTTTCTAATTGCAGGGACAGACAACCTGGTACTTTCACAAGTTTTGAACTTCAACTATTAATAGGGACTGGCAGCATAGACCATAGTATGATTGTAGGAATGGTGATCCCAAACATTTGGAGGGCTCCAGATTGCCAACTTCTACCCTAGCAATTATAGTAGCTACATTGGTTAATGTTGGAATCCAATAAAATATTCTCTACCAGGAAACAAAATGCAGGTGACAAAATTGTATTATCATAATACATAATCTCAGAAGTTAGGTCTTCACTAAAGATTATTAGTGAAGTAAAAAATGATTTATGCAGAAAAGCATTTTTGGTTGAGTTGCTGTCAAGATGTACTCCTACAATCCCAACCAGTATATTGAGGAATTGTTGCATGAAAAACCATGCATTTAGAAGACAACAAGCTGGACAAGGCTGTTTTAACTTAGCCACTCAGAAAATGAACAAAGTGTCTTATCAAATAAACCTGCTTATGTTTATATTTCAATCTGAATCTTATTTCATAATGAGTGCCCTTTATCACATTAATATAAACATTTGTTAAATATGCAACCTGCATGGGGATAACTTTTCTTCTAGCAATGTAAACATTTAGGAACTGAATGTATTCTTCTAGAAGAATGATGGGAGGGAAAGAGTAAATAGGGAATCCTAAGCCCTAGGGAAGACCTCTGAAGAAATTTGAACACAACTTTGCAGTTTATTGGTCTGAACTTATTTTGCTGTTCCAGATAGCGATTAAGATCATATTAAAATGGACCATATACTCAAATAAATAAATAAATAAAATAAAATAAATAAATAAATAAAATAAAATGGACCATATAAATAATAGGTTTCATGCATTGCTAAACGACTAATTCCAGTGGTGTTTGGAATATGCTGCAGAATTGTTATTTAAAAGAAAAAAAAATTGAAGAGCATTGAGGCCTCTCGAAATTATGTTGTTATTACTGTACAGCTGGCCCTCGATGTATACCCATAATGGATCCTGCCCACCATGGTTGTAAGTCATGGCAGTCATAAATTGGATCGTCCACATAATTAACTCAATTTTATTTTTTTATTTTTTTGTGCAGTGCTCATTAAACAAACAAATGGTTAGCTAATGGCTGATTTTGCCAAAAAATGGAAGTAAATGCCACTTTTTGGTAAAACCATGGTAAAATATGGTCACATACTCATGGGATGCTACAAATAGCTGTAAATGTGAGCCCGAAATGCATTCATGTGAACATGGTGGGAGACTGGCCATCAGAACTTCAGAACCAAGTCGTAAGTAGTCCCAGGAAGGACCATCATAACTTTGAATGGTCAATAAGTAACTAATCATAAGTTGAGAACTACCTTTATTACTCATGAAGCAAGTGTCATACAGGTCTTGATTATCTGCTGCCATCCCAGCAATCAACATTGCTGGCGCTGTCCCTCTTGCAGAGTGAGTCATGGTATTCTGTGATTCATGAAAAATTTGTGGATTGCATTGGACGTTTTTGTTCAAAGCTATCGAGGACTATAGGAGGCTGATTTCGGAGCACTTCTAAAAGTGCCTTATCAGAGCATTGCATTTTGAAACCTCCTGGAATATTGGAAGAGTCCTAAAACATGTCACGACAATCATTGAAGCACAGTGATTACTAAAGACTGTAGCTCACTGGTAAAGTACCTTTTTTAAAAAAGACTTTTATTTTTTAAAGAATGTTATTATTATTTTTTTAATAACAAGGCATCAGGCATATTTATAGTCCTTCCTTCCCTATTTTCCCCTTAACAATAACCCTGTGAGTTGAGTTTAGCTGCGAGAGAGTGACTGGCCCAAAGTTACCCAGCTGGCTTTCATGCCTTAAGGTTTCTGGCCCGGAGCCTTAACCATTACACCCAACTGGCTCTTTTTGTATGTGGAAGTCTGTGGATTCAATTTGTGGCATTTCCTGCAAAGGCCTTCAAATATATTTTCCATCTGCAGATGAGGGGAAAATGGATATGTAATTGTCAATATCAGTAGATAGACTGTGGAGGACCAGCAGTTCAGTTCAGTAGAAAGCAAGTGTTTATATTCCTGTCTCATTCGGCTGGTGCTGGCCACTTGCCAAGGTGTGGCTGTTTATATGAAATCATACCTGATTACATAATGAGGGGGTCTAGATTTAGGTGATCAGGGTTGACTTCTTCACCTCTGTTGCGTTATCCCCTATCTGCAGAAAAGCAAGGTAGTTTTCTGCACGATGGGGAACATAAAACCATCTCAACTCCACAGAGTTTTAAAACCCCACTCAAATCAAGACAAGGTATATCACTCACTTCACAAGGTCGCAAAACACCAAGCATATCAGTCTGTCTGCAAAACAATCTAAATTTTTTAAAAAAATATTTGGCCCATTAAAAGGCTGTTATAAAAAAAGATTCTATTTTTGAGGTGATAGACTGAGAATGAATTCAAGTTTGTTTTGGAGAGCAGCCATAAACAGCTTTTCTCAATCTGACACTTTTCAGATGTTGTCAGACCACAGCTCCAGAATTCCTAAGAGCTGTGATGGCTTGGGATTTTGGGAATTGTAGTCCCAAGCCAGCTGGAAGGCAGAAGGCTGGGGAAGGCTGATCTTAAAAGAGTATAAATGTATACAGGAAAGGGCTTGAAAGATGAAGCTTTGGCAGTTTTCACAATTACTTGGATTCTTTTATGCGTCCAATGTCTCACATTTACAGCAAAGATTAATGATTTCAGTGCTTGCTTTTAACATGCCCTGTTAACACTTTATATAATTATATATAACACTTTATATCCAATAACATTATAACACTTTATAATGTTCATAGATGTACCACAGTCTAGACGAGGTCTATAAGTAGCTAAGTGTTGCTTGTGGTAGAAAAATACATTTAATGGATGGCAGCATCCACGTCTTTGTTAGCTTAAGTTCAAAGCAATTGGTGGTTCATACATGCATGTTAAGTTCTTGATGTTTTTTTCTTTCTTAGGATATTTCATCACCTGGCTAGGTGGCATTGTCAGTTGTATTCCCAACTGTGCATATATCTGACTGACTTACCATTCACTTGCTAGTTGGCAGCTGAATAAAAGACTATGTGGCCACATTGGAAAGTGTTAGATATCCAAATCTTATCTACTTAGGTTAATTCCTGAATTATTCAACCATATCTGCAGTCCTCATTTGTCATTATCAAGTGAGGGAGAATGAAAGTGACATCACCTATCAATGGTTCACTAGTATATACATTTCCCCATTAACATATCACCCAATCAATGGTTCATTAGTATATACATTTCTCCCATTAACATATCACCCAATCAATGGTTCATTAGTCTATACATTTCCTCCTTAATATATCATCCAATCAATGGATCATTAGTATATACATTTCCCCCATTAACATATCCCCAATTGTCTTTGTCTTTTGTCCCAGGTGCCATGACAGAACTCCAGGAAGTGCAGATCACTGAAGAAAAGCCACTACTGCGAGCCCCAGGAGCACCTGATCCAGGCAAGGTCAGTACAAAGTTGGGGGGAAACCGTCTCTCCCCACCCTTCTGCTGCTGCTTTTTTTCCCTTCTCATCAGCATATTTCCAAATTGTGTCCAGTCCTGCTTCTTTCCATCCTTATCGGTCCTACTTCTTTCCCATCTTTGCAGAGAAGTTGCATTCATAACTGCCTTTTTTCAAAACCTACCTTATAGGTTTATCACTCTGGCAGTAGTTTTCCAAGTTTTTGTCCATCACTTTGAGCTGCAACCTTTCAAAACAGATGCCAGAGATTGATTTTTCTGTCTATGCCACCCTTCTTTTATTATTAGCTAAAAATGTCCTCTGTCAAGTTGCAAACTTTCTAGGCCCAGATCCATGCATGGTCAAATGCCTGTCTCTTTAAAGGAAAGGTAAACAATGAATGCTTTTCTTTGATATTTTTGGCTTGCAGTTCTCATTATTCCTTATCACTGGCCATACTGTTTGTGGCTATTTGGCAATGTTTGGAGAACAACTTGTTTGTCATCCTTACTTTGCAAGTCTTAGAGGCGAAGATGTAACAGCTGTTATGTTCTTATTGGAGAATGATCAAACCTGTATCTAATTCCACAGCAGCAGTAGGTAATAAATTATCATTAAGTGTATATCTAAATATAATTCTTAGCCGAGACAAGAGAACTTGAGATCTTCTTGTAGTTCAACAACCTTTAGTCCCTGCTAGGCAGGCTTGTTGGTGAAAAATGAAAGGCAATGTATTAGTATGCATCTGGAGAGAGACACGTTTTCTACATCGTGAAGCTAACAGTATAGATTTTATACAATCACTGGAATCCTATCAAGCATGATACACTAATATTCCTAGATTATTTTGATGCAACATTAAAAGATTAAAAGTTACTTGGAAGTAGCTGATTAGGAGAGAGGAGAATCAGCTTGACCTATTTATGTTCCTTTAACAGCTATTTGGATGTACAGAATATGGCAGATAAAGCTTTCCGCAACTCAGATCAGTGTTTCTCAACTTTGGCAGATTGAAGATGTATGGATTTCAATTCCCAAAATTCCCCAGCCAGCATGCTGGAGGCTTGAAGTCCACACATCTTCAGGTTACCAGAGCTGAGAAACTCTGGCTTAGATACATATACAGTGACCTGCACATCATGACTATTGAAGACACTAGTACAAAGCCAATGGGAAAAAAAGTGGCAGTTGTTTTTCCAAGCAGTTTCTAAGGGCACTGCCAGGAATAAGTGTAATCAATCTGTCAAGGTCCTGCTTCCTCAAGGCCTACTTTTAACTTTCCCTGGAACTTCCTTTTTGGTATTAAAGCATTCAGCCAATGACAATAATAAGGACAAAAAGGACATCTAATTGCACTGTGTTCTTCCAGTGGGGAATAGCAAATACAATACACAACAATGGGGCTGGCAAAGAATTGGACTTCTTATTGAGGGGAACCAATGAAAGGAGGAAAAGATCCTGCATGTTCCGTAAAATAGGATATTTCGACAAATTTTTGATATACCAAATTAAGTTTCAACTCAACTAAGAAAAATGCAGAAACTTTGTCTCCTTTCACATCTGAATAAATCTTCATCCTTCATTCTCCATTATCAAACACTAGTATAATTATTGGTAAAGGACAGTGAATAGACTTGATCCTTAAATAGCGGCATAAATCTCCATCCTTGCTAGATGGTTTAAATTGATTTTAGATAAGAGATATATATGAGGGTTGATTGCAAGATGAACATATGGGGGCAAAGATTTTGAAGCATACAATAAAACTTTGCTGAAAATAGTAAACGTTGAGGAAGGCGAAAATCCAGAACCCTGTGTGTTATACACCATTCTTTGATCTCTCAGCATGGAATAACATAAGCACAATAAATAAATGGAAACACGTGCTTGCCCTTCTCTGTATGTTTTAACAGTGGAAATTTTGCACATTGTTGTAATGTTGTTGGGAAAGATCAGTAAGTGAAACATGATCAGCCTGTTCAAATCTTTGGGAATTGCACAAACTAGGAGTGGTAATTTAAACTTCTTTGGCAGACCCCTTCTTCGAAAGATTCCCTATTAAAAGATATAGTTACAGTTAGTTGCCACCAATCAGGCTGAACCTCCTGACATGCCCTAATTTGTCTCACTGGGAAGTTCTAAGTCATTCACCTGGGCCTGCGAAAACAGAAAAGGAGGTACTTTGATCTTCCTGACCAAAGTCAGCATTGCAGAACTTTTAAAAAAACAACATTGTGCCAATTCTGAAACATAAGGTATAACATGCACTGCAATTCATAGGAGAGGTTTTAGCAAGAAATTCCCTTTTTAAATGAAAAGAGGGTTGTTGGGAATAAGTAATATATGAAAACTAAGCCAATAATCACACAGAGAATTCCAGGTAAAATCAATTCAGCCAGCCTAACTAAATTAGTTATTATCTGCCTATAGGCTTCAACATATGTTGGCTGTTTAATTGCAGAAAAGATGGATTGGAGAGAGTCATCTGAGCCTGATATTTGGATGTTATTAGGGAGGCTTTCCTTGCTACGTCTTTTCTCCTTTTCCATGAATGCTATTTTTATTATTACAAAATGTCAGGGGAAAGACATCGTCTTTAGAAAGGTTGAGCTTTCTAAAAACTCCATCTCTGATGTCACAGTCTAGCATGCCAGTCAGGAAATTATAATCTGGTACCGCATTCCTAAGAACAATGATTGGATGACAAAGATGCTGAATAATTTTCACAAACTATGCTATTGTCCAAAAATAGTTACATGGGAGTGGCATTTTTAAGAGAGAGAAAAACATTAATTCTATTTAGGCATCTCAGTGTGAGAGCACTAGATGTTTTATGTGTAATATCAGATGCACTTGAATAGCATCAAAAATAAAAGGTTTGTCACACACTATAGATCATGAATGTGGTGCTGTATAATATTTGATGAGGTTTAAAATTATCACAATATTGTGGTAATCAACAGCCACATATAATAATTGCTTATACATGCTGTTACAAAGGAAACCTGTTTGGAATCACTAACTTTTCATTTCTTAGTTCAGTTTCAAGCCTTTTTTTTTTTTTTAGTTCTATGACACCTATACAACTACTAAAGGGACAGGAGTATCTGTAGTGAGGGGAACTGTAGCTGGGGGGAAACACCACATTTATATAGACATCCTACTAATTCTAAGTAAGGCAATTTAGCCACTAGGAGAAATATTGCATAAGAATTAGCACCACTCACTCCCAGCAGTGGTTCATGAATCCAGGGCATCACCATAATTAATAATAGCAGATGTTCCCAATATGTCATGGGACATGGGACTAGGAGAACAGTTAGTGCAGACACACAGCTTGCCCAGAAAAAACAAAGACAGCTGTGTTGGTTCAGGAGAAAAAAAAATAAAGTTCAAAATCCATACAAGCAGGGCATCAAAAACTATGCAAGCTTTTGAATTCACCAAAACTTTAAACCAGGCAAGGTGCTACAAAGACAACAGCTTAAAGATAGAATGCATTGTATTTTTATGTGCAGCTGGTCTATAATCATACAAGCTTCACCAAGAATGAAAACAAGCAGGTTTTCCTCTTTGTCAATGACAAGCATTTGGCCTCCTCAGTTGAGCAAGTTGTTAAAAACATAAACTGGAACACACAAATTCTTGTATCCATATGCTGCAGCTCTACAGTGCAACTGCTTTCTAATGAATTTATTTACTGCTTGCAACCCATGCTGGTTTTTTTTTTAAGGGTGCCAACCGATGACAAAAAACCTGCACGCTCTGCTTCTTCCCCCCCACCCTTCCCCATAATTGATTCTTCTTCCTCTTACTTGCTACCTCCTTGCCCCCTGTCTGTCTCTTCCCCTTCCCCCTTCTCTGTGTTCTAGGATGCTGAACTGATAACAACCAAACTTCTACAGGAATATGGCCAGGTAATACTACCATGCCATTCTTTCCATTTTACTCAAAAGGGCAGACCCCATGCCTTCCCCGCCTCCCTTTGGCTTGCAGGAACTTCTAACTTCAGAAGAAGCCAAAGACTCTATCTGTGTCCATTCTTTCTGGTCTTCTCCCTCAATTGAGCAAGAAAATGGATACAGGTAGACCCAGTATTACAGCCAACACCTGCTTTCTTGAAGGAGGAATTGCATAAGTCTACCTTTCCCCAGCCTGGTATTTGCAAGGAAGGAGAAAGTTGTCAGATAGATAAACTGTAATGACTGATTCCCCACAAGGAGGGAGAAAATGAGGAAGATGTAACCAAAGGGTTTTTCCTCCTTATTTGTACTGGAAGAAAGAAGTGCAACTGGTCTGGGTAAACTCAGCAAAAGCAGTGACTTCTTTGTTCAGCAGGAGATATTCCTGGAACAGAGATTACAAATCAGGAACATTTTTAGTGCAGTCACTTTTTTTCTGGCAAGACACTTTTGCAAAAGAGCCAACAACAAGGTTTTTCGCGTAGCTTTGTCTTTGTGCTAAGAAAATGGCTTTATGTTACGTCAAATCAATATTATCTGTTCCAAAGATGGGCAAACCAGTTGGGAGGTCTGCGTTGGTGATTGCTTGGTTTTTAACCAGACCAAAAATGGTAACTAGAGGGAAATTATCCATTGCAAAGTATCATGCATCATAGAATGGGAGATACAGAGTTCACAGATTAGTTGCCATCAATCCAAGATGAGCCCAGAGCGGCCGCATAAATCTTTTATATAAATAATAAATAAATCAGAAATTCTAATCTCTCTTTTTATAAGCAAAATTAAAGTCCTAGGTCTCAAACGATTATTTTGCTTTATAATTGAGACATATGAAAATAGATGGATAAACAGCGAATATGAGGTTAGCGATGGCAGAGACTGTTTTTAAAAAGTTTATCATATTTTCTACCATTTATGCTATTTAAACTCAAATCTTCTCCATCTTGGCTGGTTCAAATATCACATTTGGCATACTGTTGTTTATTATTTTTGGCATAGATTGTTATTTGAACCTAGCCATTGAGATTTATAAGCTATGATTTATGGTTTAGTGTGAGGTGTGAACCTAGCTATTTGCAGAACAAGTGGCTTGTTCTGCAAATCATGGTTTACCACATTTTTTTAAGCTATCCGCAGACTGATAACAGCTCTCTATGGTTTCAAATGAGGCTTCCCCATCCAAGAGATTCAAAGATCTCCTATAGTTCATGTGGTTGCCCTACCATAAGATTCCCCTTTCCCTCAAATAGACCTATTTTGCATTCTCCAAGAGCCTTGCCAAACAAACAAAAATGAAGTAACAACTCTCCATAGAAATCCTAGTTTTAAGAAGCCTGTTTTTTATTTGCTGTTGCTACATTGTAGTATACAGTAATCCTCGAATTAGGGTAAGCACAGTGGTTTTTAAGTGTATCATGCTCAATTTTATGTCTTTTTTGCCATGATTAAGCGAATCACTGCATTTATAAAGTGAATCACACAATCATTAAGTAAATTTGACTTCCTCCATTGACTTTGCTTGTTGGAAGCCAGCTGGGAAGGTCGCATATGTTGATCACATAATCCTGGGACACTGCAACCCATTGTAAATCCATGCTGGTTTTCAAGTACCTAAATTTGATCACATGACTATGGGCATACTCTGACAGCCTAAAGCATGAGGTCAGCTGTAACCTGTATTTTTTAAAACTAATGGTATTAAGTCACAAAATCTCTGTGCTTTGTTCTAATTGTAGCATTTCAACTACTGGCCATCTATTTATTAGGCAGAGAGTATGAAATTAACTTTCTTGTTTTGTGGTCTGATCTTAAGTAGTACCACAAATTTCAACCCTAGCAGCTTTCCTCATCATTGGGGTGGCCAAATGTTCCAAACACCTTTGCTTTTGCATGGCGGCAGAAGCTTAAGCTGTGGGCACCAGCACGAGACTATGTTTATCACTTCCCTTTACCCCTGAATATTAAGCAGCTTTGAAAAGCATAGGAGCAGACTGAGCTGTTTATCGGTTCATTGGCAATCCTGTTGCGCCATCACGCACCTGTTGCAACACCTGCCTGTCATGCACCTAAAGAGATAATTGCTTAGTCATGAACCCCCTTGACTGGACTAAAGCTATCATGTGGGCTGTCTTCCCCCATGTTACACTAGGAATATTTACGTACAAGGTTACAGTATGGTTATATTACACAATAGAGATTTTTTTAAAACAGGATGAGAAAATCTACTTTAGATACCAATTGGTGATTTCTCTTTCTTGTTGCAAAAGTTTTATTACATCATCTAACCTTCTGTGAGGTGAGCCAAGCCCACGCTCCAAACTAGAAGAGTGAGCTTTAGACCCTTGGCTGCAGCAGCTTTACAAACAAATGCTTATTACTTTGAACTGCTTGGCCCTCTTATATTCGCATTCCATCCCCTGAACTCGTGGGTGAATCCAGGAGACTTGGCCCCCAAGTTTACCAGCTGTTCAAGTCCTGTTCAGTCAGCTGCACATTTAGTTTTATTTATCATTCCCTCAGACAATAAAGTTTTTGCTGCTGAGAGCTAGCAAAAAAAAATGTAGAGTGATAGCGATTTCATTTTAGGTTTGGAGACAAAGCAAATAATTAGCAAATCTAAGCATGTATACAAACTATCCAAAACAGTTGAACCGAAAACTAAGCCTATTTGGGAGCTTCAGAATGTTCACAGCTAGTGGGGGGGAAAATGAGGAAAGAATTAATGAGGGAAAAGAGTTTGGAGAAAACGATGATTTGGGAGGGGAGGGGAGGGGAGGGGAAAAGGTTAGAATACAGCACAAAATTTGAATTTATCTCCCATCCCTTCCGTTTAAGTATGACGATACTGTGCAAAAAGTCGGTTATGGCCTCCCTCTAAGATGGCAATGAAGCTTAGTGTTGGCTTTGGGTATTTACTTAGGACCAACCTTCCATTCTGAAGAGAAGCACAGGAACAAGCCAAGCCAAACAGGTTTACTGCTGTGGCACTCTTCTAATTCCCCATCATGTTTCAAAGATTATCATTTGAAAAAGGTTCTTTGGGGAACTCAGTTATACCTTAGATAGACAGAGGCATTCTCAGAGGAGGGAAGGGTAGGTAGGCTGTAAAAATAAAGTCAAAACCACACAATTGTGGCTATCTTGACTTTTTTTGACTTGCTCTGTGGACATCCCTATGGTGGAATTAAATAATTTAGGCAATTTCAGTAGTGCTTGATAGCAAAACTGGGTGCATTCTTTTGCCTCTTCTGATGCTTGTTTTAGCAAAGGAAGGCGAATGAAGGTGAGACTGTTAGAATTGCAGGCAGACCATCTTTTACTAGGGAGACATAGGGCCTTTATTAGCCTCACCAATTTTGCCTATCTATATGGCTTTTCTATTTGTGGGGAAGTGGCTTCCTTGGACCTGATGAACCCACACAGAAGGGCTGCCAAGGGACCTGCCAAACTGTCACCAGCTCTGAGTCTACTCATCTAGAATTGCTACAAAAGTATGGTAATAAAAACTACAAGCGATAAAACAGAATGCAGGAGAGGCTATAAAACAATCCAAAGATTAGATTACACTCCAGTCCTCTAACAGTAGCTGATGTAACACATCCAAAGGCAGGAGAAATAACTTTGTAATTACTCATGTCAACATGGAGCGGTTTTCACCTGTTACCTAAGTGACTGCTAACCCTAAGACAAAACTGCTTGAAGATATGCACGTTTTCATAAATGGACATGCAATTAAGTAGAGTGTGTATCTACACACTCTGTGTAGATAGGGTGTTAGAACTGCAACTTTTCTCACTGCTACACATTATGTATTCCAGTTTTTATCTCTGACCATTTTTGTTCAGGCTAAAAGAATAACTGACCCATCAAAAGGAACACTATTGACATATTTTTTAAAATTCCAGGGGGGGCGTGAGGGTAGTCTGCCTGTAATGAATATTGTTATGTGCCCATGTGGGTTGTGTTATAGATATAAGCATTCAGATTCCCCACTTTGATCTTCTCTTGATGTTGGACAAACTGTGCTGCAGGGCACCATTAAGTGCCAATACCAGAAAGTTGTCTGTGTAGCCAAATTAAATAAAATTGCTGTTTATTATCATGTCAAGTAGGAACTGTAGACCTTTTCAGAAGTTTCAGAACATGCTTATGCATCTTATTAGAAAATGGGCCAAATATTCAGGGTTGGGCCAAATATGCAAATGTTATGAGTTCTTCTCTTGGAAATGCTTGAGATATTCCATTATTTGGAATTAATAATGGAATAATTATAATTAAGATATGCGGTTGTTCTCCTCCAGCACAAATCCATCCAAAAAATGGATACAGATTGCCTATATACGCAATAATTAAGATACAACAACCCTGACAATCCACAATGCATAAGAAGTGATCTATTTGGCTTGATGGAACTATGCTCAAGTATTCAATACTTACAATAATAACCATTACTTTCTGGGAAGTCATGTCTCCTGTCAATTTATCTCTTTCCTGTGAGTATGTTGGAGTGAGCTGAGTCAACAGAGAACTTGAATTTACATTTCTTCAGTCAATCCAACACCTTATCCACCACATAAGATCCTACTCTTCTAAAAAAGAGGGAGGAAAAAGCTAGTTAGTTAGTTAGCCACAATAGTTACACAATACAGGTAGTTCTTGACTTATGACCATAACTTATGACTTATGACCCAAAATTTCTATTGCTAAGTGAGACATTTGTTAAGTGAGTTTTGCCCCATTTTATAACCTTTCTTTCCACAGGTGCTAAGTGAATCACTGCAGTTGAGAAGTTAGTAACCCAGTTGTTAAGTGAATCTGGCTTCCCCATTGACTTTGCTTGTCAGAAGGTCGCAAAAGGTGATCACATGACCTTGGGACACAGCAACGGTCATAAACATGAAGCAGTTGCCAAGCATCTGAATTTAGATCACGTAACCATGGGGATGCTGTAAAGGTCGTAACTCTGAAAAACGGTCATAAGTCGCAATTTTCAGTGCCATTGTAACTAAATAAACTGTTGTAAATTGAGAACTACCTGTACACATTGTGTTTCATTTGGTGAACTTCTCCAAGGTTATTCATCTCAATTCATAAGTTCCAACTCCTTTCTTTTTCTTTTGTGATCTCTTTCCTCAAGATACTCATTACATCTAAACTGCCTACCTGTCTTCTGAGCTGCCTTCTTCATTTCCCACTTTCCCTCCTTTTCTTGCCTTGTGTTATTCTGGTTCTGGAAAGAAATATCTCTGGGTGCCAAATGGCACAGCCCTTCCCTGCTTCTCTAGTTGCTTTTGAACACATTGAGCTCACTTGTGTGCCATCAGAGAAAAATCTTAGCAGGAAGGGCTGGGAGAATAAACAATGAACTTAAAGCAAAACAAAACAGAACTTGATTGTTTTTCATTATTGACCCAAGTCCTTCTCCGGGCATAATGAAAACTACAAGGTGGAAATGGTCTGTTCTCCATGATGAATTGAACACTTGTTTGGAAATGTGGTAGAATAGACAACATTAACATTACAGTTGACAAGTGCCAAACAAGACTTGCTCTGAAAGTCACACTTTCTAACCTGCCAAGTCCTTCAGCACACAGTGTATTCAAGATAGTCTTTACAGTTACAGATTATATTTATATATTATAAATTTAATATTTATATTGAAAGGTGAAAACTGGCATAAGGATCTTGAGCTGAACTCCAAGTAGGAATAAGCAGAAAATGAGCTATCAATTTAATAACAAGTATGACATTTTAACCATAGTATCCTGAAGGTTGAAATCCCTACATCTTAAAGTTGTTGAGGTTGAGAATTGCTTTTAGTCAAAAAAAAAAAAAAAGTCAAAATAGAGATATGCAGCTACAATATTGATGTAGTTGTTTTCAGTGAGGATACAGAATTCTAACAATAATAGTTTTCATTAAAATAAGGGCTTCTGGAACCAAGATTCCATCCCTTAAATGGATATATAGATGATGAGAGGGAAGCAGGAAGAGAAATGCCAGTTTTTCAGCTGCCTGGTAGGTAACAGGACAATGAAGCTCATAGAAGGGAAATAATGCTGTCTTTTACAGGCAGTCCTCAACTTACAACCACAGTTGAGCCTAAAATTTCTGTTGCTAAGTGAGACAGTTATTTTGCCCCATTTTACAGCCTTTCTTGCCCCAGTTGTTAAGTGAATCATTGCAGTTGTTAAGTTAGTAATATGGATGTTAAGTGAATCTGATTTCCCCATTGACTTTGCTTGTCAGAAGATCATAAAAGCTAACCACAAGACCCCAGGACACTGCAATTGTCATTAATATGAGTCAGTTGCCAAGCATCTGAATTTTGATCACGTGCCCATGGGGATGCTGCAATGGTTGTAAGTGTTAAAAACAGTCACAAGTCACTTTTTTCAGTGCCATTGTAACTTTGAACAGTCACTAAATGAACTTTTGTAAGTCGAGGACTACCTGTATCTGTGCTACGAGAACTTCCCTTCAACACAAGATGTATTAAAAATTAAACTTTTAATTAAAGCATTCCATGATGTGTTATTTTGCTTTTTTTTCCCCATAGCAATTTAACTAGACTGAACAATTGGAAAGAAGCAGGTGTTCTATGGATAAGTAAAATACATTTTGCAAAATAAGCTAATTCATCTGCAAAAGTCAGGATTTTTTTTTTTATATTTGTGTACAGTAATGTTTTTTTTAATGCAGACACTATATTTACCTAGCCTCGCATACATAACTGACATGACCCTGAGTAGTGTTTGAACTTCTGCCAGTTCTGTGTTGTCTTTTGGCTCCAAAGGACTTTTTCCCCCAGCATGTTGTTTGGGCTTTTTATATGGAAAAGCTGTTGTTGATGCTGGGCTCCATAGGAACAATTTTTTGTTTGTGTGTATAAATGCATACAAGCTTCATTTACATAGGATTTGGAGAATTCTAATTTGTTGGATCCCACATTGCAGAGTGAGTGCTTGTGAACATGCAAAGTTTTCTCAAATGCTTGAAGATGTTGCCTGAAGGTCTCACCAACCCTCACAATTTAACTTCTCTTTCTGTGAATTCAGGGTTATCCTCATAGCAATTACTCACAAAAGCCTAGGATCTTTGCAATCTTTCATTTGTTCATCTTAGTCTTTCTTCTTCTTCTACAGAAACACACAGTGGAGACACCTTATGGGGTTGTGACCATCACCATCCATGGAACACCCAAGCCCAAACGTCCAGCTATCCTCACCTATCATGATGTGGGACAAAATCGTAAGATCAGAACATCCACTTGGTTGGGGCTGTGGGTGATGGGAAACCAGGAGTTTCACAGTTAACACAATTCACCAATTCATCTTATTGTTTCCAAATGAGAAATCCCAAGAATTTCTCATTTGGCAAGGTCAGAAATTTATGTATGTGTATATACATGCAGTGTTGACTTTGTGTTTTATTAAAAGCTCAACTAAATCACAATTCCAAGTGATAGCTGAGGAAAAGGAATGGAAATGGAAAACAAATTATTTTGCCATTTATGACTACATATTGACATGACCTATATATACAAATACAAATGTATATTCAAATTATTACAAATTGGGGGATTTCATGATTGGAACAATTTTTTTTTGTCAATGCTATTATTAAAAAACTGGGATTTAGAAGCCCTTAATGGCATGCTGTAATTTGACCTACCAGACTAAACTATGAAACCTAGGCTACAAAAATACAGAGAGGGAGGGAGGGAGGGAGGGAGGGAGGGAGGGAGGAAGGAAGGAAGGAAGGAAGGAAGGAAGGAAGGAAGGAAGGAAGGAAGGAAGGAAGGAAGGAAGGAAGAATCTAAGTGAGATTACTGTGCTTTCTTCTTATCTCTGGATAATGTTCTACTTTCTTCTGCCCTCTGTCTATATTCTCACTTGGACAAACCTACCTCTGCCACTATGAACTAACACTTAGTAACAGTCCAGATCTCAAAATCTGATTGCTTGCTGATCTTTGAATGAAGATATTGGGCAGATAATCCTGAGTCTGCCTCCTGCGTGCCTCTCCAAAGCTGTTGTCTACTGCACACTGCAAAAATTCATCCAGCAGCATGCAATAAAATATGGAGATATTAAGGAAAAAGAATGAAATGCTGCTGGTTGAATTTTCCTCTTAGTTTTCACTCCTTATCTTAGCAGCTAATTTCCCATTTTTCTCCTTCCAACTGCTAGAAGAAATTAGCCACTTAATAAAAGAGGTAAACAAGAGACAAAGGAAGGAAACGAGCTGTTCTTTCTCTAGCATACATAATATTTTTATTCCGTCTGGCTATTTCTGCTTATGGGTTAGGAAATGTTCAATTTCCCAGCAGAGGTTTGGAACAGTTATCATTAAGACAAGTTTAATGTGGAGTCAAACACAGAGTTCTCTCTTTGGAAAACAGAAACAATAATGTCTTTCATAGGATTGTTGCAAGAATTACATGTAGATTTTTATATTATTTATAGCCTTCCTTCCACAATCAAAGAGTTTAAATCATCACAAAATGTGTTTGCTGATTTATTGAGGCGTTTTTGGCTCTTTCATAGCTTCCACTCAAAATTAGGAATACCAGATCTCAGTTGCAAAAGACCAGATAGTCATTAACTGACAGAAAAAACTTATTTTTTGTTGTCCTAAGCAAAAGTGCAATTCTAAGTAAAGAAGAAATCACCAATTCTATACCAATTTTCTTCAATCCAATACCATGTGCTGGGGCCTCTCTTAAAATTCAGTTGCACCATTTCTGGAACACTTCAAGTTTAGAAAATGTTGCTTCATCACAAAAGTACTGATTTTTGCTGTTTTAAAAAAATGTATTTACTCTTTAAAGTTAAGATTCCAAATTCAAACTCTAATATGATATTTTTAATATTTTTATATTTTCAGTATAATTTGCAGCCTGTTCTGCATTTCTCCCTCCACCCATTTGGTTGATTTCTCCCTTTATGGCTTCCCTCCTTCAGTTTTTCTTACATGGAAGGTGCCTAATTCAGATTTACCTAAGCTTCTGAATGTTATGCTTTCTTGTATTTTCTTGTGGCAAATACTGGAGCCCTTTACATATTTCCTCAATGTTGCTGAATACAGGATGATATATTTCTCAATAAACACGCACAGGATTGCCTTGTGAAGCAAAATATAATAGCACATTGATTGGCACCCAGGAAACTATGGCTACTTCCCAATAGGGCTGTCCCTGTTTTATTAGGCTTTGCCCTTCTGATGGCATGACCACTTGCCCTTCTGCAGCCTGACACCCCCTTCTTATGTCTCCTCATCCCCACCCCCACCCCAGATCATTCGTGCTTCGACACTCTCTTCCACTATGAGGACATGCAAGAGATCATAAAGAACTTCGTGGTGATACATGTGGACGCACCTGGCATGGAGGAGGGGGCCCCGGCCTTCCCTCTGGGGTGAGCCTTGCAGCCTCCGTTCCTGCCCCACCCACAGTGTTGGGTGCGAAGATCAAGCTGTGTAATGCAGCCCCTATTCTCTCCTCCCTTTCTAGGTATCAGTATCCTTCTTTGGACCAGCTGGCTGACATGATCCCCTGCATCTTGCAATATGTCAAGTGAGTCTGGAGGGGATGATATGAGAGGATGATATGTGCCTGTCAGGATAGGGAAGCAAGTCTTGCTTTGAATTTGATTCCAAAATGCTTCTTTGGAAGAGGTGAAACTGAAAATATAATATCTGTCTACAGCTTTTTAAAGTAGTCATGTCTTAATATTCTCTGTCTTCTTATCTGATATCACATAGCACCTGCAATGGGCAACTGAATAATCTTGGGGGAAAAGGTGGCTGCTTTAAAGAGCTGAAGACATATGTTCTGTTCATTCTTTGAGGCATTGCACAGCCCTACCAACTGGTATTTTACTGCTTGTAAAATGTAGATAGAGTAATTCATTAGAAGATGTTTTAGGGGCATCTTAAAACCTGATGATTGATTATAGACTAAGTTGTCATGATGAGCCCCATGTCTAAATGAGTGTTTAAAATTTGAGTAATTACACTTATAGGTAAGACTACAGTTTCATTTTTCTTAACAGAGGGCTATTTTAAAATAAGTCTGTTTTAGGGCTTATATTTCAGAATGACTGAAACTGAACCAGATAAATGGGTATCTGAAGCAACAAAAAAAAAATCTGCAGCCATGAGGTTTCTCAGGCTGTAGATGCCAACCCTTATTATGTAAAGAAATAAATATAGACAATAGGCGCGAGAGAGAGAGAAATGTAAACAGTGCCGCTAAAATTACACAAGATGAAAAACGCAAACTCTGACATTTCAAACTGCAAATACTAAAAAAAGTACAAAATCAGCAACTTGAAAACAAATTTTGGAAACTGTTTCTCTACCTGAACCTCACTGAAGAATCAAGGCTGCCAAAACAGCCCTTTGCAACCTCTTTTTTTCCTTTCCACAGCTTCACCAGCATCATTGGAATTGGAGTTGGAGCTGGAGCGTATATCTTGGCACGCTACAGTGTAAGTGGAATGGGGCCTAGCATCTGTCATGCAGGCAAACATGTTCTGCATGCCAAAGGGGCATGGTCAGATCCTTAAGTCAGGGTGACTTGATCATCTCTGAAAGTCACAAGCAAATCAGGCCTCTGAGTGGCTGGCTTCTGGGTTCCTGACTATAACAGGACTAATGGGGGAAAACAATTCACAATGAGGTTTTAGTTGTTTGAGCTTTAACAGATTAACAGAGTTGGAAGGGACATTGTAAGTCATCTAGTCCAACCCAAGCAGGAGGCCCTACATCATTTCTGACAAATAACAATCCAATCTCTTCTTGAAAGCCTCCAGTGATAAAGCTCCCACACCTTCCAAAGGCAAGCTGTTCCATTGACTGATTGTTCTCACTGTCAGAAAATTTCTCCTTATTTCCAGGTTAAATCTCTCCTTGTTCAGTTTCTATCCATTATTCCTTGTCTGGCCTACAGGTGCTTTAGAAAATAGCTTGACCCCTTCCTCTCTGTGGCAGCCCCTCAAATATTGGAAGACTGCTATCATGTCTCCCCAGTCCTTCTCTTTACTAGATTAGCCATGCCCAGTTCCTGTAATCGTTCTTCATATGTTTTAGTCTCCAGTCCCCTAATCATCCTGGTTGCTCTTTTCTGCACTTTTTCTAAAGTCTCAGCATCTTTTATATAGTGTGGTGAGCAAAACTGGATGCAGTACTCTAGGTGTGGTCTTACTAAGGCTTTATAGAGTGGTATTAGTACCTCACTTGATCTTGATTGTATCCCTCTGTTAATGCAACTTAGAATTGCATTGGTTCTTTTGGCTGCTGCTGCACACTGCAGCACACATATTTAGCTGGCTGTCCACTAAGACTCCAAGATCCCTCTCACAGTTACTGCTATTAAGCCTGGTTTCACCCAGTCTATATGTGTATTTTAGATTTTTCTTGCCTAAGTGTAGGACTTTACTTTTCTCTACATTGAATTTCATTTTTTAGATAGGGCCCAGTATTCAAGTCTGTCAAGATCCATCTCAATCTTGAGCCTATCTTCTAGGGTGTTGGCTATTCCTGCCAGCTTAGTGTCACATGCAAATTTGATAAATTCCCCTTCTATTCCCTCATCTAAGTCATTTATGAAGATATTGAAGAGTACTGGGCCTAAGACGGAACCTTGTGCCCCCCCCCCCGCTTATTTCCCTCCATGGATGGGTCATCAAGAGAAGATTCTCCAATTATCTTTCATGTTCTCCTTGAGCTGACATGCATAATTTCCCACTCTAAAAAAAATACAACAACCATTTGAGGTAGAGTACATATTGAGTTTCATGATTAAGTAGGGAATATGTGAAACTAGGTTGCCCCAGGCCTAATTTGATTCACTTAACACTGCCTCCTCTATACATAAATGTTGTTGCAATAAAACAGCGTCATTCTAGTGTTTAAGAGATTTTGATAATAGGCATGCATAGCGGGGAAGAGAGTAGAAAAAAATGATCTAGTTGAAGAATTTTTCCTGTCAAAATCAAAAAGCAGAAAAAGACCAGTGCTCTATCGTAGGTGCTTCATCTTCTGCCTATCCCAAGTCTCAAGTTGCTTCTGTTAACTGATAATAACATATCTTCTGCTAAACATCTGTATAATTTCGAGACTTAAGAAAGTTTGATTATCACAGACCACAATTCTTGGTAAACTTATTTTCCTTTCTCCATCTCTTTTAATACATTTTTTAAAAATTCGCTTAGTTGTTTTCTGTGATGCCCCAAATCATAGTAACCAAAGCCACCTGTTCTAAACTGGCAACCACACTGCATCCTGTGTGGTTGTAGTCTATTGTAGGTACATTAACTACCATACACTTTCTGAGAAGTAAACCAATAGTGCTTCCCTTTGTCCATACTGAATCTTCAATTGATCTGTTTCAATAAAGAATCCCACATGGTTCCATGACAGTGAAAAAATATTTCCATTTTCCCCTGTTGTTTTTAATATAGTTATTTTTGGGGTAGAACAATGGCTCAGTAGTTAAGACATTGGACTTCTCAGCTGGAAAGTCAACAGCCCAGGTTTGAGAAGCCAGCATTGTGTCATGGGGTAACTGCCCGTCTTTTGTCTAGCTCCTGCCCACCTAACTGTTCAAAAGCATGCAGATGCTAGTAGATAAATAGGTACCACTTTACTGGGGAGAAAACAGTGCTTTGTTATGTCATGCTGTGACCACAGAAATGTCTTCAGACAGCATTGGGTCAACAGCCTTGAAACAGAGATGAGCACCACTCCCTATAGTCAGCAATGACTAGCGGAGTAAAATCTGCAGGGACTCCTTTGTTTTCATTTTTTCCTTTCTGTTGTTTTTACTTTGATAAAACACAACTCTTCTCTGCCAGTTGTCTCCCCCATTGCCCCCCCCATTGTCATCAGCACCCTAGCCCAGAAATATATTGTTGCGGCCTTCAAATATTTTGAATTATAATTCCTAGTGTCCTGCTGATGGAAGTTAGGGTTTCAAAACATTGGAAGATACTAAACTATATAACTGTAAAGTGCCGGGGAAAACAGGAGATTCAGGCAGTTCAAATGAGTATAAAGATTTTTTGCAAGCTTAACCTATCTACAAGAACCTGAACAACATGTTTTCTCTGATCAATAGATAAATCTCATGATAATAATCCAAATTTGTCCACCTTGTTGGACTTTGGCATTTATTATATGTAACCAAGATCTAGTGGCCTTAATGTTTTCCATAAATGTGGTGTCAACTCGGGCCATACGGTGAGTTTATGGTTCAACATAGGAAGTGGATTAATTCAATAATGAGGTTAAGCATGTTACATGAACACAGCCAGTGTACATTGAAGTTTGGACATGGATAAGAACCATGCAAATTGAATACTACATCTCTTTCAATAGCCTACTTCTACTGTATATTTTGGCCAGGTCTGAAAATATACATGAGGAATGTGATGAATTACCCTAAAATATGCTTGAGCTGTGTCATTGCAGTTAAAGTATAATCATGGTTATGGTTATTTCTATTTGTTCCTGTTTTCCCACAGCTCTCCCATGCAGACACTGTGGAGGGTTTGGTTCTGATCAACATTGACCCCAATGCCAAAGGCTGGATGGATTGGGCTGCTCATAAGGTAAGACTGAGGAAGATGCTCATAGCTGTGTGTCAACAAACTGTACATAGGACTCTGTTATAGCAAATAATTAGAGCAAGTAATTAGAGCACGTTATAGTAAGTAATTAAAATGACCATCAGTGTTTGATTTAAAGAAGTGAGGGGCAACCTGCTACTCCCAAAATCTTTGCACTTTGCAAAAAACCTAAATATTTTTTTCATTTATTCTCTAAAAGATTTAGTTATTTTGTCCAGGATCTGAAACACCTATATGTTTATCTGTTATACTTTTGCTAAAATTGTGGTATCAGTACAACCATCAGTACATGTTGGCCAAATAGCTTCAAGAGAAGATCAGCAATTGCTCATGTGTATGTGTTACTTCACTGCTGAGATTTAGAGACTAAAAATAGTTTATTGTTTTCACATATGGATATATTGATAGATGGGGTCGAAACTTTAGCATATTTCATCAAGTAATAGGAAACTCCCAATTCTTCCAATTTTTAAGTTAAACCATTTAAATGCTCATCTCTGACTCTTCACAACAGTTTCTTGATAAATTTAAATACATAGTTGCTTTAAATACACACAAACAAAATTGGCACGTTTCTCATATATATTTCATTATTTCTTAAATCTAAACATAATCCATTTCCCCTTCCCAAAAAGCAAATCACTTAACATCTAGGCAAATTAACCATACATTATTATGACCTTGTTTCCCAAGACGCCTGGAGAGCGGTTGGAGGGCCAGTCTCGCTGAATCTGATCGAACACTGGTAAGGTCGCATATTAAGGCCTACCTAGTGGCGATAAAGACGGCAAAGTTTAATTACTTTTCCGCCTCTATTGCGTCATCAGGGAATTGTCCGGCCACCCTGTTTAGGGTGACCCACTCCCTGTCCCATCCGGGAGTGCGGGAGGATCTTTGGAAGGCAGGGCGGAGGATTTTGGACAATACCTGTATGACAAAATCGCTCAGATCCGGGGGGATTTGAACTCTGACTGGATAGATCAGGGCAGGGTGACGAGGAATAGTCTTGAGAATGTTATCTGGGAGGAGTTTGACGCTGTGACTCCCGATGATGTGGACAGGATTTTGGGGAGACTTAGTGCGGCCACTTGTTTACTGGACCCGTGTCCCTCCTGGTTGGTACTGGCTTCCCAGGAGGTTACACGAGGCTGGCTCCAGGGTGTTATCAACGCTTCGCTGAGTGAGGGCCACTTCCCCGCTGCCTTGAAAGAGGCAGTGGTGAGGCCTCTCCTCAAGAAGCCGTCCCTGGATCTGGCAATATTGGCCAACTACCATCCTGTCTCCAACCTTCGCTTCATGGCGAAGGTTGTTGAGAGTGTGGTCGCGCGACAGTTCCCACAATTCCTGGAGGAAACATCTTATCTAGATCCGTTCCAGTCGGGTTTCAGGTCTGGGCACAGCACGGAAACGGCATTGGTCACATTGGTTGATGATCTCTGGAGGGCTCGGGACAGGGGCTGCTCCTCTGTTCTGGTCCTGTTAGATCTCTCAGCGGCTTTTGATACCATTGACCATGGTATCATGCTGCACCAGCTGGAAGAGTTGGGGGTGGGAGGCACCGTGTTGCGGTGGTTCTCCTCCTTTCTCTCCGACCGGTCGCAGTTTGTGTTGGCAGGGGTGCAGAGGTCGACCTCGAGGCCTCTCATCTGTGGAGTGCCGCAGGGATCGGTCCTCTTGCCCCTTCTGTTCAACATTTATGTGAAGCCACTGGGCGAGATCATCCATGGCTTCGGGATGAGATACCACCAGTACGCTGATGACACCCAGCTGTACATCTCCACCCCAGGCCACCCCAATGATGCCCTTGAAGTGATGTCCCAGTGCCTGGAGGCTGTGCGGATCTGGATGGGGAGGAACAGGCTCAAGCTCAACCCTTCCAAGACTGAGTGGCTGTGGCTCCCAGCATCCCGATATAGTCAGTTGACTCCATCACTGACTATTGGGGGCGAGTCTTTGGCCCCCACAGAAAGGGCTCGCAATCTGGGAGTCCTCCTGGATATGCAGCTGTCCTTGGAGGAACATCTGATGGCTGTAACCAGGGGGACCTTTTGTCAGGTTCGCCTGATTCGTCAGTTGCGGCCCTTTCTTGATCGGGATTCCCTGTGCACAGTCACTCATGCCCTCGTCACCTCTCGCCTTGACTACTGCAATGCTCTCTACATGGGGCTCCCCTTGAAGAGCACCCGGAGGCTCCAACTGGTCCAAAATGCAGCAGCGCGGGTAGTGATGGGAGCAGCATGGCGCTCCCATGTAACACTGCTCCTGCACGAGCTGCACTGGCTCCCAGTGGTCTTCCGGGTGCGCTTCAAGGTGTTGGTTATCACCTTTAAAGCGCTCCATGGCATCGGGCCTAGCTATCTCCGAGATCGCCTGCTGCTACCGATGACCTCCCATCGTCCCGTGAGCTCCCACAGAGAGGGCCTCCTCAGGGTGCCATCAGCCAATCAATGTAGGCTGGTGACCCCCAGGGGGAGGGCCTTCTCTGTGGGGGCATCTACCCTCTGGAATCAGTTGCCCCCAGAGATAAGGAGAATCCAAGACCTTAGTGCCTTCTGCCGTGCCCTTAAAACCCACTTTTTCCAGCAAGCCGGGCTGGCTTAAGAAGAAATTTTAAATGTTTTAATTGGTTTGTATTTTTAATTTTGGGACAAATTTATATATATTTTAATTGTTTTTTTAATATTTGTATTTCATGTTTTTTAATTCTGGCTGTACACCGCACTGAGTCCTCAGGGAGAAGGGTGGTATATAAATTTAAACAAACAAACAAACAAACAAACAAACAAACAAACAAACAAACATAAATAAATAAATAAATAAATAAACAAACTCTTTGAGAGTTGGGGGGTGGGGAGAGATTAGAAAGTATAGAAGTGGAAAAAATATATAAAGGACAACTTCTATATTGCAGGGATTTCAAACATGATTCAAAGGTACAATCAAATACAATTTGCATATATTCAAAAGCATCTTGATGGTACATTGCATACTGGCAGGATCAATCTTAGAGTAATTCTTGAAGGAAGATGGGTGGCATATAAATTAAACAAACAAACAAATTTCTTGAGCACTGTTTAAACTGTGAAGGCATAAGTCAATGTCTCTAGTTTCAAAGACCTTCACATTTTCCTGTTGTACAGGTAGTTCTTGACTTATGTTCATTTAGTGGCCATTCAAAGTTACAATAGCACTAAAAAAAGTGACTTATGAGCACTTTTCACACTTATGACCATTGCCACATCCCTGTGGTCATGTGATTTGCATTCTGATGCTTGACAACTGACTCACATTTATCTGATAGTTGCGGTGTCCTGGAATCATGATCCCCTTTTGCGACCTTCTGACAAGCAAAGTCAATGAGAAAACCAGATTCACTTAACAACTGTGTTAGTAATTTAACAACTGCAGTGATTCATTTAACAAATGCATCAAGAAAAGTCGGAAAATGGGGCAAAACTCACCTAACAAATTTCTCATTTAGCAACATTTTTGGATTCAATTGTGGTCATAAATTGAGGACTACCTGTACAGATATCAGTTTTGCCCTTTCAGATTAATGCTTGTTTGTTCTCTAATCATATTGTTTTTTTTCTTAAGCTTACCGGCCTCACCTCCTCCATTTCTGAGATGATCCTAGGACATCTCTTCAGCCAGGTAAGCATGAGCAGTAGGAGAAGAAAGAAATGCTGGATGGTACATAAAGAAGCAGAATAAGATAGTTAGTCTCGCTTCACTTCCAGGTCCCTGGTAATACTAGGACTGGCTTTTTAAGAAATGCACGCATTGAACTGTATTACTTTACTTCAAAAGTTAATATATAAGAGACTGCAGGTTATTTTCTAATGCAGCTATGCTAACTGGCAATTTGAATGATTCTTGGGGAACATTTGATATTATACTGAAAAAATTTAAAAGTAGGAAACAAGAAAATAATTCCTCTTTTTTTTCAATTGTGGCAAGATCTGTGGATTTCAACTCCTGCTGACTAGGGAATTCTGGGAGTTGAAATCCATACATCTTAAAGTTGCCAAGACTGAGAAACATTGCTTTAGAAGTTTAGTTTTTTTTTTCTATTATCCTCATTCCTTGTTCTATTTGTAATATTTATTTTCCAAGAGAAATGGCATTGATATGGAGTTATATGACAAATCATAATTACAGTTGGATTGAGAGAAAATGGTAGAAGAAACCTGGGTCTATTCCAATGTCTTTAAGATCAGTTGGAGGTGCAGAAGTCAACAGGCATAAATTTTCTTAGCATTGAGGGTAGCAAATCCCTTGCCAAAGGAGTTTGATGTTAAGCCACAAGCAACAGAGGCTGGTTCACAACTTGGCAGCCCTAGATATTAGATAAATTTAATGGAGTAGCGATGAGATTAAGTTACAGGAGTAACACTCCTCTTCTTCCATAGGAGGAACTTTCCAAGAACACTGAGATGGTGCAACAACAGCGGGATATCCTGAGTCATGCTACAAATTTACCCAACATTCAACTCTACTGGAGTAGTTACAACAGGTTGTGGGGACAGGGAAGACAGGGCAAAGCTGAGTCCAGGTTAAGCTCTCAGCGGCTGCCAGGATAGTCCTACGAGTGGAAAACGAACTAGGACACAGTAGAGAGAACGATGTCCAAGCAAAAGGACCCAGCCTAAACATAAACTTTTCAAACACTTTCCTCTTGATTGGTAGCCTATGGGGATAGACCTAGATCAGTGCTTGAGAACAATGTACTTTTCACAGAGATACTTCAGCTATTCACAATCTTCATCTAAAGTAGTCATAGATCTAACGGTTTTTTGCATAGGCCTAAGAAAGCCTCCTATTTCAAATGAAGCTGTGCCTGAGTGGGTTTTTCAATACTTATAAGAGTCTATAATTATTTAATTAATTGACTTTTCCAGGTCTGTTTCAGGAGTCCCTTCATAGTTTCCAGTTTAGGAATTGCCATTCTAATAGGCAATTTTCTTATGACTCAATCATAAATTTAGTCTCTGCTCTCTTGTTTGGAAAAACTTGGAAAAACTAGGCCATGGAGATTTGAGCAATGCATTGAAATGCCATAATGTAAATCAATGAATTAAGTATTAAGCTTGAAAGGCAGATGACTTAAATATTTATATTTAATTTTGATCTTAAAAGCCATCCCGTATAATATTATTTTAAAAATCGTAAACTTTTATCATTAATAATAACAATACAGAATAGTTCACAGTTTTTCAAACTGTGGCAATTCTACAATGTATGAACTTCAACTCCCAGAAGCACCAAAATGCTGACTAATGAGAGTTGAAATCTTCATATGGTAAGGTTTCCAAGTTTGAAAAACACTGAAATAGATAAATCAATGGACATAGCCAGTATTACATGTTTGATATGCGCTAAGATTCTGGAGATGTTTTTCTAGAGCTACCAAACTTGTCTGCAAAAATCCACACAAATACTAAATGGCAGCAAAGATATTTAGAAGGCATATTCTTTGCTACCATCTAGGTGTTACCATGATATGTGTAATCCACATGAAAAGAAAAGATTAAAAACACTACCAAGTTTGTGATACTAAAAACATTCGCTCTTAAGGCTGGAGGTTTCATTTATCAAATTAGGTTAGGTTTTGAGTTCTTGTGGTTGCAGTTAAGTAGAGAACACCAACAAAAATATTAGAAATAATAAGGGAAAGCAAGTAGAAAGCCAGGTTATGAGTTATTTGGGTGTGATCATAGCAGACAGCTGTGAAGGCAAACAAAATTCTGGGATGCATCACTGGATAGATCACCAGCAGGAAAAATAGGTTTTAATCCTCTTATATAGGGCTTTAGTCAGACCACATTGTGAATAATATGTCCAGTTCTAGAGACCTCACTTAAAATACATATCATAAGATGGAGCCACTCCAGAAATGGACAACAAAAATGGTGCAAGGTCTGAAGGACAAAATATATCAAGAAAAATTGGAGGAACTGTATATGTACAGCCTAGAGGACACAAGAAAAAGAGGTGACATGATTGAAACCTTTAAATATACTTTAAGGATATTAATAAGGTTCTAGAAGGCAGTATTTTCAATATTAAGCAAAAATCAAGAATATAAGGGCACAACCTCAAACTGATAGGAGTGATATTAAAAGCATTACTTCAAAGTAATGAACTTCCAACGGGGGTAGTGGGTCAGTCATCAGTAAGTGAGTTTAAACATGCTTGGGATAAAAATAATAATTAAAAAATAAATTATTTAAAAAGAAAACAAATAAATCAAATAAACTCAAAGCGGAACTTGATGGACCACTAGATCTTTTTCTGCTATCAGTTTTTTATGTTTCCATATTTGTGGAGAAAATGAGAGAGAGGGACTGGGTGATTGGTGTAAAAAAAGCTATCCTAAGGAGGCTGAAGCAGTGATTTACAATTCCCTTTTTCTTCATAGCCGCAGAGATTTGTGCTTGGAACGTGGAGGGGATATCACCTTCAAGTGAGTATCAACCAGTCTGTAACCTTTCTGTATCTTCTTAAGATTATTTATTTGTTCTATGCATATACCATCCGAAGCTACCACTAAGACTTCTGACAGAGCTCACATATAATTAACTTTGAATCCTTAAAGTTGAATTATTAAAAGGGAAAACTTAGCAATGGGATGAAGTTGTACTTACTTACCAGTTTGGTGTAATTTGGCTTTAAAAATAATGGATGAAAAGAAGTTGCCAGCTAATAAAAAATATCGGCTGACCTGTCCTTACGGAATTTAATATCCTGCAAATGAAACTTCTCACAGATGAAAATGATGCCAGAAAAAGGTGTGGTTTAAAGCATTAAAATCTCGCAACTCTTTATACAGATGTTTGATGTCTAAACATCTATACCCTAGGTTTTAAAATCATTAGGGAGAAAAACTGAAAAAGAACTTTTTAAAAATGAAGCAGTGCCCTTCCCCTCCATCTGCTCTTCTCTTTTCATTCTAATTAATGGTATTCTAATTGACTTATACTTCTCTATTTTTTTCCTATCTTCTTTGCTCCTCATTCTGAAGCGTCAGGGACTTGCTTGCGTAATTAATTAATCCAAAATAAAATGTGCCACCATGTGAATAACTTTTAGAAGTGGCAAGAAGGAGACAGAAGTCACACTGCTAGCTCAAAGAGTGTGTTGAGGGACTAAAAAAAGACATGTCGTATGTTAGGTCTAAATATAAGAACTGTGGCAGCTTCTTTTTCTTTTCCATAGGTCCCTGTTTAGAGGCTGGACTAAAAAATTACCATTCTTTGTCTGCTATTGATGTTGCTACTGTTAAAATCCAAATATTCAATTCCCCTTCACTATTCCTACCTGTCACCTAACTAGCTATCTGGATAATATAATGTCTGTATAGACAAAGAAATCTCCAAGGAGTGCTAAAGGAAAGAGCCATTTCATTTCTGTTTGTACAGCCCCAAAATCCAGAATTTATATAAACTCAGTAAGACATCTGTTCAGGTGTTCATGCCAGCTACTTTAGTAGAATGCAAAAGAATCCTTTGATCCATGTGGGACTTGATTCTTCTGCCAAATTCAAGCGGGAGTTGGGCCTCCCTCTTCTATATTTTTGCTCTAAGGGAAAATAAATTTTGCTGCTCTTGTCTTATTATACGTAAGTCCTACACAGAAGAGGCCAAAAGTGGGGTAACAGAGGAACGGCAAATACAGTAACTTTTTTTTCTCTCTGTCAAAGCAACCACAGAAATTCAGCAGCAAACCACTTCAATACACATAAACAAGTCTGGCTCGTTTCTCTTTGAATGTGTTTAGAAGGGGGATTTCTAAACAGAGCCCCTTGCTTGTTCGTGTTAGAACTTGGACCCACAGAATGTCTGCCTCAATTTTTCAGAGGCAGTCTCGTGCAAAGAAAGAGCATCTGACTAACATATGATTGATGTCCCTGCCAAAAATCTGCAGCAATTCATGGGTGCATCTTTTGGGGCCACACAAATTGGTTTAAAATGGGCAATCTGTGGATTGCCCACCCCTTAAATTAAGAGAGCTTTAGGGGCTTTTCTTTGAGGTTCTTCCAACTGCAAGAGAAAGAACCAATCCTGAGAATATCTTGCTGCAACAGTGTCCCCATGTCCTGTTTTCACAGGTTTCAAGGATAATGTTTATTGGATTGTTTCTGCCTTGAGAATTTGTTCTTACAATAAAACTGTCATTTGAAAGTTTGAGATTCTTACAGCAACTGTTTCTTCAGCTATGCTATACTGGCTGTGCTCACACTACAAATAAACCCAAACCTAATTTACTTATTTATGACTTAGCGTGGCCAATCGAGGGGGTGGAGGGAGTCAAAGGCACAGTCCGACAGAAAGAGCTGGGAAATACAAATACGTAGCGCACAAGGCATGCTCTTCTTCATTTCTTGTTTATCTCATCTTATCTCGCTTTATATTAACCGCCAATGTTCCCCATGACTCTCCATTCTGGCACAAGAGAAATATTCGTCACTAGAAAGAGAGATAAGGAGAAGTAAACAATGGAGGAGAAAATAATAGATCAGCCTGCTGTTTTTATGTGTTTGTGTGTGAAGGCAGAGAAAGAAAAGGATTCTAGTCTTCAGCACCTACTTTAATTCTTGCGCAGCAGCAGCCCTGATGATCTGAATGATAACTCCAGCAAGCCACCTTTATCCCTTTATAGTCCATAGATTCTGGCTGTGCTGACACAGCAGGCTTAACTAGGTTACTAGAAAGCAAACTGCAGGATGCATTGGCTTTGCATTCAAATCTTAATTTAGCACGATGTACCAACCTGGCTCTTTTCATTGGTTTCTGAATCAAGGTATTATGTGTTCTAAAAATGGTTAACTCAGTAACCAAGCATCTAGGAATGGTGTTTCAGTTTTTCTCTTCCTTAGTCTCTCCGTTCATATTTTCCTCAATATTAGCCCAGCCTACCTGGCACTACTTCCAAATCTTTTGAGCCATAATTCCCACACATGTAGAAACAAAAATAAAAATAAAAATAAAGTTTGTTCTTGGGTTTTTTTGTTTTGATATTTTACTTGATTACATTTCCCTCCTGTGATTAGACTGTTTATGCTCTTTTACATAACTTGGAGTCAGTTCCTAAATTTGTAATTCCAAAACTAATTACTACAAGCAATTTATAGGCCTCCAATTCTAACTTTCTACCATTTTCCTTTTTCTCCTGCCCTCTTGCCAGATGTCCTATCATGCTGGTGGTGGGAGACCAGGCTCCACATGAAGATGCTGTGGTAAGTGATGAAGACTTCTCTTTTTTAAAAGCTCCAAAAATGGTAGGTAGATCCTGACTATTTCCTGTCTCTTTTTTACTTATTTAGAAGCAAAAATGTGTTCTTTCTTACCTTGTGTTTATTTTAGATTCAAGCTATCTACCATTCTTCTCTTTCCAGGTGGAGTGCAATTCCAAACTGGATCCCACTCAGACTTCTTTCCTCAAGGTAGGCTATGCATTTCAGATATATCCAAAAACCAACTTGCAGGATTGCAATGTTGGGCTAACCTGCAAAGTTCCTATCCCTGCAGTTATGTAGTTATGTAGGGTGATAAAACTGGTGGAAAGGAGTGAAAATTAGGTCTGTTTCAGTTACCATTTTGCCTATGGTGCTACTAACCTTGATCATGCCATCATAGATTATCTTTCTATATTTTTTTGAAAAGCAGAAAGTAGCAACTTTCCAACTACTTTTGAGCTGCCAAAAGATGGGCCTTCCCCATTTGACTATGGCATCCAAGATCATATGTTGTTATCCTACAGGGGAGCTGCAGACCAAATCAACAATTTTATGTAAACATACCTTATCACACATTTTCTCAACATGGAATAGCTCCCAGACCTTTCAGTCAGCACCTGATTGTCATGTTGGAAAGAGTTATCCTTTTTTAGGCAAGTGTGCTTATTAAGATTATTCATTCTTATATTGCAGATGGCTGATTCAGGAGGACAACCACAACTGACACAAGTAAAATATACTAATAACCTGATACACAGATTCAGAAATGGAGTTAATTTTGCATTTCAAAATATTTTTAAAAAGCAGCATTCATTTTTTTCTTAATATTTCAAAACTTATGGTTTTTTTAAAACATTTTTATTAAGGTATAATATTATAAAATACAAAATACAAAAGGAAATAGAAGAGCAGTGAGAGGGGAGGGGAAAGGGGGAAGAGAAGTGAGGAAAGATAGGGGAAAGAAAGAAAAAGAAGCATTGATTTCCAACTCTCTGTTACAGTAAAATAAGGCATTAACATCAAATCATAGCTTTTTGCTTTTCCATAATATTCTATAAAGATCTATCAATCTAATCTGTAAAACCCAAAGTCAAAGTTGCATTCTTTTCCACATCAAGCACAAAGTTCAGAAGTGGTTTCCATGTGGAACCAAAGTACTTATGTTCTTTTCTGTAATCAAAATAGTCAGTTTTGCCATTTCAGCCAACTCCATCAAAACTTAAGTTTTAATGTGTTTACATTTGTCATATGCTTACATGATTGCAGACTTATAATATATTCAGTCAATCCTGTTTTCCATATACCATAGACTGTCTTTGCACAAATCAACAAACCAAAACCCATTGGAGGTCTGTACACAGAAAATTGAATTAAAGTATGTTTGTTATCAATGCAGAAACACTGAATTATAAACTAATCCAAAGGGCTAGATCATACAGTGCAGTAGGCTGAGATATAGCTGGCTAGTTCTTACCTAAGTTTGCAATTCAGTAGAGCTTATAATACCTTTTTTGAGAAACTGGAAGAAATCGTAGGTAATTGCTAAGATGTTGTACATACTACACACACACCAAATAAAATCTCATTAAACAAGGTATTCATTTTGGGTTAGGGAAATAATGTCTCCTTCTCTGCTCTACTCCATCCAATGTAGTCATGCAAACATATGTCTGCAGAGAAAAAAGGGCCATGTTGAAAGGGAGAAGTAGAAAAGGAACCTGTAGGCATTTCTGAAAAAGTACTCCGTGCCAGTTTGAAAACATCCGGCATTCCCACATAAGCAACATTGGAGTTCTGAGCTGATTGACTTCCAATAAGGTTCTGCAATGTAGTTGAAATCACTATGAAGCTAGTGCCGTGATGGCGAACCTATGGCACGCGTGCCCAAAGTGGCATGCAAAGCCATGTCGCCTGGCACGCACAGCCTTGCCTGTTTGTCTTCCGGGTTTCTGGCATGCATGCTCATGTGACAATCAGTTGTTCTTTGTGCATGCAGCAGTGCCGAAAACCAGTGTTTCCATGCACACCAGCCATCTGATCATTGGCGCACATGCGCGCTAGAACCTAGGAGTTTGGCTTTTCCAGAGCATGATCCCTTCATACGCACAGCGGTGCCGAAAACTGGTGTGCGCATACGCACCAGCCAGCTGATTGTTGGGCGCGCATGCACACCAGAACCTGGAAGTTTGGCTTTTCCGGAGTGTGGCCCCAACAAGCGCGCACTTGTGCATGCGACAGTTCACACGACAGTTCATCATCACTGAGCTAGTGGATGTATTTCTCCACTAAGGGGACACTTGCTCTGCGCCCTTTCTCTTGGATCTTGAGTTTCAGATCTTTTATGAGAAAGGTGAGCTGGATAGTTTTGCAGCTATCCCTCAGAAGTCCAGTTTAAAAAAGCAGAAGAGAAATCCAGAAGTTTAATAGTTTCTTCTAATCTTCAGGACTGGATTAACCCTCTTTTAAAGTTCCAGAATCCTAGATTTGTTTTTATTTTTCTGTTTTTGGTTTGGTTTGGTTTGGGTTTTTGTTTTGTTTTTTTGTTTTTTTGGTGGAAAGTGATTTTTGTAGCTGTAGAACCTGCATGGCATCAGTTTCACTTCTTATTCTTGGCATTTTAAATCACCAAAGGTAAAAAAAAAAAAATCACTAACTACCTCCCAACATTTTTGAGAGTTTGGGGAATGGAGTGGGATTATTGCAATAGATCATCTCCCATAGTGTGAGGAAATCAGAATTTGTTTTAATGAATTTTATAAAAAGAGATTTGAAGGGGTTCCATGTCAGATGTTTTTTTAATCTTTGGTGTCCCCTCCCCACAAATATAGTCAATGAGCAGTAATTTGGAACCAAGGAAGCAAGTAATTGAACCATTAAGATTTTCTGCCCCACCCTCTCTTTCTATATATGCATTTTTTAATGTTTTTCTCTGTTCTTTTTCTATCTTTCAGCCTGGGAAACTGACAGAGGCATTCAAATACTTTGTGCAAGGAATGGGTTATAGTAAGTATTGGATCTGAGAACCTCTGTCCCATTGTGCATCCCCAAAGTTTATAAGTTATTGGGCTGCAAAACCTTGTGTTTCATCTAGCCAAGAGTATAGACATTCCTGACAAATTCCTTTTGTACCCTACTGTAGATTGCATTCACAAAGTACACTGATACGTACTTTATTTAGATTAGTTTAATAAATAAACCAGAGTTATATTAGTTTGCATAATATGTGAAGCAAGGGTGGGTTCTACTTACTTTTACTACCGGTTCACAACGGGAGCGCACAAGCTTTTCTGCATGCACAGATTATCCATGATGACATTGTGGTGGTTGGTCGAAGCCTCCTGCCAGTTTTACTACCGGTTCTATAGAACCAGACTGAACTGGGGGCAACCCAGCACTGATGTGAGGTTATAAGTAATGTTGGTTGAGATTACAAATTAAACTAGGAAAAAAAGACATTGTCACTTGGGACACGACATGGATCCACCATAATTGTACTACTTGATTCCTGGGACTACCCATTTCTTGGCTGGTCCTTGCACCCAAAATGATGCTTCCAGATAATTGGGATTGCTTGGAATTTCTCCTTTTCTTTGAATCCCACTCCCCCTCTTTCCTCCCCACTTGTACATCCACCTTCTCTCCATGGCTATTTAGAGCTCAGTTACAGCAACCTATCATCTTAGTCCTTCAACAACAACCATTGTGGAACATTAATTTCAAGTACAAGTTCTTGACCAGTTTAGCCTAAGGATATCCTTTCCTATTTCTCCTCAGTCCCTTATGTACTGGACAAGAAATTGAGTCAGGGGTCAGGTACCTTCTGTGGTATTTCTCCCTCATCTCCCATAATTCTCTCCTCCAACATGTCTGCTCACCCTTCCTCTGGTTACTTCACTCCCCAATGCACAACCTCCCCTTTCCACTAGAGAGCACCAAGTTGTTTGCTGTGGTAGTAGGAAAGCAGAAGTAGGCGTTGTTTTGTTTGGATTTCTGTTGTGTGCCCAAATGGGGATGGTCTTTGGTACGCTATTACAGAAGGATTGCCGGCAATCCTGCACTGTGGTTTGATTTCAAAATTAGACCACTCACTTGATTAACCTTTTTATGCCAGTGTACTAATTGTCTGCAAATGATCTGTTGCACTCCATACCTTTAAGGGGCTGTGTTAAATATTGGGGAAGGCAGGGGCTGATGGTATGCAACTTCATTGTTTGGCACCAAAGCTAAGATGGGGATAAGTGCCAACTGTGAAGAAGAGAATGTGCAGGCTGTCAATAGGAAGCATTTGAAAATAACATGGTGTATATGCTTTCTATTCTAGAAGATTAGAAACTTTCTCCTTGATTTTCCCTTGCACCAGATAGGCTTCCCTTTCTAGGTTCTAAGCAGCCCTCACTTCCCCTTACTTGTTCTCTAGATCTTAGAGAGCATCCAATATGTAAGGAATTGAGCTGGGTGAATTTTAGACCAGGAGTCCCCAACCCCTGGGCGCAGCCCATTACTGGGCCATGGCCTTTTACTGGGCCATGGTCTTTTCTGAATCAGGCAACACGAGTGGCAGGCGAGTGCACACGCTCACGTGTGAACCTCCATTTGTGCGACCGGTGGGCTGGAGCTGCGTGCAGTCAAGTGCCTGCTTGCCACTCACACAGAACCATCTCCTTCTTCCCCCCTCACTGGGCCACGCCAGAAAGGTTGGGGACCGCTGTTTTAGGCCATTCCCTGATTGTTGCTGGTATCTTCCTTGCTATGCTCACATCTTTTCACACAAGTGCCACTTACTCCATCATTGGCTCAATTCAAAACAAGATCTTGATAATTGCCTTTTATAATATGTAAAAGTTTTATCTAACTTTGCTTCCCTCTCATTTTTTTTCTTTCTCCACAGTGGCCTCGTCCTGCATGACACGCCTCTCTCGCTCCCGCACCGCCTCTCTGTCCAGCGCCACCTCGGGGGACGGGAATCGCTCCCGGTCTCGCACCCTGTCCCAGAGCAGCGAGGCAGGAGCCCCGCAGCCACCTGCCCCCACCATGGAGGTGTCCTGCTGAGCTCCGAGCCAGGGGATGAGACCGCCTCCCACCTCTGAACAGGACTCCTTCTGCTATCCCACAATGCACTCCGGCCACTGGGCCAGGTGACGATCTCCCCTAACGGTACTAAAAGTCCAAGGAGGCCCAGATGGGATGCAACTTTACTCTTTTTAAAACAAACATTAACTCCCCCAACCTTTAAATCCAGCACATCATATCGACCTTCCTTACCAACCCTGCCTTCCTTTCTCCCGTAACTTAAAGCTAGTGTTGTCAGCCTTTGATATCTATAGTGATCCTCAGTACCTAGGGAGGTAGGGATGGAAGACTACACGTTTTCTAAATTATCAGATAATCAGTATCTCCTCTGATGTTTCCCTTTGCCCTCCAATTCTCTTGCACATGTAGATTCCTTGATATAAGAGACCTGGATTATCATTGGGCTTTGTTTTTTCCCCCCCTGTATAATCATAACTAACCCTTGTTATTCCCCCTAAATCTTGAGCGATATATTCTTGGAGTAGCCGGATGGCATCTCATTGCCTTGCAAGCTCTCTTTTGTCCCCTCCGGAGTGTACATAGGAGGAAAATAAAAATAAAAAGCAGGACCTCACAAGTGAGACGCACAAGCCTCAGTTAGGACTTGACTTGCTACTGTCATGCTAACCTAGTGCTCCCAAACAGGAGTTGCTTTTCCTCCACCCAATTCATTTCTACCCTTGTACTTGTCTGGCTTGGTCTCATCTCTCCTGATTCCATCCATCTAAATAGTCTTTGAGGTTCTGGTTCCTTCCAGAGGCTTAGATGTATTTTTGTTTTCATTCATCTTTTAAAATAAAACTAGATTCTTCATTCCCCTCCCCTCCTCTATGATCTCTCTTGGCTTTTATTTTTTATAGCTTTCCCTCCTCCTGTGCATATACTCTTCCCTGATCAAAGGCTACATTTCCTCTTTTTTGTCTTCCTTCCCTTCCACTTTCATAGATGGTAGCTGCTTTGTGGTGTGCATGCACAGTTCCTGCTAAGATAGCAACTGTTTTCTGCGATTGGGGCATTGGGAGGCTGGGCAAGATTGAAATGGGGGGCATTGGGGAGGGTGGGATTGTTCCTTTTGGGAAATGCTGGGGGCAGTGGGAAGCTTGAGACAGATTGCACTGTTGCAGCTGTGCCAGGCACAAATGACAATAGCCAATGCATCTGTGGTTTCACACAAGGAGATGAAAGGAGACTCAGACCGTCATTGGCTGTGATTTTTTTTCTTTTTCTTTGCACCAAGCGCTGATTTAGTGGGTTCTGGCTGTTGGCTTTGAGCAGGGCTCCAGTAGTGCCATGGAGGAGGAACTCCTGTAATCGGATTCTGACTATATCAGTTCTTTTGAATGTTACCAGCTGTATTAAAGACCTAAATGCTTAGATGATGTTCGCTATGTTGATCTCACAAAATAAGGAATGCATGATATTTTAAGTGGTCAAACTTCTAACTTTGGACCAGCTGTTGAAGGTGGGGGTATCAGTATGTAAGGTTTTTAATGGTATACAGTCTTGAATAGGGCCATAAGGCCTCCAGTGGAACCAGAAAGGTGTTGGTCCAACTAGAAGATATCTTACTTATTCCCTAACCTGAACAGGCACTGGGAGTTAATTGCTCAGTTGCCTATAAAAAGGGGCATTGTTTGAAAAGGACTCCAGCTGGAGTTTTAACTCCCACATGTAATGGGATCCTTGTATTTGAGAATGTGTGGGCTCTGCTTTATTTTTCCCAGAGCAGTCAATGGTGAATCCCTACTCTTAACAATAAAAATCTCTAGAGGAATCAGTTTTTGCTTCTTTTTTTATGATAGACGTATAGTCCATGCATGCAGGCCACAGACGATAACAGCTTCTGTTCAACAGGGAAGATCACCAAAGACTGCTATAAAAATCAAAGAAACAAGGCTGAATATCAGATCAGTGTTAAGTAGCAATAGAAGAGAATATAAGTACCATATTTTTCGAAGTATAAGACCCATCTTTTTTCCCAAAAAAAGAGGGTGAAAATCTGGGTGCATCTTATACTCTGAATGTAGTCCCACCCAGCTTCTTAAACAGAGGTTTCAGAGGCTGAAAGGAGCTTCAGAAAAGAAGCTCCCAAACAGAGCTTCAGAAAAGAAGCCCTCAAACAGAGCTTCAGAGGCTTTTTTTTCTGAAGCTGTTTCAGAGGCAGAAAAAAGTTTTTTCTGAAACACAGTTTCAGAAATTTCAGAGGCAGAAAAAAAGCAAGGCACAGAGCTCACAACCAAGGAACCTGTTGCTAAAATTCAACTCTGGGGGTATTCCGGGAGGCCAATCCACCTGCCAATCAGCTTTTTTCTTATTTTCCTCCCCAAAAACTAAGGTGCGTTTTATACTCCGGTGCATCTTATACTCTGAAAAATACAGTAGTTCAGGATTGAACTGTGGAGTCCTTGATGCTTTCTGCATTGGTTGTTCTTTTGCAGTCATTTTGCTACCTGACTAGGGTAACAAAACAAGTTCAGAGAGCACCAGACTCCACAGTATTCAGTATTTCAGGAATGGATATTTCAGCTGCCTCCAGGAAATTCACAATAAGCAAGATTGAGCCTCCTCAATGAACTCTGATACCAAAATGGTACCATAGGAAACAAGGAATCACTGTGGCAAGAGTTGGAAAATATTTTTATAGATTGGGGATCTATAGATTGGCTTCTGCCCCTCTCCAAAAAACACCCCTCTGTCCTACAAGAATTGAGGATGCTTAGTTTACTGAAAGATGTCCAGCAGAAAAGAGAAGCAAATAATGGAGCTCCTTACAGATTAAAACTGGAGACACAGGCTTAAGATGTGGTTTGCTTACATATTTAGTAATCCATATTTGGTTGAGCTCATGAGACACATTAAACTATAAATAAAGATTTACAAATCACAGTGATTGCAGTCACCCATCATCCCAAGTCAAAACCAGACAAATCACATAACGTATGTGAATCTGATATGGCCATGGAGATGTTAGGAAGAGTTGGCTAACCTTTTCTTGCAGGTCCCACTAGTAATGTATATTATAGTTACAGGATATTCACATACAAGTTTAATAATGTATGGAAAGTAGGTACATGCTATCTTCTTACTGCTGATGAGCTGAGGCTGAAAGATGTTCTCATGCCTATAGATGCCCAGCAAATTGGCAGCAAAGATGAGTGTTGAACTGCCCTAATCATGACGTTCCCAACAGATGCAGCTTCCCTAACTTTTTGCTCCAGCAATCTTGGCTCCAAGATTCTGCAATAAAAATAATAAATCGTTTGGTTGTGGGCCAAATCTAAAATTAATCACTGCTTGCTACCATTTAGAATTTCCACTTCACTTCACAACCTACTCTGAAAGATTTGCAAAACATGTTCCAAGAGGCTGTTCTCATGGAGAGGTCTGTATTTACTATCTGTATCAATGCTACTTCCTTTCTTAGGTCACAATTTGCCACTAGCCCTGCTGACTCAGGAGAAAGCCAACGCTATGAAGCCACCAGGCTATCTCTCTCTGAATGATTATCCAAATGTATCAAGGGTGGCTACACCAGTTGCCTTATGCATATTATTTTGTTTTATAACCTAGGACATAATGCTCTGGGAGATAATATTTAATGGCTTCTGTTCTAGTCATTTCTTTACTGTTCCTTTCACCTTCCTCAAGTTGTTATTAGCAATGAAATGGAAGAGAGTACAGTACAGAAGCTACTTTCATTCTTTCCCCCCAAAAGAAACTTCAGGTGAAGCACATTTGGTTCTAGGTCAAGAAAAAGATACAGGTAGTCCTTGGCTCACAAGCAAAATTTGGATCAGAATTTCCATTGCTAAGCAGGGCAATTGTTAAATGAATCTCACCCAATTTATGACTTTTTTCCCACGGTTATTAAGTGAATCACTGCAGTTGTTAACTGAATTGTTAAGCGATTCCAGCTTCCCCCATTGACTTTGCTCATTGGAAGCCAGCTGGAATGGTGAAAATGGTGGTTGTGACCCTGGGACACTGCAACCTTTTAAATGCATGCCAGTTGCCAGAGTTTTGATCACAAGACTATGTGGATGTTGTGACAGATATAAGGACGAGGACCGGCTGTGAATCACTTCAGTGCCATTGTTAACTTTGAACAGTCACTAAACAAATGATTGTAAGTTGAGGACTATCTGCATTATAAGAGGGATAAAAAAGACCAGTTGCTTGATTTTTCACATCGGTCTTGGTAAATAGCTGGCTGAGGATAGAAAACCCCAAGAAACTGGAAATGGGAGGGTCTGATCAGATTAGACCCAAGCAACTTCCTGGACTATACCATTTCAACCTGCAAAAGAAGGTTCGGGGTTACCCAGGGCATTTTTTTTTTTGCTACAAAATACAAAATCCAGGTAAAAATCATTGATTCCAGATTTTGAAGTTGACTGAATAAGCAGTTGTGAACAACAGTGTGTCTGCTCATGCCCCTGGAAAAAAAAACAGCTTAATTTAAGGGATGCAGCAAAGGCAATGTTCCCTCAACAGGCACAAACACAGCTGTTGTTGCCATATACACGCACACACATCGCTGCTATTCCCCTTCTCCCCTCCATGCCATGTTGAGCCAGAATCAATGCTCTGTGCAAAATGGGGCCAGCCTTGGTTTTCATTTTTAAAAGAACTGAAAAGACCAAAAAAAAAAAAAGCAAAAGAAAACGCTCAACAAAGCCCACATTTTTAAAAAAGTTCCCTTCAAATGACAAACATGGACACAGAGAAATGGATTAATTTATTACAGATGTTTTTAACAGATTTTTTTTTTTATTACCGATGGTTTCATTACAGATTTTTTTTAAAAAGAAAGAAAAGGGGGGGGGAACGAAATGGTGCCACTGTGCGATGCGTTAAACCATCTCTTGCTAACTTGTAGCATAATCTTCCGCCCGAAAATCTCTAGTCCGAGCATCCAGGGAAGGGTTTTTTTCAAGCCTGTAAAGACAAGGCTGTTTTCCACCCGAACCTTCTGACCAATAAAAGCTGACCTTTTCTCCAACGCCAAAAGTGTAAATCTTCCCTCCCTCCCCTCCTTTCTGCCAGCAAATAGCCCCAAGATCAAAACAGGTCGGCCGTTGCCAAGTTCTCTCCCTCCTTTCCCGCCAAGGAGAACCAAAGCCTCTTATTGTCAATTCTCGGAGAACAAAAAGAATATCAATCTTTGCGGAACCGAGGAGTTCTCAGCCCGCAAAAGGTCTCGGCCGGGCTCCAGACCACGTGACCGCGGCCGATGTTTTCACTCCAAACTGAATTTGGGTCTGATCTCCCAATTCCTCAAGAGAGCTGGAAGGCTCTTTTGTTTAAAAAGGCAGCGGCGTGGAGAGCGGAGATTGCTATGCAACAGCAGCACCTCAGGCAGAAACCCTGCAGCCCGCTGGGAGGGGGAGGGGGTGAGTGGTCAGAGGGTCCCCTTGGAGGCGACCGCACTAGGAAAACATCTCCGGATCAAACTACTTCAAATCTGGGTTTTGCCATTTCATGGCACCCATTTTGAGAGGTTTAAAAGGGGAACTGGATAAATTCACAAGGAGAGTAAGGATCATTGTGCAACTATAGGTAGTCCTCAGCTTAGAACAATTTGGTTAGTGACCGTTTGAAGTTACAACAGCACTGAAGGAGGATATTTTAGGAAAATATTTTTCACAGTTGTGACCATTGCAGCACCCCCAGGGTCACGTAATTTACATTCGGATGATTGATAGCTGGTTCGCATTTGGGATGGTTGCCGTGTCCCAAGGTCATATGACCAACTTTTGCAAACCTGACAAGCAAAGTCAATTAGGGAAGCCAGATTCACTTAACAACCATGTTACTAATTTAGCCGCTGCTGTTATTCACTTAATGATTCACGTGGCAAGAAAAATCGTAAAATGGGATAAATCTCTCACTTAGCAACATAAATTCTGGGCTCAATTGGGGTCATAAGTTGAGGACTATCTGTAGTTCTGATGACTGTTTTCTAGTTCCTGATTCATAGAAGCTGTGCCTTAAATACAAGACAGAACATGTATTGAATTATTTTCCTGCCCATCCTTGTGGGCTTCCTGGATGCACCTAATGTGACACAAAATGATGGACTAAATGCCACATTGGCTTGACGTTATGCACTTCAGAGCATGTCACATAATAATGTAACATAGCTACGTAATAATAATGTAAATAGCTATCTCTGAGCTATTTCCTTGCAGGATTCCTCAATGCCTTTAACAATGACCAAGCTTCTAATGTACTGCCTTCATTGGAAAGGCTGGGATACATTCAGAGATGTGTCTGTCTTGAAAATAGCCCGTGTTGAAATATATATCATAGTTAAACATTAGCACAGCAAATGTTTTATGTCATAAACCTTTATGATAATTTTATGTCATAAAATGTTTTCTAAGTTTGCCAAATTTCAATTTCACGGAAGTCTGGGTCCTGGATTTTTGATGCACTCTGTAAATTAGCCCATTTGAGGTACCTTAGTTGAAAGGATTCTATCCTATGGTGTACCATTTCTTCCAGTTACAGGGATTAGAGTTTTAGTATGTCCCAAAAGTGTTTTTTCACAAGCCAATTGGACTTTCTTGCTTTTCTTTGACGATGTTTTGCTTCTCATTCAAGAAGCTTCTTCATCTCTGACTGGATAGTGGGGAATGGAAGAATTTATATTCCTTGCAGGTCATTTGCATTCTTTTATAGAGTTATTGAGGCTTCATGTAAAGACAGAGTGAATTAAGAGAAGAAATGGAAAGTTGGCCTTACTTCCCCAGCCTGGAATTAAAAAAAATTGGGTTGTATTGGAGCAATTAAGAGGAGCAGGAAAGCTGTTTGATAGGTTATGAGAACTTTGGTATAGTTTGATAGGTTAAGAGAAGAATAGACCTACTCGGGTCTATTCATATCCTATGGCTAAATGTGTCAGGGCACAGCACTAAGTGTGCATCTTGCTTAACAGGGACTAAACCAATTAGTGAATAATTCTGCCAGTTTTCTTAAAAGACATAATGGCAAACCTGAGTTTTTGCATCAGAAGAATATATGGGGAGAAGATGATGCCCAGTTGCAGTTGTAGACAGTTACATTGTAAAGATTTGGGACAAGACACATATATTTGAATGGAGATAACAATAGAAAGAATGCAGATGATGTCATATCCCATAGAAGCCATCTATGTCAAAATTGAACAGCCCTTTCTCAACAAAGATTCGACATCATCTATCTCCAGTCTACAGTTCTTTCAGCAGTTCCAAGAAGGCTCCACACCAGGGTGAAATCCAGCAGGTTCTGGAGAACTGGTAGCGGAAATTTTGAGTAGTTTGGAGAACCGACAAATACCACTTCTGGCTGGCCCTAGAGTGGGGTGGGAATGGAGATTTTGCAGTATCCTTCTGCCATGCCCACCAAGCCACACCCACAGAACCAGTCGTAAAAAAAATTAGATTTCACCACTGTTCCCAACCATTTGCACTACTCAGGTGACCATGAGGACACAGATAAACTCCAAGTGGCCTCAGTGACTCTCTAAAAGAATGCAAATGACTAGCTGTCTGCAAGGAATATAAATCTTTCCATTCCCCACCATCCAGTCAGAACTGAAGAAATTTCTTGCATGAGAAGTGAAACATCTTCAAAGAAAAACAAGGAAGTCCAGTTGCCTCATGAAAAATATTTAGAGTTTAGTAATATACAGATTATGTGTGTGGCCAAAGGGCATCCAATTTGGCCTACGGTGCCATTCATTCAGATTTGGTGATGTGTATCACAAAGCTGTTGTCATATAATCAGCATTGTTTCTATTGGTATCTCCATTCATATATGTGTGTCTTGTCCCAATTCGTTACCTGTAACTGTCTGCAACTGCAACTGGGCACCACATAGTATTCTGATGCAAAAACTCAGTTTTGCCATTATGTCTTTTAAGAAAACTGGCAGAATTATTCACTAATTGGTTTAGTCCCTGTTAAGCAAAATATGCACTTAGTGCTGTGCCCTGACACATTTAACCATAGGATATGAGTAGACGTGAGTAGACCAGGTTCTCTTAACCTATCAAACTATACCAAAGTTCTCATAACCTATCAAGCAGCTTTCCTACAGTGAAAGAGGGCATCCCACAATAAACTGCTCCTCTTAATTGCTCCAATACAACCCAAATCTTTTTTCATTCCAGGCTGGGGAAGTAAGGCCAACTTTCCATTTCTTCTCTTAATTCACTCTGTCTTTCCATGAAACCTGGGAAGTTATCAAAAGCCCACCACTTTCACCAAAAGCCCCCTACTTTGAAGGATAATCACATCTAGGGCACAGCCTCAAAGGTTGCAGGAACGACGACAGCTTTGGTGAGAGCAAGATCTCTCTCCATTAGCAGTCTGCATCCCCAATGATGGTAGCCAAGGTGCCTTCTGTGGAATATGACTGGAATCAGTCCAAGCAGGCTGCCAATTTCCCTCACCATAACTGAGGGAATTCTGTTTTACTCATGGTCCTTCAAGTCAATATGAGTTCTGATTACGAGAAATTGTAGAACTAAAAATGATCTGGGGCATTAGCTCTCAAGAAGGCTACAATGAAGCCTCCAACCCATGCTGCTAGAGCTCACTCCCCCCCCCTTTTTTTTTTTTACAGAGAAAGGCAGGGAAAGCATGCAAAGCATGGCTTGAGGATCTTTCTTACCCCCTTAAAAACAGCTCAGCTCTAAATCACATAATTGGAGGGGAGGGGGACAAATAGGCTGTAAGATGAAGATGTTGGTGCTTAATTGCTTCTCCCTTGGCCAAGTCAGGTTTATTTTCACATTCAAGTTTTGTTTGCTTGGGCTTTCTCAGCATCTCAAATTTGGTCCAGTTGTTTTGTTTTGTTTTTAAAGAGTTTCTCTGCTGACAAAGAGTGTCCCAATTCCTTTACATAATTTCCTTCCAATGTTCCCTTGGGTTGCAAAGAATAAAAAGCAAAAATAGCCCTGTTTGACCATTCACTCAGCACCATCTGGTGGCCAGTTCTATATAGGGCATTGAAAGAGTAACAAGGGTATAAAATTCTTCCTTTGCTTCACCTTTCGATCCTTTTTTAGGCATTTCCAAGTTTCTCTGAACAAAGAAGCATTTTGAAGCTTGGTCTTGGCAATTCAGGAGATGGTTACACCATTCCAAAGGGGCCTGATTACACTCTCTCTACTCTCCCTGTTTATTTATCTGTCAAATTTCTACACTGCCCATCTCACCTAAGGCAGTAATAGATATAAAGGAAGCAAACAAGTTGTTCTTAATTTTATTTTATTTTTTACAAAATGCTGTGCATCAAAGGGGATGCTACTGTCTTCTCTGGATATTTTTAATTATTTGTCTGTTCAGATTTATTTTCTGTTTTTCTTCAGGAGATTGAAAAAATTGCACTTCCTTTACCAATCCCCTCACCAAGGCCCCAGAGTAATGTTTCAAGGTAGATTGGGCTAATAGATTGGCTTAAAGTGAGTTTCCACAGCTGGGTAGAGACTTGAGCTAAGATCTCCCCCATCCTAGTGGGGCCCCTTAACCATTATATCACGAAGATTTTTAAGCTCCTCGACCACAGAAATTTGCAGCTTCTATTAACATTTTTCCATTTTTAAATAGGAATTTGGTTGGAAGCTGACCAGAGTTTGATATAGGTGGGTGGCTATATAAAAGTTATAAACAAATTATATATAAATAAACCTGACCACTGAATTTTTAGAGAGTGCTTATGCCTTCTTGGTTTTCCCATTAATTGTCCATTGCTCCAGATTAGTGAGCCTGCAGACAGAAGAGAGAGTATTATCTAACTATACAGGTAATCCTTGATCTTCAACCACTTCATTTACTGACCATTCAAAGCAGTGGTGGGATTCAAAAATGTTTACTACCGGTTCTGTGGGCGTGGCATGGGTTGGTGGGCGTGAGTTGGTGGGCGTGGCAAGGGAAGGATATTGTAAAATCTCCATTCCTTCCCCACTCCAGGGGAAGGTTACTGCAAAATCCCCATTTCCTGCCAATCCTCATTTCCTGCCAATCAGGAGGCAGAGAATAGATGGGGGCTGGGCCAATCAGAGGTGGTATTTACCGGTTCTCCAAACTACTCAAAATTTCCGCTACCGATTCTCCAGAACTGGTCAGAGCCTGCTGAATACCACCTCTGATTCAAAGTTACAGTCACTCTGAAAAAAGCGACATACAATTGATACTCATACTTATGACTAAACAGCATCCCCCATGTAATCAAAATTCAGGACCTTGGCAACTGGCATATATTTATAATGGTTGTAATGTCACCATTTGCGACCTTCCCAGCTGACTTCCAAAATCCCAGCAAAATCTATGGAGTAAGCCAGATTAACTTAATTTACTTAACTGCAGTGATTCAGTTAATATCTGTATTCTTAAATGAAGAGTTACATCTACAAAGTGAAAATAATATCTAGTGCTTGGTGTCAATGTTGAACACATATCGGTTCTAATTCCTTGAAATTAAGTCCACTCTGCAAATCATAGGAATGTTTTAAGAGATATACTGTTACTCAGACTTCTATACAGATGCACTTGAAGAGATATGAGATCTCTGGCAGTTGAATAAACAATATCATTATTAAGGAGGAAAATAGTAAATTTTTCCACAGTATTCTAGCAAAGTAGCAAAATCCAAATATAGACTCCTAGAGTTGAATGAGTTCCTGAATCCAATCCCATTCTCAGGGTTGGAATCAAAATTAAAGCAACCCTGAACTGATTCTATACCCTCATCTTAAATTTCATCTGAGATAGATGGAAGCAATTCAGAGCCTTCTGTTTTAAATGACATCCTCCCATTATGTTTTTCAACTATGCTATCATATCTCTCTTTGTTTCAGTCTTTTCAAGGCTAAGTATATCCAGGGCAGAGTCCATAAGAATCTACCTTTTAGTCCTAGCCCAATTGATTAACTGATAGTCCTTGATTTATGACCACAATTGAGCCCAAACTTTCCATTGCTAGGCAAGATAGTTGTTAAGAGAGTTTTGCCCCATTTCTAGTTTTGCCCAACCTTTCTAGCCACAGAGGTTAAGTGAATCATTGCAGTTTTCCAAGTTAGTAACATGATTATTAAGTGAATCTGGGTTCCCTATTGTCTTTGCTTGTCAGAAGGTTGCAAAAGGTAATCACATGACCCTGTGACACTGCAACCATCATAAATATGTCAGTTGCCAAGTGTCTGAATTTTGATCGTGTTAACTATGAGCATGCTTCAACCGTCGTTATGTGTAAAAAGTGGTCAAAAGTTACTTTTTTCATTGTAAATTTGAATGGTCACTAAATGAATGATTATAAGTTGAGAACTACGTGTAAGGCTGTAAATTTAAGGATACTTTCTAGGTAGATCTGTGGATAGTGATCCTCTTAAAGCTTATTTGTGGAATGTACTATACTTTTGAAGAAATGTACACACAAGTCTGAGCAGGAACTGGGGAAATGATGAAAGGATTGCATCTGTCTATATTTTTTGTAATGAGAGACAGATCCTTGATTAATCTTCAGAATGTTGGCACCTGGTGTCTTATGAGCATCAGAATTAAATGGAGAAATTCAAGAAAGAAACAAGACGTTCTTAGCTGACAAGCTTGGGGAAAGAGCTGCCAGTTTAGAAGTACCAGCCAAGAAAACGAAGAATTTATTTCTGAAAAATAATTGCTTTATATCTATTAAGGCAAGAGTGGATAGATGTTCACTACATATTGAATACACTCATCAATCAAACCTGTGAAGGCTTTTTATTACAAAAAACAAAAACAATCCGCCTAAGAATTTCTTGAAATATATTCCAAAAGACATGGCCAAAAAAAGAGCCTTGGTGGCACAATGGTTAGAATGCAGTACAGGTAGTCCTCAACATATGACAATTGAACCCAAAATTTATGTTGCTAAATAAGAAATTTGTTAAGTGAGTTTTGCCACATTTTACAACTTTTATTGCCACCTTTGTTAAATGAATCACTGCAATTGTTAAATTAGTAGCACGATTGTTAAGTGAATCTGGCTTCCCCATTGACTTTGCTTGTCAGGAAATCATAAAAGGGGATCACACTGTGACAGTCATAAATGTGAGTCAGTGGTCAAGTATCTGAATGTAAATCACATGACTATAGGGATGCTGAAACAGTCATAAGTGCGAAAAATGGTCCTAACTCACTTTTTTTCAGTGTCATTGTAACTTCAAACGGTCACTAAATGAACTGTTGTAAGTCGAGGACTATCTGTATTGCAGGCTAATTCTGCCCACTGCCAGAAGTTCGATCCTGATGGGGCTCAAAGTTGATTCAGCCTTCCATCCTTCCGAGGTCAGTAAAATGAAAACCAAGATTGTTGGGGGATAATACGCTGATGTTTTACACTGCTCAGAGATTGCTGCAAAACACTATGGAACAGTATATAAGTCTAAGTGCTATTGCTATTGCTAAAGTGTTTTATTTCAGTAGTAAAGAGCTAATGTACTACAATACTAAAATAATGCATTAAAGGTGTCAGCAGTCTAACTCTAATGAAGGATATTGACTAGATGGGTACTAACTGTACTAGCTCCTCCTATGGATTGAGGAGACAATTTAGGGTGGACATACTGCTTCAAAAATTATGGAAGTTTGTAATGGGCTACTGCCCTCTGGTGACCATTAAGGGAATTGTGTAATATGTATGAGTAAGTGGCAGCTCAACGCTGGTTATCTGTTTCTTCTTTTTCCTTCCAACTTTCCCAGCATTACAGATTTCTCCAGAGAGCCAGGTGTTTTGCACAGTGAGTCTGGTTATTTAGGCTTTGAGTGGGCATTCTGGATTGGTTTGATAATCCATTTGTTTTCTTAAATATTAATGATATACTCAGAAGTCTTCTCCAAAGTTTAAAAGAGTCAGTGTCATGTGGAATACTGTTGTCCACACAATTCTGATCTTGGTAGATAAAAACACTTCCCAGCATCTGAATACAGGAAGTTTTTGGGTTGCGAACAAGTTCCATTCTTAACTCTATCTTTATTTCGAATTTGCACAAGTAGTCCTCAACATAAGACCACAATTAAATTAAAAATTTATGTTGCTAAGTGAGACAGTTAATTTTGTGATTTTATCACCTTTCTTGCCACAGTTGTTAAGTGAAGCACTGCAGTAGTTAAATTAGTAATGACTTTCCCATTGACTTTGCTTGTCAGAAGATCACATGATCCTGGGACACTATATAACCTTCATAAATATGAACCAGTTGCCAAGAATCCAAATTTTGATCATGTGATCATAGGTTTGCAGCAATGGTCATAAGTGTGAAAAACCGTCATAAGTCACTTTTTCCAGTGAGGTTAACTTTGAACAGGCACTAAATGAGCTGTTACAAGTTGAGGACTACCTGTATGCAAATCAGAATTTATATGTACGAGTGGGCTATTATTAAAAATGGCAGACAGCATTGCCTTTCCTCAAGCTGACAAATCGCTGAAGTTGTGCAGTGTTTTCATAAATTACCAAAAACCACTGACAATAGGCTGTTTATTAAAAAACATATGGCTTCAGTGATTCATAAAACATTGCACGGCTTCAACCGTTCATTCGCTTAAGGACAATGCCAGCCACCTCTTTTAGTAACAGGCAGCATGTTCATATCTAAAGGTTGTCCTTAAGTCAGACATTCTTAACTAGAGGACCACCTGTATCTTTTTCAAGACTTCATGGCTACTCTCCCAGACTCTCCCAGAATCACTTGAGATGGGCAGCCACATAAATGAATAAATAAAGGTGGTAGTCTGTGGTACCTTCTTGGAAGTTACAATTGCTGCAAAGTTCCTGTAGTCATTCATCCTTACGATCAATTGCAGAGATGCTGCAGCATTCTCCCCCCCACCCCCTGCCTATCTATCGTCCATTCCCCACCACACACACACTGATTCCTTGCAGGCTCACGGAAATGGCTCAGCAAAAAAGTAGCTTGCTTTGCTTTCTTAACACAAACTCTGCAGCATTCTGCAGTGCTGCAGAACACTATGGAATGTTGCTGTTGGAAGAAAAATCTACTCAGGTTCCAAGCCGGGAGAAAGACGCAGGAATTTGGAGGCAAGCTGCAGCAAAGGAGATCTCCATTTATTTATGAATCAGAAGCAAAGTGACTCAGTATCGGTTCTGGAACAGCTGACACAGAACCAATGCTGACTCACTTTGTTTCTGATTCCTAAATAAATGGAGACCTCCTTTCCTACAGCTTGTCTCCAAATTTATTGGTTCCTGTACCTTTCTTCCAGCTTAGAATCGGACTGGATTTTTCTTCCAACACTGTAAAATTCACTTTAAGAAAGCTAAACACTTCGTCACTGGGTCATGCAATGTGATTCCAGAAGTGGCCATCATTTTGGCAGTCCTGAGCAATCATTTGAGTGCTTCACATAACAGCCATCAAGACTTCTGACCATAAAGGGTAGGCTCCATTTTAGTTGTAAGATAAGAACTTCTGCTCCAACATCTGTCACTTCTTAGTAACTGCCAGCTCTACTCCCATTAGTTTGTTTGAGAAGTTAGAAGTTTGGGCACTAATGTGTTGCATAATGTTCATTACATAAACAGGATATAAAAGAAATTCATGCCTCTACTTAAAAGAATTGGGAGAACATTTTTAAGAATAATAAATGAGCCCAGATCATTTATCTTCTACACGTCATGTCTTGCCCTGCAGAAACATAATCTACAATAAATTGTAAACTAAAATTAAATTAGGACATCATCCAATAAGATTGGAAGTTCCAGTTCATTGGCAGCAAGATGCAGAGTCCTCCATGAATTCAAGAAGATTTACAAGTGCGGCACTGCTATTCCTTCTATGCATTCCCTAAAGATCAGGGGTGAAATGCTACTGGTTCACTCTGGTTCGCCCAAACCAGTAGTAATAAAAACTACCGGTTCAATCGAACTGATGGTTTAAAAAAACTACGATCCGACGATCACCTGTGCCGCGCAGTTTAGCTTTGTTAGAAAGTAGGATTTCCTGATTTCTAGCTAAGCTAAACTGCGCTTCACAGCTGATTCTACCCCCTTGCTGTTCTACTTACTTTCCCAAGCCTCCTTTTGCTGCGTACAGCACATGCACATGCATGCAGTATGGGCCAAAAAGAGGCCTGAGAAGGTTAAATAGAATAGCAAGGGGGGATCAGCTGTGAAGCGCAGTTTAGCTTCGCTAGAAAGCAGGAAATCCTGCTTCCTAACAAAGTCAAACCACACGGCACAGGTGATTGTTGGATCATAGCTCTTTTTAACTACCTGTTAAACACGCACTGCACTTTTTAAATGTGCAGTGCATGTTTGGCGCGAACTGCACATGCAGCGCACTTTGGATGTGTACTGTTTGGTGTGCATGTGTGCAAGCAGCGCGCGCTTGGCGCACATGTGTGGCCAGCAGACTGGTAGCAAACTGGTTCAGATTTCACCACTGCTAAAGACTATACATATGTTTACATCCCATACTGTTTTTCCCATTTGGGGCTAACTGTTTTACTATTTCTTGGCTAAGAACAGGAAAAAGACTCAAAGATCCAACTGACCTAGTCATAGATCTGGCTCAAACCTACACTATGTGGAATATCCGATCAGTCACAATGGGAGAAGGAGTAGGGTGCCTAAGAAATGAAGTTTCATCATCTGTGCAAGCCAATTCAAGTCGAGGCCCCAGAATTTAGATGGAAGAAATTCAAAATAACAATATATTTTGTCTTCCAGATTTTGGCTAATACAGATGATGGCATTAAGTTGAGGGCTGTAGCCCCAAGGCTTGAAACTTATGTGTACATATATAGAAGCAAACATGATTGAATTTTAAGGGCCTAACGTCTTCATGCCTAGAATAGGCATCTTTTGATAACCCATAGATCAATTTGACAGCTTAGATATAAGTTTTGCAAGTGCAAGACGCAAGTTAATTCTTTTATCAATAAGCTTTTTAGTAGAGATCTAGATGAGAATCTGTAAGAAAAGAACATTCAAAGCCAGTATGAAGAAACTTTTGTGTCTTCGATTATGGCAATGAAAGGAAATGGGGCACAAATATTAAAATGATGACATCTTTTTTCTGTGGCTTGTGGAGTAAAACGTGGTAGGTAATGAAGGATCTTCCAAAACAAGGGAACAATTCTAACCCTTTCCTCATTTAGATACCAAATCGCTTATAGTCTCACAAACACTAAACACAATAATTTAAGAGCAGGTGTTTATTGGCATGTCATTCCAAGGAGGACAGGCAGGGTTTCCAGGAGGCCCCATTCCTCATTTAGTGAGTCTTATCATAAGTCCCACTTCCCTTATAAGCCCCAACATAGCCGCTGTTGTCAGTTATTTCTGCACGCCCAGCTATCCCTTTGCCTTTGCCGCTTTCATCAAAGCGTTCCTTGTGAGAACCCGTGTATTTGCTGGTGTCCGTCAGTCTGTCTACTGCACCAGCTGCAACAGTTTTCTGCAAAACAATTTCGCAAAGTATCAGCTGCCTACTGATGTTGGGTTTTGGGGAAGAGAAGATGATGCTGATAAGCTGATTCTAACACATGGGAAATTCACAGGCCAGTACAAATGAGCTACAGGGATAAGGAACAAATGGGATGTATTGCCTTTATTCACATCAAGACTTACATATTGGGTGAATCATTACGGATTATGGGCTTTTTTAGGGTTCTGCACAGTATGTTAACTGTTCCTAACACTGTGCTTTTCTGGAAGGGTGGAAGAGAGAGAGAGGTGGGGGCACAGGGACGGGGAAAGAGAATAGAATGTCGTTTCTGGTCACTTGAGTAATAGCAGAAGATGCAGAATAAAATCAATAAAAGCCACTGGATGAGAGGTAATGTGGTTTCTTCTGAGTATCATGGAATTTTTCCAAAAAAGATTTCACTGGTTTTCTTTCAGTGCTGTTTGGAGAGCCACAAATAATTGTTATAGCAATGCTACTAGTGATGATCACAAGCTTGCAATCTATAAGGGATCTTCCCTGCAGCTATGATATGATCAGTAGCTTAGTCATACAAAAAGAATTAAAAGAAGAAATAACAGAATAGCAAAGTTGGAAGGGACCTTGGAGCTCGTCTAAGGACCTAGGAGCTCTACTTAAGCAGGAGACCCTTATACCATTCCAGGCAAGTGACTGTCCAGTCTCTTCTTAAAAGCCTTCAATAATAGAGCACCACAACCTCTGAAAGCAAGTCGGTCAGGAAAGTGATTACTGGGAAGAAAGGAAGAGCAAGAAATGCGGGGAGAAATCAGTAGGGCATGATGAGCAGCCATATAAATTAAATTAATAAACAAACAAAAACAAATTAGGTATGAGAGATTACAGTTAAAGAATGTAGTGCATCTGAATAGGTCTTGCTCAGGTATCCCTCGCAGCATCATTGATTGGCTGCATCCCTCATTTGTAGGGAGCTCTTCACTCACCGTCGCTCCTACATTGCCTGGTTCCTTGCCCTCCATCAACTGGTGAGTGGCCTGCAAAGCCTCCTCTGCGGACTTTCCTTTGAAGCGTTTAGCACTCAGCTCTTTTATTGCTTCTTGGAATTCTGGATATGTTATGTTGCGAGCAGTCTTGGTCCTGGAATACACAAACACAGCAACTCTGACCCTCAGTAGAAGACAAACCCTGAACAAGGCATCTGAGAATTTACAAAGAAGATAGTGTTATAAACAACAATTATTTCAAGACAATTATCCCATTAATCAAACATAAGGGGGGGAGGAATAATTGTCCAATTAATAAAACATAGGAGGGAAAGCCTTCAATTATTTACAAACAGAAGATGGCATGTCAGGAAAGTAATTTCTAGTTCTGATGTTATTCTGCTGTAATATTCTTTACAGTAGGTTTCTAGTTGCATGTTCTTTTTAAGCAGCCAGTATAATTAAAGGAAGACAGTGATCCATTCCTGTAATAGTGAAAATGACCTTGGAAGACAAGAGGAGGATCTGCAACCTAAATAAAAGAAACTAAACAGAAAAAGGAGGATGAAATACTCGTAGTCTTGGAAAATTGATGTCAGATTTGTGATGTAGTCCAGACAAGATGTACAGGGATGAACTGATCCTAATTTATTGTAAGGTTACTTTAACATAATCTTGCAAAAATGAAAGCATTTGAAAAAAGTAAGGTTCTACATTTAGGCAAGAAAAATAAAATGCACAGGTACAATATATGCGGTACCTCACTCAATAGTAGTAACTGTGAGAAGGATCTTGGAGTCCTAGTGGACAACCATTTAAATATGAGCCAGCAGTGTGCAACAGCTGCCAAAAGAGCCAACACAGTTTTAGGCTGCATAAACAGAGAGATAAAATCAAGATCATGTCAAGTGTTAATACCACTTTATAATGCCTTGGTAAGGCCACATTTGGAATAATGCATCCAGTTTTGGTCGGCACGATGTAAAAAAGATGTTGAGACTCTAGAAAGAGTGCAGAGAAGAGCAACAAAGATGATTAGGGGACTGGAGGTTAAAACATATAAAGAATGGTTGCTGGAATTGGGTATGTCTAGTTTGATAAAAAGAAGGACTAAGTGTGATATGATAGCAGTGTTCCAATATCTCAGGGGCTGCCACAAAGAAGAGGGAGTCAAGCTATTCTCCAAAGCACCTGAAGGTAGGACAAGAAGCAATTGGTGGAAACTAATCAAGGAGAGGAGCAACCTAGAACTAAGAAGAAATTTAGACAGTTAGAACAATTTATCAGTGGAACAACTTGCCTCCAGAAATTGTAAATGCTTCAACATTGGAAGTTTTTAAGAAAAGATTGGATAACCATTTATATGAAATGCTATAGGGTTTTCTGCCTAAGCAGGGGGTTGGACTAGAAGACCTCCAAGGTCCCTTTCAACTCTGTTCTTCTATTATTCTCCCCCCCCCTCTTCTTTTAGTCTCCCAAAAACCAAGGGAAGTCCCCATTCAAAACCCTTTGCATGCTTCCCCCCCCACCCGCAAACTGAGCTGTCTTATTATCCTATTGCCTAGGTTGTAGGCCTTCCTCTTACCTCCCAAGGTCATTCCCACATACCATTACACCTCTACACAATTCTATTGAATCGGGATACCACATTATCTTGCATTATTTTGCTTCCTGAGTAGATCTGCCTTCATCTATTTATGATTACAAACATGGCTTCTCCCAATTCATACTGACAAGATCCTAGTCACCTTTATGTCACACACACACACACACACACACACACACACACACACACACACACGGGTCATTTTCAAAGCCACACAGATTGTACATTTATGAAGGTTTATATGGGGAGAAGAGGAAAATGCCACTTAAATATTGGATCAAATAAATAAATTTAGGTGGCCTCGACTATAGACTGGGGATGAGGAACAGGCCCTGCATGTCCTTAAGAAAAGGCATCTCTGTTTCACAGTGAAGGGACATCACGATGTGTCTTGACTGAAACAAAATTATCTGGCTCACAATTTAAAAAGAAGAGCAATGTTGCAGTAATAACTATTTACACATTAGCCTTATTGAGGTTGGATGCCTGTCCACAAATATATATACACACACCAACCCTTCAGCTCACTTGACTTTATTGAAGACAATGTCCACATCAGTGCTGGTCACTGCTTTGCCATCCATTACACCACATTCCTTCAACATCTTGGAGAAGTTCTTGCCTGTCATGTCATTGCCTGTGGCAGCTGTGTCTCCATACACAGCAAATTTGCGGAAGGCTTTTTCCAGCTCTGACATCCTTCTGCACTTGGGAAAAGGAAAGAAAAGGAGGAAGCAAGAGAACTTGCAAGCTTTGCTCACAAGTTCACCCCAAAGCAAGGCCAGAAGGTGGGTTAGTTGCTAAATGGTACTATCAGGATTTCATAAGATGGATCTCCTGGATAGGAGGAAAGTAATTGAGATAGATAACTTGGTGCCCTTCAGCTTTTCTGAACAATTCTGAGAGCCCCAGCCAAGAAATTCTATAGGATTTGATCCCATATGCATAATACTCATATACAGCTGTAAATACATATAAATTACTGGTTCTGAAATGACAGAAAGTGTGTTGGAGATGACCAGGCTGAACCTCATGAAAGGGTTCGGCCATCCATCATCAGTCTTGAGTTCCTGCAACACCCACAAGAGATCTAAGTCCAGCCCACCTTGAATTCTGTTGACTCCTATCTTCTGCCAATTTGGTTTTATTGTTAGTAGTTCAGATTCTAGTAGAGAGTTTAAATTTTCAATAAACCTATATATTCATTTGAACTGCCTGGACTCCTGATTTCCACACTTGATCAAATGTCACAAAATACAGTCAAGCAAGTGCCAAACTAGAGATACCTACGGTCCCAGTTCTACTGGGATCTTGAATCATTAATCATTAATGATTAGCACATTAATCATTCAGGTGTTCCATTAGCCAAAAGTAAAGCTACCAATTCATTGTAGCGTTTTTTTTAGGCTTATGACATACAATCCACGTGGACTATCATTTGAAATTCAGTAATTAGAGTTAGCAGTTACATAAAAATCTTCAACAATAAAGAATCTAGAGGGAATTGAATACATTCCATTCATTAAGAGAAAGCTTTTAAAGAAATGTGAGGGAAGCAGGTGGACTTTGAGAAGTGACTCTCTTTAATGGAGCAAATACAGAATTCATTTATAATGGGCAAAGCAGAAAAATAAAATTCAAAACAAGTAACCTTAAGCCTTCTTGCCATAATTTTTAAAAATATAGCATTCGCAAATATATGCATTTGGGGGCACTGGGTATAGTTATGGTTCATAACAGAAAAAATTATTGATGAGAATGAAAAAAACTAATTTGTAACTTAGGACAATAAGAATTACAAATTATGACTAAAAGATAGGGCAGGAGTAGAAGAGCAGGAGGGAGGTGGGATCTCCTATGGTCCATCAATCAATCTGCTATTGGTCCTTCAAGATTTGTTTGTTTCTTTCATGTTCAAAATCAGAAAACAGTATGAATTCATTCTTTCTCACAATTCCTTTTGTTACAGCAATGCAGGCAGCCTATAAGAATGTTCAACAGACCAAAGCTCTCCACTTCCTCCTATAATCACTTTGATGAACAAATATAATCACAATCAGTTAAATTAGAATACAGTGAATCAAGCTGAAGAAATGTTTTTCATCAAAAGGGATCACAAGCTATTTCATCCTGGGTTAAAATATGATGTAGCAGTATTTGTCCATGATCAATTTCTAGTGTTGCCTCTGTTTCTAATGTTTAAGTATTTCTTTTTTCAAGAAAATATGTAAAGGACAATTTTATGGGAAGATAGAGAATAAACCCAAGAGATATCAGAGAGAAGAAAGGATGTACTTAAAAAGAGTCTAGTGTGACAGTACAATTATTGAAATAATTATCAGTGAGGAAACATACATTTTAAAAAGCCATATTGTAGAAAATGTATGCTTATATATAAAATAGTGTAGAAAGTTAGCACACACCCCTCTCCTACAAAAATGAAATATTATAAAAAATATTAAAAAGGCAGAATATTGTATTTTCCCTAAAGGAGAAACATGTTCCTAAAGACATAAACTCAGAGCCTCAGTTCCCTGCCCCCCCCCCCCCAATATTTTGGTGCCAATCTATCAACAAGAAAAAAGGCTGAGTCACTTTATCTACAAAACAAAAGACCTTCACCTTCAGGACATGATAGGATTAGTCCTCACTCAAGAACCAAACTAGACAGGAACCACTCGGGTGGTTGTTGTTGTTTTTTTGTTTTTTTTTTAATATGAAGATATTTGTTATTGATGGGGGCAGATGGTAATTGAAGATACCGAACATACTGTTGGAATTAGGATGTGATGTTACCCTAACATGGGTGATGGAGTTTACAATCCAGCTGAATGACATTATAGAAGATATTATATGGATTACAAGCCTAAAGTCTTTTTAAGAGGATTTTATTTACATAAGGGAATATTTTTTAGGGGAGTGGGCAGAAGAATAAAGATATTAAGATTTATTAAGTATGGTAGTCTTGTAGGAAAGTGGGTGGAGACAGGTTAGTTTATTGATTGTTTAGTTTAAGAAAAGGGATATTATGTTTAGATATGAATATACGTAAAAGATTTGAGTTAAGAGATATAACGATGAGGGTGAAGGAAATGGGTAGACGATGAACTGAATAAATGTTAAATTAGGATTTATTATATAGTTTTATAGCGGAAGGTTGTTTTGAAATGTTAGATTAATATACATAAAAGATTTGATTTATTATTATGTTAAATTAGGAGTTATTATATAATGTTATAGTAGAATGTCATTTTGAAATGTATAGTATAGGGGGGATATGATAATTTTATTAGAAATAAAGGGTCAGTATGTGGGGATGGAGTAAGGGGATGGTAAAGTATTATATAATCTGTTATGAATTTGGGTTTTATTATGAAGAAGTCACAGGGGGAGAGGAGGGGGAGGGGGGGTTAGGGAGGAGGGGGGGAAAGGGGAAAAAATTTGTATTTGAAAAACTTTTTTAATAAAAAAAAAAAAAAAAAAAAGAACCAAACCAGGACAAAGCCATTAAGCCATAATAGGAATTGCCCAACACCCTTTCAGAACACAGCCCTCTTCATTACAGCATTACCCAGCAAGATTCAACCAAGCCTGGGACTCAAGACAATCTATAAAGTTACCCCTGCATGCCCCTATGGAAGTCTGACAACCAATCAGGATTCCTGCCCTTATACAGGAACAGGATGGTCCTGTCCACCATTAAACCATCTTTCCAAACAGCCTCCATGTTTCCAATGTTTTTCTCCCCACTTGGAACTGAACCCAGATGGACATTTCTTCAAACAATAGTCTGTAGAGATTCTCAGTCATCCAGGTCATGGTTGCCCAAAGGTGCTTTTTCAGGAGGCAACTGGACTTTGGTTTTCTTTGAAGACGTTTTGCTTCTCCTCTAAGAAACTTCTTCAGCTCTGACGGGATAGTTGGGAATGGAAGGATTTATATTCCTTGCAGACAGATGGTAATATGCATCCTTTTAGAGGATCGTTGAAGCACTTGGAGGTTTATCGGTGTCCTCAGGGTCATCTGAGTAGTGCTCCTGGTTCTATTTTATATATAAAATAGAGCTCATAATTTTGTTTTTTTGCTTTGCCCATTTATAAATGAATTCTGGTCTGGTAATGAGTGAAAAGTCTTGCCAGATTCTTAATGTCATATCTGCTTGGAAGGTTATCTTGCAATTCTTTTCAATAATTTGGGTCTCATGACTTTGACCAGAGCAGTGTTTCTCAACTTAGCAAGGACTTCAGTTCCCAGAATTTCCCAGCCGCGGTTGAGGAACACTGGATCAAAGTATTGGGACTTAGACAAAGTTGAGCCATTTGGGATGCAGTTGGGGAGGAAAAATTAAAAGGGGGGGAACCAAATGCCTTCCTCCCAGTGATAATATGGAGTCATCTTTTAAATCTAAAAATGCAAGATTTAGAACTGATAAAAGAAAGGTGTACCTTTAAATATTATCCATAGCTAATTTGTGGAATCTATCGATATAAGATTTGGAGATTGCGTCAATTCACAGCATTCAGAGGGGAGGGTCAAAAAAGGCAAGATAGAGGAAACAGCACAATTCAATCCATGATCTGCATATATATTTTAACTTTTAAAAACACCATAAAATAGAGCAACCCTTCTGAGTTTACTTTCTGAATGGAAATTGGATTCTGGATCTCATCAGTCCTACTATTAATTGTCCAATATAACCAAGAAAAATAATCCCTCCTCAGACAATCAGAGCAACACAATCTGTAACTAAAGTCATTTTTCTCCTACATATAAATAGCCATCCCTTTTCCACTTCCTTAATCCTCTCAAAAACCTTTGCATAACTGATAATTGCAAGCTGTATTAGGTACATAATTTTAGGTTGAATAGAGGCTCAGAAAGGAGTTACAGGAACTCTTTGAGAAGAAGCTGGGCCCAGCCTGCATATTTTCTGCCTTCGTAATTGTATTAATAAGAATTTTGAAATAGTTGAAAATGGGAGTGGCACAAAATGTGATGCTCTAGCTTTGAAAGTTTTGCTTCAAAACTCTTTGAGTAAAGAGTCAGAAAGACATAGAGGTTTTTCTTTTATTATGTGTACATCTTGACTTTCTTTAAGGATTCATGACTGGTATCCATGAGTGCTGCTCTTTTTCTATTCATAGCAATCCTATATGGTAGATTTGAATGTCTAAATGTCTAATTGTAACCAAGATAAAATGCCTTCAAGACCCTTAAACTTGCTAGATTAAATCTAGGCTGAGGAATGAAGTATAGAAGACTTTCTTCCAATGATAATTGATTTGAAGATGGACTTACCTAAATGGCCTTGGGGCCCCCTGCCTTACTCTTTCTTGAATATGTTCCTCCTAGGAAGGACAAGACCTGCTTTGAGTTTGAACCACCAGGGTCTTAGGAGTTTACTTTACAGTGGGAATTGTGACTTTATCAAGTTATCTATGACATCATGGCTGATCTCACTTTGGTAATCTGATTTCCTTTCAACTAGAGATGGCCTGTGGTAAGAAGTTTGATTAGCTTCAAAATTTCTTGGCATTTCAGATCCCAGCTACATATCATTTTCTAGGAAGAACTGGAGAAAAGTCACCATGATGAAATAAGATAACTCATCCATAATTGTTGCATGAGATAGAATTTTGACAGATTATACAGAGATCTGTATGCTAGCTTTAAAACTCTTTGAATATTAGTAATGATGCAAAATAAACCCTGATTCCTTTTAGTGTAGTGCTTTCGAAGGAAGGAAGGAAGGAAGCAAGCAAGGAAGGAAGGATTGATTTTAATTATATGTGTATATAATTATTTTACAATGGTTTATGTTATGTACGGATTGGCTAGAATCTACATAAGTTTCCATGCTCACCATGGATTGACTAGAATCTACATAAGGTTTCATGCTCACCGCTGATTGGCTGTCCGGACTGTGGGAGATTTAACCTGCTGTCATTGGCTGGCTGGTCTACCTGGAGTTCCTTAAAAAGGCGAGCTCCGGCAGCCCAGCCGGCAGAGCGCATTCACATTTTGCTGGAAATAAAAAGGTGCTGAATTCACTAACAACTCTTGCCTGCTGCCTTTGCGCTGATCTAACACTGGCAACAAAGGACAAAAAGGCACCTGAGAACCTCCTCGTGAACCACGCAGCTGTCTTGAAACAAGGACCTCTGACCATCTGCATGAATGGCATCACAAGTATCGCCCCAGCGATCTTCGACTCGCAGACGGAAGACTGGCACACATATATGGGCCATTTCAGAATGTTCCTGGAGGCCAAAGATTACCAGGACAGGCCGGACAACAGGAAGCAAGCATTATTCCTGACCTACTCCGGCACCAAGATCTACAAAATGGCCCAGCACTGATCGCCTCAGCAGATGTGGAGACCGTCACCTGGGCCACCCTGCAACGTGCCCTGGAAGACCACTACATACCATCCACCGCCCCCATGGTCAGCCAAAATTAGTTTTACCACCGGCGCCAACGAGAGGGAGAAACTGTCAATGACTTTGTGGCCAGCCTCCGGGAGATCGCTACCAGGTGCGAGTTCATAAATCCCAAAGAAATGATGAAGGACTGCTCTACAAAAGAAACTGTTGATAAGAAGAGGGGTCTCATTCAAGGACATTGTCGAGGAGGCCAGGGCTGCAGAATCATCAGACAACTCGGTGGCAAACGTAAGGAAGACCAGCGGGGTGCACCCGACATACTGGGAGCCCGACTAGTCAACTGAAGTGCCTGAGTACGATGACGTCTGGGGCGACACAGACAACACCATCCACTGCGTGTACCCAGAAAAGTGGCAGAACCCCAGGGACATGGAGAACAGGCAGCCACGTTGTCCAGGCTGCATGGGTTTCCACACAAGGGTGGCTTGCCATTTCCAGGATACAACATGCCGCCGATGCCAAAGAAAGGGCCACATTGCCAAAGCCTGCAAAGTGCCCCAACCCATTCCCATTCAGCCAAAGCCTATAGCCCCGTCAGGAAGACCAGGGAACCCTAGAGCTGGCCAACAACGAAGCAGACAAAGAAAGGACCAATACCAAGCTCCCAGAAAAATCCATCACACAACCGTGGGACACACAGATGCATATGAGCAGGAGAAATACCACGCAGTCATGACCATTGAAGGGGAACCATGGAAAATGGAGCTGGACACAGGGTCATATTTTACAATAGTATCCTGGCAAACAATCAAGAAGTTGAACCCAGCCGCAAGCAGGAAGTTCCTGAAGCCGCCAAATGTCTGCCTGAATGACTATCAAGGGAACCGGATAGAGGTACTAGACAGAATGGAGGTCAAAGTAACATTCCACAAGTTCCAGGGCCGGCTGCCGCTCACAGTCGTTGGTAGCCACCGGCCATGACTGCTGGGAGTAGAATGGTTTAAACCCCTGGGCCTGGACATCACCAGACTGCACAATGTAACCACCCACGAACTGGACCAGCTGTTGGCAGAGTTCACAGATGTCTTTGATGAGGGCCTAGGTAAATATACGGGGAAACCCATTTCATTTAACCTAGACCCCCATGTGACCCCCATCAGGCTCAAACCCAGTAGGTTACCATTTGCTTTGTGGACCAAGGTTGAGAAACAATTAGACAAGCTCATTGCCCAGGGAATCCTCGTGCCAACCGACCACGCGATGTGGGAAACTCCCATAGTTACCCCCATGAAGCCAGATGAGTCCGTCTGCATCTGCGCAGATTACAAATGTACACTAAACAAGGCCCTCCAGCAGAGTGCGTACCCAGTGCCCATGGTGCAACATCTGTTGCATTCCCTAGAAAGCGAGAAGATATTCGCCAAGCTGGACCTTGCCCAGGCCTATCAGCAGCTGCCAGTAGACGAAGCCATTGCTGAAGCACAAACGATAGTGACTCACAGGAGGGCATTTAAATGTATCAGGTTGCAGTTTGGGGTCAGTTTAGCCCCAGGACTTTTCCAGTGCCTAATGGAGCGGCTACTGCACAGGATCCCAGGGGTGGTGCCATACTTCGATGATGTTTTTATATCAGGGGAGTCAATAGGCCAGTTGATGGAACATGTGTGCGAAACCTTGGAGAGATTCCAGAAAAAAGAACTCAAAGTGAACCTTAATAAATGCAAAATTGGCGTAAGGCAGGTAGAGTTCCTGGGCTACCTAATAGATGGGTCGGGCATCCACCCGACTGACAGCAAGATGAAAGCCATTAAGAATGCCCCCACCCCGAAGAATAAGGCAGAACTGCAAGCCTTCTTGGAATTGTTAAATTTTTACAGCACATTTTTACAACAGAAGGTCACCATTGCTGAACTGCTCCACAACTCCTGGGGAAGACGACACCGTGGACTTGGGGACGGAGGGAAGATCAAGCTTTTGCAGCAGTGAAAGACCTCCTCTCGTCCGACAGTGTCCTGATCCAATATAACCACAAGTTGCTGGTTCGGATCACCTGTGACACCTCCCCTTTCAGAGTTGGGTCGGTCCTCAGCCACCGCCTACCAGACAGAATGGAAGCACCGATAACATACTACTCCCAGACCCTGTCATCAGCCGAGCGCAACTACAGCCAAATTGATAAGGAGGCCTTGGCGTGGTGACAGGGATCAAGCGGTTCCACGATTATGTATATGGTAGGCATTTCGAGATTGTAACCAACCATAAGCCCCTATTAGGACTCCTCACCGGTAACCAACAAACCCCGCCATACATGTCCCTGAGGATGACCAGATGGGCCATTTTCTTCACTGTGTACAACTATGAGCTGATCCACTGCCCCGGCAAAGACATCAGCCACTCCGACATTCTCAGCCGCTGCCAGAATTGGTAGAAGACTCTGCACCCACCGTCCAAGGGCTGTTGATCGACATCGACCCGGCCAGCCCAGTGACCACCAGAGACATCGCTGAACACACCCAAAAAGACAAAATGTTAAGAAAGGTTCTGAACTGGGTGTTGAGGGGGTGGCCATAGGAGAACCTGGGGGAGGAGTTCAAGAGTTACCACAGCAAGCAAACCGAACTGTCAACCATTAAGGGCTGTTTGCTGTGGGGAGAAAGGGTTGTCGTTCCCCAAAAGCTTCGGAGGCGCGCCCTGGACGCCCTGCATGTGGGACACTCTGAGATCGTGAGGATGAAGGTGTTAGCCCAGAGCTACATCTGGTGGCCCCAGATGGACAAGGACATTACCGAGTGGATGGCCACCTGCAAACCCTGCCAAGGGACGCGACCAGCGCCACCACAGGCACCCACTCATGAATGGGAAGCGGCCAAGGGGCCCTGGTCCCGCATACATATTGACTTTGCAGGGCCAGTAGAAGGACAGACGTTCCTGATTGTCGTGGATGCATACTCCAAATGGCTAGAGGTGATCATCATGCAGATAACCACGACAGAAGCCACCATCCAAGCCCACCGACGGCCGTTCGCCACCTACGGTCTACCCGACGTCCTGGTTTCTGATAACAGCCCACAACTGACAGCCAAGACCATGGAGGCATTCCTCGCAGAGCAAGGGGTCCGGCACGTGCTCATCTCTTCTTTCCACCCAGCAAGCAACGGGCAGGTCGAGCAAATGGTGAGACTAACCAAGGAAGCCCTCACCCAAATGGGCCCAGGAAAAAATCGACCAGTTCCTCCTCACTCAACACATCACCCCCCATGTGACCACCACCAAGAGCCCAGTGGAGTTGCTGATGGGAAGAAGGCTGAGATCACAACTTGACCGATACCACCCGGACTACCTTCCTGAGACTCCCCTGGACTCCGCACAGCCCACGCGGGCATTCAATGTACAGGACCGGGTATTCACACACAGCTATGCAGGGTACCTGACCTGGCTGGTGGGCCGAGTCGTGGCTGTCACTGGCCCCAAGTCATACCGCATTGAGCTGGAGGACAGGCGGATCTGGAGGAAGCATATCGACCAATTCAGACACCCCCTGGGGGACACCAAGCTGAGGAACCAGGGTGACTGGACCATGACCGGAGAGTCAGAGCAACAATTGCAGAACCTGAGGTCTCCGCCCCGAGGAGCACGCTCAACCGCCGGCCGGGAAGCAGACGAGCAGGAACCAGGCCTACCCGGTGGTCCAAAAGGGGGACTACTCGCCAACCAGAGCTCCGACCATTCCTCTGGGATCGAGGGTGTCTAGCAGGAAGCAACGGTTTTGGAAGCAGAAGGAACCAGGCCAGAACTCGACTTGCAGGCCGAGGAGCTCCAGAAGGTTCCTTCCTAGGCAGCCGGAGGAACACCAGACTGCTGCAGCCAAGATCCTGGGGACAAGTGAACTGCGCAGGTCCAGTAGGAAGCCAGCGCACCCTGCCTACTAGAGGACTATGTCACATATGTAGGCAGGGGATTGGACACTGTTCATTCTAGGAGGGGAGGGGTGTTATGTACGGATTGGCTAGAATCTACATAAGTTTTCATGCTCACCACGGATTGGCTAGAATCTACATAAGGTTTCATGCTCACCGCTGATTGGCTGTCCGGACCGTGGGAGATTTAACCTGCTGTCATTGGCCGGCTGGTCTGCCTGGAGCTCCTTAAAAAGTCGAGCTCTGGCATCCCAGCCGGCAGAGCGCAGTCACATTTTGCTGGAAATAAAAATGTGCCGAATTCACTAACGACTCTTGCCTGCTGCCTTTGCACCGATCTAACAGTTTATTTTCTTTTATTAATGCCTGTATTAAGAGGTTTGGGACAGTTAACCTGAAAAATATGGGAGGAGGAAAAATAAATAGGGGATGCAAACATAATTTATTTCATTTCCCTTGTCTTCTTTCTTTATTTACCAGTAAGGAGCCCAGTTTATGTCAGTGGTTGTTTCATTCATGTGTCAGAGTTAAGACAGTGGACACCAGATAAAACTATTCCCAGGATAAGTGTTGGCAGCTTTAACTGGGAGCAGGAAAATAGACTGCTTGTGGGAAAGGAGGCTGAAAATCTGTATTATGCAATCCTTATCTGCTCAGCCCTATTTCTACAAAAGGCTTAAACTACTATTACCATTCTTGCCTACAGTATCTAGATGGCAGAAATATTTTTTTAAAAAAAAAATCTTAATTCTTTGCTTCTCTCCAGAAGTTATCCAGATTTTTGCAGCCCATAGCCTCATGCCCTATTTAAAATTTGCAAAACCTCATGTTAATAAAATAACCCATTCACTCCCACAAATGTGTTCTCTTCTAAGGCTACAACTGCTGTTATTGGGTTAAGAACAGGCAGTCTATGACCCAAGCAACTGACTGAGGCTGCTGGCATTTTAACACATCATCTGGAGAGCCACTGGTTCCTAAAGTTAAAGGGCTTGGTAATTTTACATAGCATAGCATAGAATAGAATTCTTTATTGGCCAAGTATGATTGAACACACAAATTTGTCTTGGTGCATACGCCCTCAGTGTACAAAAAAGAAAAGATAAATTCGTCAAGAATCATAAGGTACAATACTTTATGATAGTCATAGGGAAACAGTCAATATAAATCTTAAGGATACCAGCAACAAGGTTACAATTATACAGTCATAAGTGGGAGGAGATGGGTGATAGGAATGATGAGAAGATTAATAGTAATGCAAACTTAGTAACTAGTTCAACAGTGTTGAGGGAATTATTTGCTTAGCAGAGTGATGGCGTTCGGGAAAAAACTGTTCTTGTGTCTGTTCTATTTGGGTATTGATTGATATTGAGTATTGATCAATCCAAGATTAATTGCACTGATCCCCCAGCATGAATTTCTCTGTAAGTTTGTTCTGCCTGAAAGCAGCTCTTCGGCGTACAGTTAGCTTGGTTGGCCAAGGTGGCCCAGTTCAGTGACCTGGTTGGGTAATCCCAAACAACACCTACACTGAACACAGAGTACCAGAGGAAAAGTGTTTCATAGGCTTCTCCATCCTAGAACAAAGGGGAGTTCTCCAAAGATGCAACAAATTCTACCTAACATCTGGGGATTTGTATAGTTTCTGGCATTGTTGGGTGTTGCAATGTACAGTAGCTGCCACTTTATGCTAGATGCCTATCCAGTTTCACTGCCACATGTCCAAATTTTCCTCATGAGAATGTATTTGCCTGTATTCCTCAGTTTACCACACAATACCAAGAGCAAATGCACTTGAAAGTTTTATATCTGGGTTAGACCTAAAACTCAATTCAAAATCAAATCCAGATTCATTCCAGGCCCATCTGCTGTAATTTTGGATTACAGCTCTCCCCATTTTCTACCAACAGGTAAATTCAGCAGCACACCAATTTGTGTACTTTGTGCAAAGAAAACGTATGTTTGTGTTTTGTTTTTACAATTTATTTTGCCTAAAACAAAGAACAAGATTCCCTACTGGAAATCTTAATTTATATGGTGTCTGACATTTTAGTACATTCCTCTGTTTTCAAATATATCTTTGCAAATAAAGAGACTAAAAACGTTTTTTTTTTCAAAAAGAAAAGTTAGATTCTTAACTCTCAATGTACTGAATTGTTCCTTGCATCCCATTCCATACTTATTTCCTATATACCCATAGAAAAAGAACAAACTACATCTTTTTACTCAAGTAATTCAAATGTATAGTTTTGAAATCAGGCTGTCTTTCCTGGTACAAAGGAACCTTCACTTGCTCATTCTTCCAGGTTGGATGGGTTTTTCCCCTCCATTAGCTTCAATAAGGCCTGCAGAGCTTCCTCGTGAGATTGTTCCTTAAAGCACTTTCTGCTCAGCAATTTAATGGCTTGCAAAAACTCAATATAGTTAATGTGGTTGGCCCCCTTAAACCTGCAGGAGACAGAGGGGGGAAATCAATTAACCATATGCTAGTGGATTTTTATTTCCCCCTAAGCTGTGGCTCAGGGGTAAGCAACTTATTCTTGCATGCAATTCCCATACCCAACCTTAAAGCTGCCAAAACTTTGAAAAATGGCTAAAGTCAGCTTAAAATGCAAAGCATTCTGGGATTGGGGCATTTCAAGACTGAAAATGGGAATGGTTAGCACTCTACAAGCCTCCTGTTCCTTTTGCTACCTAAAACCCTAAAACAGAATAAAAAGTGAATGAAAAAATTATCTTTGTTCCTTCTGGGAAACTAAGAGCTGAATTATACTCTCTGCTCCTTCAAACATTGTGCACCACTGCTGTAAACCACAGACAGCTAAAATCATATAAGCCTCTATGATTAAGGCTTTAATCTCTGGATAAATACAGTATCCAGGGGTCTGTGAACTTGCATGAGAAGAGAGTTTCAACTTTATTTTCACTAGCCTTAACTGAAATTTAGCTTTTCAAGTAAGTAACACAGTAAATTATGGCCTCTAGAATCCAAAAATGTTTAGCTTCAATAAATCTCACTGTTTAAACTCTAAAAAGTGGTATTGTCTTGTATTGAAGAAACATATTATTATATTAAAAGGGTAAAGGTTCCCCTCGCACATATCTGCTAGTCATTCCTGACTCTAAGGGGCGGTGCTCATCTATGTTTCAAAGCTGAAGAGCCAGTGTTGTCTGAAGGCGTCTCCGTGATCATGTGGCTGGCATGACTAAATGCCAAAGGCACACAGAACGCTGTTACTTTCCCATCAAAAGTGGTCCCTATTTATTCTACTTGCATTTTTTATGTGCTTTTGAACTGCTAGGTTGGCAGAAGCTGGGACAAGTAACGGGAGGTCACCCCATTATGCGGCACTAGAGATTCAAACTGCTGAACTGCTGACCTTTCGATCGACAAACTCAGCATCTTAGCCCCTGAGCCACTGTGTCCCTTATTATGTAACAATATATAATATATTATTATATAATATTAGTAATATATTATTATATTAATGATATCTTAATTTTAAAAAATACTTTGATTAACTGTATTTTGAACACAATTTGTTTCCTTCTAATTTCTATCTATGCATTTTATTTTACACATTTGAATACATCTTTCTGAGGACTCTGTATTTTTCACAAGATTTTCAGAGAGGTTTATGACACAAAAAGGTTATGGCAAAAGCAGGCAGGACATCTTAATATGGTTTGTGGGTGCAGAAAACAGTATTTGGGGGCTAAACAGAGCCTGCTGTGAACAATTAGTAAGTAATCTTAGTGTTTTCAGTAGTCCCTGCAAGCTTGCTTGCAATGTTCCCATCACTATCATTCCAAGCTCACTTGACTTCATTGAAGGCAATGAGCACATCAGTGCTGGTCACGACTTTCCCGTCCATCACACCACATTCCTTCAACATCTTGTAGAAGTTCTTCCCAGACATGGTGTTCCGGTGAGTAGCTGTATTTCCATATGCAGAAAATCTAAGGAAAGTTTTTTCTAGTTCTGACATTCCTTCTGCAAGAGTGAAGGGGACATGATGTCTTTAGAAGAGGACCTAAAACTGTCAAAAGGGGAAGAGCTTTGAAAAGACAACCCAGGATTCCTTGCTGGAAGGCAGTAATTTATTTATTTATTTAATTTATTTATTTTATGCAATTTGTATGCCACCCTATCTCCAAGGACTCAGGGCGGCTCACAACGGTAAAATGCATAATTCCTGCCCATATAAAATTAAAAGTAATGGAAGTCGAAGACAATCTCTCACCAATGGTTAATGGCTATAGCAGCAATTCTCACTTCTTGCTGAAAAGGCCATAATTTTTCTCAATGTATACAATCCTGGGCCTGAAGTAAACAATACCAATTATGTTCTTAATTGATAAGATGTGTTCCACTATCTGAGGACATTTCTATTATAGCTGCATAGCTTTATAAGGGAAAACATAAATGATGGTTCACAAACAGTGATGAGTTTTATACTTATCATGAAAGATGCACCTTTACTGGCTGCTGGTAATCATTAATGAAGTTGCTATTATCCAGCTTCTGATGTATTGCCTAGAAAGGATACAACTAGCAATAGCACTTAAGACTTATATACCACTTTACAGTACTTTAGAGCCCTAAAGGGTTTACAGAGTCAGCATATTGCCCCCAACAATTTCGGTCCTCATTTTATCCATCTCGGAAGGATGGAAGGCTGAGTCAACCTTGAACCTGGTGAGATTTGAATTGCCAAATTGCAGGCAGTCAGCAAAAATAGCCTGCAGTACTGCTTTCTAATCACTGCACCAACATGGCTCAGTAAACTAAGCAGTTCATTTGAAATCTCATTCTTAAAATAATATTTTATTACAATTTTAAAAATATATTGCATTTCTAAAGTATGCACATTTTAAGTTTAGGGATGATTTGTCCTGGTATCTATAGCTTAAGGTTGGAAGTGACCTCAGATGATCTGATCCAATGTTTTTTTCAAACCTGGCAACTTAGCTCCAATCTCCAACCATGGCTGGCTAGAGAATTCTGGGAGTTGAAGTCCACACATTTTAATGTTGCTAAGTTTGAAAAGCACTCTAGTTTAATCAAATACCAAAGCATAATTCTCACCGCCTTTGACCTATTTTCCTGTAGCCATTGGCAGTTTTTCTTATGTTGCAGAAAGTGCAGCCCCATTAAGTCCTCTTTATACACTGCCTGAAGGCACCTACACATATAATTTGAACTTTGATTATGACCTTGTAGTTTGTCTGTGATGTCATTACTAATGTAAACTTTCAATTCCCTATCAAGAAATAAAACTTGTGGAAAGATGCTTCTTTTTGAAGTGGCAGTAACAGGCAGCTCAATGATGCAATGCACAATGTTATGCCTACATCAGTAAAATTCTTCATGATCATCATCTCAAGGATTATATCATACACAGTGTTGAGCTTTTTAAAAACAAGTTTTAAATTCTGGCATGTCTATCTAATGAAGAACTTCCATTCAAAACTGGAATTTCATAAAGGCATTCCAAAACATACTTTCTTCTAATACTGAATAATAAGTTGCATTTCTAAACTATCCTACTTTGTCTGAAAAGCAAAGAGCATGACTTACCTGCAATCCGTTATGAAAAATACCGTACCAAGATACATCCAAATGCCATTATTCTTACTACAGATGAATTTATTTCTAAAGTAGTGGATGCAATCTGCTACAATAGTCTGTTCAATCTGATATTGTCTAAATGTGCTGTGAATTTTGGTAATCTGAGGGTGAAAGTAAAGTGAAGGTTCATTCTCCAAGCTTTATAGGTTGGTTTCTGAACCAGTTTTGGTAGTCTAAGTGGTTTACAGAGTCAGTATATTGCCCCAATCTGTGTCCTCATTTTACCAACCTTGGAAGGATTGAAGGCTCAGTCAACAGAGGATAGAACTCCTGGCAGTGGGCTGAATTAGCCTGCAGTACTGCATTTAATCACTGCATCAACATGGCTCTTTAAAATTAAGATTTAATTTTTTTTTTGAAAAATATTTTTTTTAAAAATTAAAAATAATTTAAAAATTAAATGATTTATATAGAACTAAAACCAAGGGGATGAGGTATTCTTACTGGGTCAACTTCCTCCAGCAAAGAGCACCCCCGACAGCTGACAAAACTAGATTTTAAGGCCCTTCTGGAAGGCCAGAGGGTAGAGCAGATCTCACTGGCAATAGACTATTTCTATTGCCAGTGAGAAATAGAAATAGACTATTTCTATTGTGGAAGCCACAATAGAAAAGGCTCTTCTCCTCAACTCTACCAGCCAAATTTCCTTGGCAGGGTCTGCAGTAAACCCTTCTGCTGGGGCAAGTGGGCAAGCTAAACTCCTTATTACTTTTTCCTGGAATGAATTTGACAGATTGTTAGGAAGCTCAGGCAGTCACTGGAGACTTTTTTCACACTGAGGACAAATAGAGGATTTCTTGAGCATAATACATTTGTCACTGGCTAACATTTCTTTAAAGTGAATCCTTTCATGTATGGAAAAGACAGGACACCAGAAGCTTTGGTACATTTGCTCTTCATTAATTTTATTTTGGAATTAACATGGATATGCTGGACAAGGTCAGGCTACCTCATGAGTTTCCCAATGTAACTGTAACTGTATTGCATAATTTCTTGAGTTTGACACATTTCTGCCTTAACTTTTTTTCTGGAAGGAACACCCTGATGTTCAACAAGTTTAGGCCACTGAAAGCTTTTTCCACTTTCACAATAGATGGGCAGCTTCCTGAGTTTGGTGCATTTGCTTCGTTATTATTTTCCCAGAATGAGAGCATTTAAATTGAACAAGGGAAGATAAACCCCTGGAAGTTCTTTCCACACTGAGTACATGCAAACAGCTTTTGAAGCTTCATGTGTTTATTTCGATGTGACATTTCTCTAAAATGAGTGTGTTCATGTCAGGCAAGGTTAGAGGGTCATTGGAAACCTTTTCCACTTTCATTATAAACCTTTGATTATAAATGTGTTGAGCTGAATGATGCATTTGTCTCAGTAATTATTTTTTAGAATGAGTGCGTTCATGTCGGGCAAGGTCAGAAGGCCATTTGAAGCCTTTCCCACACTGATCACAGATACAGGATTTGTTAAGCTTGGTACACTTGCCTCTAATATACTTCTTGAATGAATTTGTTCATGTCGGGTAAGTTGAGAACGCCACTGGAAACTCTTTCGACATTGACTACATGTGTGGTATTTGTTGAGTTTGATGGACTTATCTCTCAGTATTTTTTTTCTAGAATGAGTGTGTTCATGTCGGGCAAGGTCAGAAGGCCATTTGAAGCCTTTTCCACACTGATCACAGATACAAGACTTAATGAGCTTGAGCTTGCTGCACTTGGCTCTCACTAATTTACTTCTTAAATGAGTGTGTTCATGTTGGGCAGACTGAGGCCACTGGGAGCTTTTTTCACCTTGACGACGTGTGTAGTATTTGTGGAGTTCGGTGCCCTTGTCCCTCAGTAATTTTTTTCTAGAATGAGTCTGTTCATGTCGGGCAAGGTCAGAAGGCCATCTGAAGCCTTTTCCACACTGATCACAGATACAGGATTTGTTGAGCTTGGTACAACTTCCCTCTCACTAATTTACTTCTTGAATGAATTTGTTCATGTCGGGTAAGTAGAGAACGCCACTGGAAACTCTTTTGACAAAGACTACATATGTAATATTTGTTGAGTTTGGTGCACTTGCCTCTCAGTATTTTTTTTCTAGAATGAGTACGTTCATGTCGGGCAAGATCAGAAGGATACATGAAACCTTTTCCACACTGATCACAGATACAGGATTTGTTGAGCTTGGTACACTTCCCTCTCACTAATTTACTTCTTGAATGAATTTGTTCGTGTCGGGTAAGTTGAGAATGCCACTGGAAACTCTTTTGACAAAGACTACATATGTAATATTTGTTGAGTTTGGTGCACTTGCCTCTCAGTATTTTTTTTCTAGAATGAGTACGTTCATGTCGGGCAGATCAGAAGGATACATGAAACCTTTTCCACACTGATCACAGATACAAGGTTTGTTGAGCTTGGTGCACTTGATGCTCACTAATTTACTTCTGCAATGTGTGTGTTCATGTTGGGCAAGTTGAGAAAGTGATTGGAAGCTCCTTCCACATTGGCTGTGTGTGTAGTATTTGAGTTTGGTGCCCTTGCCGCTCAGTAATTTTTTTCTAGAATGCGTGCATTTATGTTGGGCAAGCTCAGGCCACTGGAAATTTTTTCCACACAGTCCACAGATATATGATTTTTTGAGCTTGGTGCACTTGCTTTTCATTAGTTTTGTTCTAAAATGAGTCTGTTCATGTCGGGCAAGTTGAGAAGGCCAATGGTAACTCTTTCCACAGTGACCACAAATATAGGATTTGAACTTGGTGCCTCTCATTAATTTACTTCTAGAATGAGTGTGTTTATGTTGGGCAAGGTGGGAAGGCCAATTGAAATGTTTTCCACACTGATCACAGATATAGGATTTTTTGGGTTTGGTGCCCTTGTCTTTCATTAATTTTTTTCTAGAATGAACATGTTTATGTCGAGCAAGGTCAGAAGGCCACTTGTAGTTTTTACCACAGTGACCACATGCATAGGGTTTGTTTTTCTCAGTCAATTGGTTTCTCTTCAGATGGGCAGGTTGGTCAAAATCCATGAGACCAGATGATGAATCATTTTGATCATCTATCTTTGATGGGCATTGTTTTCCATTAACTGTCCCAGAGTGCACAACTTGATGCCGAGCCAGGGCAGATGACCATTGGAAATCCTTCCCACATTCCTTATATATTCTCAGACTCTTAATATGGAAATCTTGGTTTGTTGTGAGATTTGACTGAGGTTTAACTGTTTCAGAGGATTCAATAACTTTACTTTCCATTTGAAATTGACTTAAACTGCCTGCTTGTATTTTAAATTGATCCTTTGTGTCTGCTTCCCCTCCCAAGGGAACATGTAGATGATTTTTGGCCAACAAACAATGACACTGGAAATCGTTCCTATCACAGTTACAAGTGTACAGATTCTTAGCATAGTTCTTTTGTTCTATGGGGATTTTTGAGTTTTCACTGAATGTTTTCTCTGCTTGCAAAAGAATGGGCACTAAGCTTTTTGGACTGTAGGCTCCCAAATGAAACAGTTCATCTCTATCTGCTTTCAATTCCAAATTATTAAGATGCTGTTGAGCACAAAGACAGCGACAGCATCTCCCACATTGGTCACTGTGTTGTTTCCCTGTGCAAGGACTTGTAAGCATTGAGTTTAGGTTAGACATTTCACAAGAGTCTGCAAACATGTTTCCTCTCACATGGGGGACAAATGACAAGGTACTAGATTTATTTATTTTTGGCTCACTCTGTCTAGTCAGTTCCTTCCTAGACAGTGTATGCCTTTTGAGTAGAGAGGACCGCATCTTTGCATGAGTGTTATGATCCCTTGACTTTTGTTGGAAAGTTTCCCAAGTGGTTGCACACATACTGTTTTCTTGGAAGAGGATAGGAACAGGTGCCAAATGTCTTGGATTTCTACTTTCCATATGAAGCTGGCATTGTCTATCTGCTTCTCCTCCAAAAAATAGTAGCTGATGCTGGATAAGCTCAGAAAGCCACTGGTATTCTTTTCCACACTGTTCACAAATGTGCAGATTTTTAGTCTCAGTTCTCTGGTCTGTCACTTGTACTGGATTTGGACCAACTGCTTGATCAACATATTCTATTATATTCTCTGCCTGAAGAGGAACAGGTACTAATGTGCTTCGACTGCTTACTTCTGATTGGGAGTTTTGATCCTGCCGAGTAGAGTTTTCATTTGGAAGCACATTTTTATAATATTGGAAAAGGTGAGATAGACTTTGGTTATTTTCCCCACATTGATCACCTATTAAACAATTTTTAGTTTGTCTCTTCTGGTCTGGCACCAATGGGTTGCATATTTCCAGTTGTTTCCAATTAAGCTGCTTGCTCTGCATGGGCACTTTACTTGCACAGAACACATTTTTATGTTGGGCAAATAGAGATGGTTGCTGAAAGTCCTTAAGCCTATCACAAAAGTACAGATTTTTGTTTTGATTGTCGTGATAATTAATTTGTTTTGAGCTTTGTCTATTTGCTTCTTCATCTTTTACAGAGAGGTTTTCATCCGGGTGGGGTGCTGAAAGATTGGTCACATCTTTGTCTGACTGCCACGGATACACCCAAACTGCTTCTGACTTTACCAAATCTTCCAATGCTACTTTCTCAGCAGTTGTCAGCTGATCAGTCGCCAAACCTTCATTATCTGCCAAAATTAAAAACACTGAAAATAATATATGGAGTCTTTGGGAGCATGGTCAGCATATACTGACTTATATTTTAAATATGTACTTTAATTGTAGGTAAAACAAACATCTACTTCATTCCTTATATTTGGGAAATTTGCTCTGGCAAGTAAACTTTCCAAACTTCGTTTATGTGCAGCTATAAAAGATTGATATGTTAAAACACTCATCATATGAGATTGTAGAGACTTAGTGATTTCATGATTTGGGGAAAATAGTGTTATTTTGTAATGGAAATGGTGGGACTGCCGGCATCTAACAGAATGACAATGAAATTGGGATAACATCAATCTCAAGCATTAAATTATATAATCAAGCAAGCATATGGTATAGCTCCTTGGCCAGAATCATTGCGATATGCTTCTCTGAATGTTTCTTCAAAATTATCCTGTATGTAAAAACCAGGGAGATAGGCTGCAGCCTGGGTTTTTTTCTTTTGACATTATAGCTTGCCTTAGTCTAAATATGTAAGTTGGATTGTTAGGCAAACTCCATTTTTAATAACTGAATATAATAAAACAACTGTATTTTAATAAAGAACTCTCTAAATATGTACTAGGCTTTTTAACATTTCAGGCTACGGATATATAATTAAGATTAAGAGGAAAAAAACAGTCCTAAAAAGGTGCTATTGGTTATATCGCACTCGTGTTGGAGGCCCCAAGGCGATTCCGAATGGAAAGGATTAGCCAGTGACATCACTGTTGCCAGTTGGGGGTTCCTTTCATATCCCCTTCAGTAGCTGGAATGAAGGACAGGAGCTCACCCCACCCCACGGCATTACTCAGGTCTCGAACATGAACTTGCTGCTCATCAAGCCAGTGTCCTAACCATGTAAGACACATGCTCCCGGTGTAGTTGATAAGCACAGATCACTTCTCATCCAGTGAGAGTTTTATCTATTTTCTTTGGGTATATATCAGCCATTAACTCACCAATAATTTCAGTAATATGGGGCTCCAAGATGCATAATTGACTTTGTCCTGTTAAAGAGTTGGCATTAAACAGGAATTCTGAGCATTCTGCAAAGGACAAACAGGTAGATGTTACTATGGCCTGCCTAATAAGAGAGCTGCCAAATGGTAGAATTCCCAGGAACCAAATCTGGATTCTTTCACAACCATAGGCGTTGCATCATTATTCCTCAAGATCCTAAATCATATTTAGTTCTTTGGCTTCTGGGAAGACAAGTCAACTAAATTTATGAACTACATTAAGCCATTATGTGATTGTGCAGTTTTGTCTCAACATGGTGTCTGAACTCAGCCATTATTATTTTTAAGCCAGAAGGGTACAATTTGATGCCACAGGGATGTATGTGATTCTCAAAGATCTTGGGTGTCAACCACGGAGACTTTCATTGTAATTTTTTAACACTGACAGAGATTACATGATGAAATAGATTCTCCAGATTTTTAGAAAACAATTACAATTACTATATTTAATCTTATTTAAATTTAAATGAAAATCACTTGAAATCAGACTGAGCTTTTGGTTCTGCCTCTACCATTTGGAATTCTCCTTGAAGAAACGTATCACAACCCCACACACAAAAAACTATGTAACCCAAGATGCGAACTGGAAATTTTTCAACCGCAGACAAGATTGGCAATTTCAAACTTGTGTGATAATTTGCTTTTTAGATGATTTTTCTAAAAATTTGTGAAGATAAAATTTTATTACCTGTTGCCCAAATTTAATAAAAGTAAAATTTTAACCTGACATTAAAAGTTTCAGTTTCTTTAAATACAAGGTTGAAGTGTTAAAAGACTAAATGCATTTTTTTCCACAATCACATAATGTAGGTTCATTATTTGTGCAATAGATATTGAACAGATACTGAAACCAGTATGTGAATTAAAAGCATGCTAATTTCCATAGGAAACTTCTTCAATTTCAAATGGAAAATATCTTTTAAAGGTGGCCCTCAACAGGGTGGGGTGGGGTGGGGAGTCTGAATCCATGGGTTTTTGCTATGTACAATCAGCCAATACATATTTATTTACAAAACCATACTTGAAATATAGCTGGGTGGAATGTGCAAAACCAGCCATATTATAGCAATGTTATACAGGTAATCCTCAAATTACAGCCATTTGTGTGACCATTCAAAGTTACAACCGCACCGAAAAAGAGTGACTTATGATTGGTCTTTGCATTTACAACTGTCACAGCCTCCCCAGAGTCATGTGACCAAAATTCCTGTACTTGGCAACTGGCATGATAACTGCAGAGTCCTGGGGTCATGTGACTGTCATTTGCAACATTCCAAGATGACTTTCGGTAAGCAAAGTCAATGAAGTAAGCCAGATTTCCTTAACTATGTAATTCACTTAACAATTGCAATGATTCACTTAACAAGGTCTGGAACTGAGCATGATTCAACAATCACTTGCTTCATTTTTCATGCTTTTTCATGCAATACATTTTTACATTGTGTTTAATATTAGTCAATTTGCATGTTTCTATTATACTTTATAATCCATTCATATTTCCTAAAGAAATATGAATGTTCTAGTATCAGGTCAGGAACTGTAATATACTCTGAGATAACAGGATGTAGTATGTCTCTGTGTGTATGCTTTTTATATAAATAAATATCAAAGTTTCTGATCCAACCTGAGTCTTGAAAGAACACAGCATTTCTGTTAATTTTACATCCTGTCTTTTTTTCAGGAATTCAAAGCAGCGTACAAAGTGTTTCCTCCTCCCACTTTTTCTCATCACTATCCTGTAAAGTAGGCTGGTCCAAGGGCAGTCATGACCTTGGCATCTCCTAGTCCCATGATGGCAAACCTATGGCATGGATGGGCATGCACATGGAGCCATATCTGTGGGCATGCAAGCATTGCCCTAGCTCAGCTCCAGTGCACATGTGCGTGTCGGCCACCTGATTTTCGGGCCTTCCGGTCCCACCGGAAGTCAGGAAATGTGCTGTTTCTGAACTCCGAAGGGCCTCTGGGGGGGGTGGGGAAGGCCATTTTTGCCCTCCCCAGGCTCCAAGAAAGCTCTGGAGCCTCAGGAGGGTGAAAAATGGGCCTACTGGACCCACTGTGCCATCGTGTGCCAAAAGCAGGGGGAGTGGGGGGGGGGTTGTCACATGCGCATTGAATTATGGGTGTGGGCACACACACATGCGACCCCTGTGCTCTCCCTGCTTTGGCACACGACGGCAAAAAGGTTAGCCATCACTGTCCTAGTCCAACCTTTTCATACAGTTCCTTTAACTTGGAATCCCAATCAAGCTACATTTTAAAATCTGTTGGTAGATTCCTCTTCCTCACCTGTTGCTGCAAAGTTCTCTCTATGCAAGGAAGGATTAATGTCAGCCATAGCTTCTTCACCAAATGCTGATCCAAGCGCAGCCATTTCTTTCCCAAAGTCAAGTACAGGCCAAGCAATCTTAGGTGCACATTGGATACTCACTCCATAAGGTAAGGATGTTCAGATGCCTGCTAGAGAGATTTCAAGAAAAGTTTAGGGGATGAATATTTAACTATAGGCACATTGATCTCATTCTGCCAACAAAATCCCATTATCTGACCATAATTAAATATCCCATGTCAGTGAAGCCAGATTGCCTTTTAAAACTTGGTTTTGTTGTCATTTGCTTGTAAGAATAGAATTGAAGATACCTGCTACTTATTCTACAGCAATCAGACAACTATAGCAGTGCAGAAAAACTCCACTAATCTGCTCTAAATACAGTGTTTGTAACCAGAAAAAGAGTCCTTGGTGACAAAAGTCATTAGAATGTCATCTTGCCTGATCAAGGAGTTAGGGGGTCCCCATCCCTTATAATGGTAATTATATAATATCTGCTTCTATCTTATTTATCTATAACAGATGCATCTCTTCCGCAACTATCTGTCAGACCACATGGTTTTCTTAGCCACATTTTACAGAATAGTTCACAGTTTGCTTAAGTGTAGGCACTTGCTAAATCACAAACAAGCAAAGCAGGCCATGGATTAGCAAACTGGGCAATATTGATTGTAGTTGAAACTGTTGGCTGATCCTGGTTTTCCACCATAAATTTTAAATGAAAAAACGATGTAATGAATCACCTTTGTTTACTGGCACCTTATACAGCAGCAAAGTCTTACATATGGCTATCTGAAATAAACTTTAAATAAGCTTAAAAAGAGAGTCAGTTTGTGTAATGGTTAGGAATTAGGGAAGAAATGGGGAGACAATGAGTTTGAGTCCCACCTTCAGCACAAAGCCAACTGGGTGACTTTGACTCAGTCAGTTCCTATCAACCCTAGGAAGGAGGCAATGGCAAACCACTTCTGAAAATCTTTGCCAAGAAAAACTGCAGGGACTCATCCAGGCAGTTTCTGAGAATCAAACAAGATTGAACAGGAAAAAAAATTATAAAGCTTGATATGAGGTATTATGGGGGTATAGAGTTTGCAGCCTTCCAAACGTTGCTAAACTACAATTCCCCAGATCTCTCTCTTCTGAGCATGATACTTGGGATAATTTATATCCCACCTGTCATTCAAGAGCTCAGGGATGTCCCACATACACACACATTTTTCCTTACAATAATCCTGTGTAGTGAATTGGATAAGAGAGATGGCCCAGATTCACCCTGTGAATTTCCTTACTTGAGGATTTACTTGAACCTGGATCTTGCAGTCCACTTACCTTAGCCACTACATAGGCTCTGCTGTGAGTTTCAGTTGGGCTATAATTACAGACTGCATTTTAAAGTTTTCACTTTCTTTCTGTTACAGAAATCATATTAGTATTTTAATTTTCCCTCTCTAACACATTAGAATGAAAATGAACTCGAAAACAAAAAGAGAAGAGAGCCTTGATAGTACAGTGGTCTACGCACCCTGTTATTAACACAGCTGCCTGCAATTTACTGCTGGTTCGAATCTCTCCAAGGCTCAAGGTTGACTCAGCCTTCCATCCTTTCTAAGGTAGGTGAAATGAGGACCCAGTTTCTGGGGGCAATAAGCTGACTTTGTATAAATATACAAAAATATGAAGGCTATTGCTTAACACATTGTAAGCCGCCCTGAGTCTCCGGAGAAGGGCGGCATATAAATCAAATTTTAAAAAAAAAAATAGTCAAATAAATGTGGCCTTAACTGCAGCTCCAACTTTCGCCATTCTGCTTAAAGTTGGTCCAGTTAATTAACAATGAAGATATTGAAATGATAAATAATTTCTACTTTTCAGGATTAACCATCGATAACAAAGAACAAGTAATTACTTCCCAGACTTCCTCTATGAGGAGATGGGTGGTTTTAAAATGTGGTAAATAAGCAAATAAAATAAGAATATTTCTGATAGCATTTGATAGAGTAGCCATGAAGGCCTTGGAAAAGATATTCAAATATCATGATATATATCTATACTGGAGATCAAAATAGAGTAGGCAATGGTATTTTCCATGACACTCTATGGAAGCAAAAGCTGAATTTAGAAGAAACTAGATTGCAGCATGTCTATGGAGATTCTCAGTCATCCAGGTCATGGTTTTCCCAAAGATGCTTTTTTAAGAATCAACTGTATTTTCTTTTTTTTTTCCTTGAAGACATTTCACTTCTCATCCAAGAGAACTGAAGAAACTTCTTGGATGACAAGCAAAAGTTTTCAAGAAAAAACAAAGTCCAATTGCCTCTTGAAAAAGCACGTTTGGGATAGATTGGAGTATGAACACTGTTGTTGGGGGGAAAAAACTCCTCAGAATACTGTGGACAGACAAGAAAACCAACAAATGGATCAAACAAGTCAATCCAAAGTTCTTACTTGAGGCATGAATAACCAGTCTCAGATCATCATACTTTGGATATATTATGTGAAGAGCTAGCTATCTGGAGAAGGATCTAATGGTAGGAAAGTGGAAGGAAAAATAATGAATGGACTAAGTTACAGCAGAAATGTGTGCCATATTGGAAGACCTGAAGGATCAGGCAAGGGATAGATCATCATGGAGAAAACCAACATTGACTTGATGTGATTCTTTTTCTATAGAGTGAACCAAAGTGGGTGAACATTGCAAGACAGAAGTCCTTAGCAGATGAATAATATAATGTATTTTTTAACATTTGTTTTGCTGCCTTGCTGATATCATAATACAAACCATTCTGAAATTTGAAATGTTTGAATTTAAATTCTCAAAACTATTAAATATTTAAATGTTTAAATATTTAATATTATCTACTAATCCTTTTCCACAAGTAGGAGTTGGGAACAGAAGTGTCTCTCTAGTTTTTTGTTATTATTACATTATTTGAGAAGTAACTATATAAGGTTTTAGAATAATCTGGGGGAGGAAGAGAGATGCTTCATTAATGTAAATATAAGAAAATAGTCTTATCAAGACTATGTTAAAATAAATTTTAAATAAAGTTAAACCCTAAGGCACTCCATACTTACAGATAGAACCCAAAAGTCTTTAACAAAAAACATGCAACCATATCTCTTAATTATTCCAAAGTTAGATAGTTTTATCATTTGTAACTAATTGCCATTATGATCATATCAATCTTTAAAAAGTAAGGGATGTTCGTTTATAATTTACAAGTATTACTACTGTCTGCGAAATCTTGTGCTGCGGTTTTGCATTTTGCTCTTCGCCGTTTTGCATTTTCAGTTTTGCTTTCTTAAGAATGTTTCTTCTCAGCAACGTTGGTGCGACCGGAAAGTTGCAATAAAATATTTAATAATAATGAAAAAGCCACCTTTATATGTATTACACCTTTACATGTAAGTTTGAGAAAATGCCCGCCAACTATTTCGGAGTAATTTGTGCTTTCTTTTGGTCTCCGATTCATTCTAAAACACTGTATTGTCGGCATTGATTGGATCAGAAGTGGAAAAGAAATAATAAGGAGCCCTCCGCCTCTTTAAATGGGCCCCTGCCTCTTCCGGAGCTTGCTTGGAACTGGAGCCAGCCCAGGACTGGCAAAGGCGCGGCTTTTGGAGGAGACTATGAATAATCCCATGCTCCCATCTAAGAATCTCTTGCGCGCCGGATCAGAGTAATTGCTTCACCCTTATCCTGCATAAATTCTGTCGTTCCCACCACAAAATCCAAAATGCAAGCTAAGATATATCAGGATCCAGCCAAGAAACATTTCCCTGAGCTTACCCAATTCTGCCGGGATCTTGGCTCCCGAGTTCTCCTCCGGCCACGTGAAGCGCCCTAAATTCACCTAGCAATCAGAGAAGGCGATAAGACCACCCCTTCCGTCTTACTCCACTTTTTGCAAAGCTTTTGTTTTCGGATAATTCTATGTGATTGGACGCTTTTAGGGAAGATGCCCCAGTGCTTTGCGTTTATTTCCTTTGCACCAAATGCAACAACCGTTAGCCAATTGGGTAACCAGCGTCCATCTAGTTCTTCCTGGATAAGATGCTTGTATAAGATGGTCTGAGACTTTTCTCAATAATTGGCTATTTTTGTTATGGAAATTTAATTCATGGGGAATACAAAGGGCTTAGATAATACAAGTTTTGTTACTTACAAAAAACGATACATTCTCCCCCACCCTCCCCAATCGGATAAATGAACTCTCAGAACTTTTTGGGATTTATTGGTATTTATAGAAATTTCTATCCCACGTTCATATTTATTAAGGCCAACATTACTGTGCATTCTTAACTGTATCCCATTTATTCTGTCATTTTTGTCTTCAAGGCAAGAAAAAAAAAAGCAGATTGGCAGGGTAGCATGGGCTATGCTGTTTTGGAAAATAGCATCTCAAATCAGGTGGAATTTGACTCCTGTTACCTATTTCTATCCCAGATGAAAAACAATTACTGTGTTATTGGTGAATTAATAGTACTGTCCTTACAATGCCTCCTGATGAAATGAGCAGAGAAAGCATTTGCTTGTTTAAAATAGTTGGAACATAGTTAACAGAAACTAACCTATGTAGTTGACTGAATTAGCAGAGTTCCTTGAACTAGAAGTTACTATCAACTGGGGGGAAGGGGAAATAGGAAGGATTATGTATTTTTCTTTTCATTTTATTTTATTGAATTAGTCCCCCACCTAACTTCCTCCTTACCCATACTTCCCTACTGTTTGAGAGAATGTAGAAACTTGAAGAGTTTGAATATGATTATTTTATAAGGGCTGGCCTAACGACAATAACATTTACTCAAATTCATGGAATGCATTGTTGTTCAGAATATATGAAGAAAAATTCTCTTAGCAATGCATAGATTGAAGATAGATATGATGGGAAAAGAAGAGTCCTGCTACAGTATTGCCTTATATAAAGAATGTTTTCTGGAATTGGGAATTGGGTTTAATGAAAAGGACTAGGCGTAACATGATAGCAGTGTTCCAATATCTCAGGAGCTGCCACAAAGAGGGAGACAAGCTATTCTCCAAAACACCTGAGGGTAGGACAAGAAGCAATGGGTGGAAACTAATCAAGAAGAGAAGCAACCTAGAACTAAGGGGAAATTTCCTGACAGAACTACTAATCATTGGAACAACTTGCCTCTAGAAGCTGTGCATGCTCCAACTGGAAGCTTTTAAGAAGAGATTGGACAACAATTTGTCTGAAATAGTATAGGGTTTCCTGCTGAAGTAGAGGGCTGGACTAGAAGACCTCCAAGGTCCCTTCCAACTCTGTTATTGTTGTATTTTAGATCACAGCAAGCTTTAAGACTTTGTTCCATATTGTTGAGAGAACAAAAATTTAAGTGGGTAGAGGTATACCTTAGAAAATTGGTGGGATATATGTAGATCTGCAATGACATAAAAACAATATAGGTAGTCCTTGACTTACAAGTTTGTTTAGTTTACAACGGCACTGAAATGAGTGTTTTTCACACATACAACCGTTGCAGCATCTCTGTGGTCATGTAATCAAAATTCAGATCCTTGGCAACTGATTCATATTTGTTATAAGGTGGACCCTAACATTTTTAGCTTCACATTTGGCATCCGGAAAGGGAATTACAGTGCTATCACTTTTTAAGATACAGCTTAATTGCAGTTGAGCTTAGGTTTTCTAGAGATGTTGGCTCCAATGTAAATCCCATCGTTTCATTCCAAATAAAGGATTGCAGTGCTTCTATTATGCTAAGATTTCATATAGTTGGGGGGACCTTGAACCATGCATGACATTTATACATAATCTTTGTGGTTTAGAAATGTGCTTTATGACTAGAGTGCTAGATGAGAGCTGCAAAAAGTCCTGGTGGCAGCAGAGTCTTGATACTCAACTGCTTTGAAACTTATCAAATTTGGTACTCAGCACATTTTCACAAGACATTTTGTCCCAGTACTTGTTGTTTGTTTGATACTCAACGCACAAGCTAGAGCTTGTTGGTGTCAGTTGCCTCGTGACCCGCTATCCTTTCCAGCCAAAACAAAGAGTCTTGCTCTGTGTACATCCCCTTGCAGTTGTGTGGTCATTTTGGGTATTTTTGTGTTTTCCCCCCTCATCAGTACAGGTAAAGTGAAGTTTTTATTTTATTTAATCTAAGTGTTTATTAATTTTTAGGTTTATTTCTTATGTAAAGTAATAATATACAAACCTATCTCTTTACATATTGCCTTAAAAATGTGCATTGTTTTGGGAATATGTTACATTTATTTACGGTACATTATTCCTTATGGGAAAAAATTGTTTAGTACTCATCATTTTTGGTACACATTGCACCTCCCAGAACCAATTAACAATGAGCATTGAGGTATCGCTGCATCTCCCTTTGCTTCATCTAGTTACCTGGATTTTTGCTGGCCACATGTGGCAACCTTATTTGCGATTTAGCTCAATGAGATCATTGCAACAACTGTGATTTTTTTTCAGTAAAATATGGCTTGATGTATTAAGTGAGCCAAATAATGAGTTTCTATGGCCAGATTTTCCATCTGTTTTTAATCAGACTTTAAGACTATAATTGAAAACATTGCCTATAAGCCCACACAGAGAGCAGCATATTGCTATTTAAAGAAATGCATTCTGTGCTTACAGAACCAGAATTGGAAAATGATTTTTGCTCTGTTTCAGATGTTTGATTTTTAAAAATGTGAATAATACTGCCCATCCACTTTTTGGCAAGTTTATCATAAAGATTATTAGGAGAATTTAGTAATTCAACATTAAAAAATAATATTCCCTTTGAGTCAAGCTTCAGCTGGCCTCATGCAGTTTTTTGGGCAATGGAAGCAAGCAATTTTTCATTTCCTGTCATTCATTTTCCAATGCTGGTTTCCTCATTTGTCCCAGCCACTCACCTCCATCATGGATGCCTCTGCAAATTTTGTGCTTGCTTGTGTGATTTACAAGAAAAAGGTTTAAAAGGGGGAGGATTAAAAAAAATGGCAAAGGAAAGGATCAGCAACTCAAATAGAAAGAGGAGGCAGCTAAAATAAGCACAAGTGGAAGGTCAGTTGTGCTAGCTTCTTATGTTTATGGTTCTCAGGGAATTCGATTTAATCCTTCAAGGAAGGAAAGGGAAAGGCATTTTTAAGAAACAAAGATTTGAGATCTCATAGCACAATCTGTGCCACAGATTGTGCCTCTCATAGCACAATCTGTGGCTGCTCAAGACATTGCTTTAAAATGCAGACCCATACAAGCTATAAATAATTTTTCAATGTAATTTTTATTTCCAGTTTCAAATTTTCTACAAGAAAACAATAAAAAAATAGAAAACTCTAGAAGTTGTCAAGTACCCTGATGTGCCAGGTCACTACAGAAACACAGCTCTGTTGCTGGGTCGCTACGGAGATAAGATACTGGCATCAGGTACCTTGCTACGGGAACATGAGAGGCTGAAACACCTGGATTTGATGAGACAAAGCCGCATACCAGGTGCTTGAAATCCCCTTGGGCCAAGAATGGTTGGTGAAGCCTGTCCTGTCTCTAGGAGATATGGCAGGGTAATGGGGACAGGGCTCCTGGGTTATGAATAATTGGAGAATAGAGAATTTGGACAAGCTCAGCTTCTCCCACCACATGAACACTATGGTGAGAAAAGATACAAGTGCAGAAATGCTCCCCTTAAAAAAAGAAAAGAAAAACTTCCAAGAACTACTACAGGAGTCTTGTCCCCATGAAGCCCAGCAACCCTCCACATCCCAACAGTAGGATTCCCCAAGGGGCCAGGTCCTCAGACAGTGGCACCTAAAAGAAGCAGCATCAAGCTCAGAACTGAGGAGAAAACAAGGGGTTGAATTCTAATACACCCCAGTGATAATCACCTCCAAACCCTGTTTGACTAAATAGAACTGCTACAGCAGCCCTTTCAAATATCCAGTGCATGGAGAGGAGACAGGAACACCAGTACCAGCAGCATATCCTTTAAATGTGTCTTCTTCGTGTTGACGGGGAGTTTCTGCAGGGTGTTCATTGGAGTATTTTCTTTTGCAATTGGGAGCCCCCAGCAAACAGCTTTCTTGATCGTGCAGAGGATTATAATCCCATTCAGTCGAACTGCAATTTTCCCCATCAACTCTTGGCATGAATGCCATGCTTTCCCTGGCCCTTAACCAGTGCTCCACTGCAGCTACAGCTTTTACCTTCCAGGGTCAGTACTTGGTTGTGTTGTAGTTTTGTCTTTTTTTTCCTCCTGGAGTTCTTGTGCTGTTATTTAGCTGCTTGGCAGGTAATCCCTGTATCTTGCTATGTTTGTCTTGCTGCTGTTAAAAATAGAGAGAATTATGTCAAAAAATAGTTGATAACTCTACTACGTCTTACTCCAAAATCTCTTGCAGATGGATGCATGACCCTGTCATATGTGAGGTGACCACTCACAAGCTGTCTCTGCAAAACTACACTACACATGTAAACAGGTCTGAAACTGCTTTCACTGCCTTTCAGAATTGCTTTTTCTTGAGGCAGACATTGGTCCATCTAGCCTCTTACTGCCTGTTCTAGGAGGTAGCCTCCAGTCAAGATCACAGGCAGGGACTTTTCCCAGCCCTGATACTTTTTTATTTTGAAGATAGAAAGGAAATATTGAATATGGAACTGCATGCAAAGCATGTGTTCTACCACTATGCTATGGGCTCTGCAAAGCCCCTGCCTATGAACTTTGGGAAATGTAGCTCTTTATGCATTATTATTATGAATTATGGTTTTGTCACACAGTCAGCCAGATTTTTAGACTGGGTTTGGCATTTTTATCTGCCTATCAAGTCCTTCTCAAAGATCTGGAATTATTATTATCCAATAGATAGAACAGAGCTACAATTCCCAGGTCCCTTGGTTGAGAGTCATCATGACAGCTAAACAGATTCGGAACTGGTTTATATATGCAGAGTAGACTCAGGCCTGTACCGGCTCCAGCTGTAATTCCATGAGGCCTTGGCCTGTCTTTGAAGCCTCCTGATGTGGTCCTTTTGGGGCCAGTGGGCCAGACAATTCCTTCTCAGGCTTTGGCTCCTCAGAGTCTTGTGATAGGTTCTCCCATTCTTGCTGATTCAGTGCAGCTTCAGAAGAAAGGCTGGCAATTATTGCTCCCTCAGAACTTGATTTCCCCTGAGGCACTATGAGACGGCGAGAGTCTTCCTGATCTTCGGAGGACCAGAAACTCTGTGTCTTGGAAATTTCCCCCTTTGGGCTTGGGGATTCTGGTTCTTTCAGCTCAACCATTTCTTCCTCCAACATCAACTGGGCTTTAGGAGCTGTGTGAGAGCAGCGACGGGTACGAGCTTTCCTGCTGTGATGGACTTGAAGGTGTAACTCCATAAGCTCAGGAGCTGAGGTGGCAAAGGGGCAAAACTGGCAACGGTGGAGTGCTCCTCCTGCCAGGGCTGGACGTAGAGAAAGATCCAATGGCTGGAAATCAGCCTTCCCGTTTAGCAGTGACTTGCGACGGGATTGGCGGGATCGAGCTGCCCCCACGCCACCTAGAGGAAGGAAGGACCCATGGCTCTTGGTGAGCGGTGTAGGGGGAAAGGCAGGGACTGCAGTAGGGGCCAGGGGCATGTGGCACTGTTCCATTGTTGCTACAGCTGCTGCAGCAGCTGCAGCAGCATTCTTTTGCTCCCGGTGGTGGCGCTGCAGGTGATATTTGAGCGAGCCAGACTGAGTGCCAGCATAGTCACAGTGAGGGCACTTGTATGGGCGCTCACCTATAGGGAAAAAAAGGGGAAAAATTAATTGGCGCAGCAATGATGTATAACTATTTTTCTTTGGTGTGATTTTTTTTTCCCTGGTTGGTTTCAACATATGGCAAGTGATTCCATTTAGGTGTCTGACTGATTCAGTTTTCCAAGTCCATGAAACAGGAATAAAAATGTCACATTTTTTACCATGAACAAAACCAGCTTTCTGTATTACAGCTTTCGGAGAGTGAATATCTTCTCTGTAATATTTTATGGAAGAAATCTTGCAATAAACCCTCTCTGTGCAATTAATGAGCAAAGGAAAGAAAAACAATCCATAGTGTGGTGTGCGTATATATGTGTGCATGTATAGGTGTGTGTGTCTTGTTCAAAGTAGAGCATCATACTTGGGAATTATCTTTTCTCTTTATAACAGTCTGTGAGGTAGGAAAGGGGGAGAATGAAATACTGCCTTAAAAGTACCTAAAGAGATTAAAAGGGACCCTGACATAAGACAAGTGAGGACTGCAGAAAGACTTAAACATCTTTACAGAAGTTCTCTTGCAAAACCTTTACTAGAATAAACAAGAATATTTTAATAGTATACATTTCAGTTGGTCTAATGCATAGTGACTTCCGTCTGGATAATGCTCAGTGTGAAGAGGTCTACGAACAAGGCAGCTTAACTTGCTGTCAGCATTTTTCATTTGCTTGCCATTGCCTCTGGGCCCTGTAGATACAACCATTGAGAAGGAAAGTACTTAAAAAACTACTGCTTTTGGGCCTCATTTTTATCACTGCATACATGCACAGAGAGAGCGCAAATAAACTTGCAACACTGTGAAGAATCTTAGAGCAGGAATTCAGCAATTGCAGTCCTTGAAGACAACTCTGGTTATGTACCATGCTAATGGAAGGAAGGGTGTTGTTAACCCAACTTGGACACTGAAATTTGTGGTTTAAATGGTCTTCCTGTAATATACCTTCAAGAGGATCGTTTTCAATACAGCATCATTTAGATTGGAAGAGATGATTTAATGTGAAAGATTAAGTTGTAAGCAAATGAACCTTACCACCTATTTCCATACTTACTTACCCCATGTGGCCGCTCCTGACTCTTACCTGTGTGGACACGGAGGTGAACTTTGAGATGGTGGGAAGATCTGAAGGACTTTCCACAGAATGGACAATCTTTCCCAGTGCTTCGTCGGGATCCATCCAAGCGTGACTGATTCTGTATTTCTGCAAAAGGCAAAGTGAAGACAGAGATTTTTTTAAATATGAGCTGAAGATTGCTTGATGGTTCTTATTTCTTTTTAATATTTTCATATTTATATTGCTTGCTAGAACCAGATTCTTTTTCAAAAAGATTTAGAAGCACAAATGCTATCAGTGTCTCATTTCACTTCTCTAGCAAAGCCAGCTTCTTTTAGATCAGAGTTCCCCAACCTTTCCAGCTTTTTTTTTTTTTAATTTGATTTATATGCCGCCCTTCTCCGAAGACTCAGGGCGGCTTACAATGTGCTCAGCAATAGCCTTCATCCTTTTGTATATTTATACAAAGTCAGCTTATTGCCCCCACAAACTGGGTCCTCATTTCACCTACCTTAGAAAGGATGGAAGGCTGAGTCAACCTTGAGCCTTGGCGAGATTCGAACCCTGCAGTAATTGCAGGCAGCTGGTCTTAAGCAGCTTAATAACAGGGTGCCTTAAACCCTTGTACTACCAAGGCTCTTGGTATCTTTGCAGATTGGGGAGGGGGGAATGGTTCCATAAGACTGGTGGGCAAGCATGTGTGCCTGTCACTCACACAAATGGAGAGTGCACACACATAGTTGCCTGCTACTTGCGCAAGCGGAGGATGCAGGCGCTCGCCCGCCGCTTCTGTGGCCTGGTTCCAAACAGCTCATGGACTGGTAGTGGGCCACAGCCCGGGGGTTGGGGACCTCTATTTTAGACCACTCTAGATTTAGATTTATATCTAAAATGATTGAACTATTTGTATAAAGAATTATACCCAGTGTATTTAATAACAGCTTATATTGTTCTAAGTTTCCAATAAGGAAGATTGAAATAAAATTGAAATTGAAATAAAATACCCTATTAGTAAGAATCTGCCTTCAGCAAGATGACTGTCATTTAGGAAAAGAAAATGGGATGCAATAAGATGGGAACACTTTCTAGAGGCAGAAATACAGGAAGGAAAAATGTAAAAATGAGATGTTGGCAATGTTGAGGACATCTGAAGTTCTTTGAATTTGTCTGTCACATTTGGTCGCATTTTAAGTCTTTTTCTCTATTTTTTATTGTTATATGAACAAACTTTAAAATAAAAAAAAATAAATAAATGTCCAACCCTAACCCTAATTGTAAAAGTTTATATTCCCCTACAACTTCTGGGTAGTACTGATTTCATTTGGGGGGGGGGGGATTTTTTTCTTTTTTTCACACCTGTACAATTCAGAACCAGAAAAGGGGATGGTGAGAGGAGAGAAAGTAAATTCTTGTCGCAAGATGGAATCATCTGACAATCTTAAAAGCTCTTTTTGTTTTTCCTTCCTCGCAAAGATGGAAGGGAGAATGAAGTGGTCCTTCCTGGTCATTCCAATCACTATTCTTAAGTATTGTGAAGATGTTTCCTTCTCTCTTCTGTGTAGAATGAAAGATACTATGGTAGCTAAAAAATATAGGAAATAATCCTAAAGGAGTTTGTGAATTTAGAGATCATAATGTCCCAAGTCATTCCAGAGTGGTGAACATTACAGAAAATTTTGAGATTATGTTATGCCTAGCTTTGCAAAATAACTATCAAGCTTTGCAAAAGTAATTGATCTCTTTAGGGGTTTCTGAATCTTTACAGATCTTGTGAATGTTATAGCAGCTATATAGAACGGAAATTTGATTTTAAAAAATGCTGAGTTTCCCTTACGTTTAGTCTAACTTCTAACAAAGTTAGACATCTTTTTATTTTATTTTATTCAGCTACCATATTGGAGGGCAAAAGGTGACATATAAAAATTAAATGCACTATAAAATATGCTGTCAAAGAAACCCCCCAAAAATAAACACGTTGTAAAATTGAAAACATACAAAAAAACCCACAAAAATTGAAAACATTGCTAAGCAATTTCATTAAATGTACTGGGCCTAAGTCTTGCTGAAAGAATATTGAAAATGTAATCCCCCCCTCAGATTCAGTAACTAGTTGCAGGTCCACAACCTGACTTAATTGTTTAATTTAATCATATCATTATGTAGGATTTCTGGCCATTCCAAGATAGCAAACTGCTTCAACTCAGTAATATTTTGTGGTTTTCTAGCAACAAGTGCTCATTTCTGATCCTGCCACAACATTTCTATGCAATTTAGGGCTGAACATAGGGACCCCGTTTTTACCCTGTGCTTTTCTGATCATGGAGTCATGAATTCTTATATTGAACCAACATAAGTTAGGCCTACTAGTAGATCCTTAGATATTGTTCTGGGGTTGTATGTGACTTCGTTGACAATGTTAAGTTGAACTTGGGAGTGATTTGACAGATAATTCTAAGAAAGCCTCACTATTCACTACTTTTTCCCTTTCAAGACATTTTTTAAATGGTTCTATAACTTTTTCAGACTAAAGAATAATAATTCATTTATTTATTTTGAAGGAACCTAATATGACTCTAAATCTGGGTAGTGGGAACTTCAATATAATGAGGGGAACCAAAGTTTGTGCGATTGTTATGGAACCAGGCTGACAGCTCAAAATGTTCAAAGAAATGCTGGTCCTACTTATCCCAGTTCATAAAACACGGAAAGGGACGTTATTTTCCATACTGGCAGATCCCACCTTAGATGTTTTTATTTATAAAATAAATGAAACACCACCAAACCTCACTGTTATCTGTTTTCTTGAAGTTCCTGTACATATTACAATATTATTTATTTAATTTATATACCGCTCTACTCCCGAAGGACTATAAAATAGAAGGATAATAAAAAAAAATTAAATAATATTACAATATGAGTTCTGTTCAACATTCAATAGTAAAAATATGCAAATACTCAGAAAAGCCTAACAGGGCAATTACATTTTCACCCCTGGCAACCAGCTTGGGAATGAGCAAATCTCCTTCTGCAGCTTCATCCAGCAGCAGAGATAAAAAAAATTCAAAAAAATCTGGCAAAATGTTTTAATGTGCTTTATACTGGTCTTGAAGTAAAGATGAAATGCATGTATAATAGAGACAGACGAGGGAGAAAATATTGCCCTGCATTATTGCATTAATGTTTTGTTAAAGACAGCCTTGGGTGGAAAGAATAGAGTTTACCTGGCTATCTCAAAGCCTAATTCTTAATTATTATGTCTAGTGTGATAAATTCCAGCTCTTGCCACCTGAGGGCATAACATATCCACCATACAAAATGACATAGCCAAATTCTCTTGTGTAACCTGATGTGATTCCAACCATATAGGTGTTTTTTTTTTTTTTCAAAGAGGCAAATAGTATGAAAATTAGTCCATCTCTACATCACAGATTTAATGTCGTTTAATAACAAATTATTTTTCATCAAGGAGACTCAGAACTGTTTAACCAAACTTCTTATAGCTAGGAAGCAAAAGCAATAATGTCACAGCAGTAGTGTGTTGAAGAACAGGGAAAAGCATTGGAAGAGGCAATTTGAGAAGTGCATCAGGGCAATTGAAATATATCTTCCACCTGCGGAAGAGGGGTATTTTATTTCCATGGCACATGTATTACCTGGTACATCCCATCAAACCAGTTTGGCATGCATGGAGCATGGGAATCCAAATTTTGCTTGCCCAGAGATGTTTACAAGTTGGCATTGTCAGGAACAAATGACATCATCTTGTTCAGAGTTCAAAGAAGTAAAGATTCTGCTCGGTGTTGCTCTCAACTGAAACATTGAGGATTTTTACACTAAGAGTGGGAGGAGATTTCACTCCCCCCAAAAATATTCTATGCCAAAACACACATTCTGTTTTTCTTTGCAGTAATTTGGAAGGCATAGAAAATGGCTGCTTCCAGCTGACTCTTGATCATGCAGTGTATGGGATGAGTAATCAGGAGAGCAGCTGGTTGGGTCAGCCACATTATGCAAACATGTCTAATATCTTTATTTTTTGATGTATTGTTTGGGAAGGAAGGGTTCTGGAACAAAGATTTTGTAACATTTAAAACACAAATCAGTTTAGATCTACAAGCACATGTGCCTTACAAAGCAGGCGGTTTTGCCATTCTGATCATTTTTGATAAACATTTCCAAAGTGATTTTCCACCAGTCTGAGACTGGAAACACACAAATAATGTTGATTCAGTTTTTAGTAATATAAGTAGCATGCGAAAGTTTATGCATGCCTGGTCAAATTGCTTATTTCAATAATTTCCTTAGTGAACAGATAGAAGATGATACAACTTCTACATGGAACAAAAGTTATGCAAATTTGAACTCATGCTTATTAGTTATGAGCAGTTGTTTAAGAATAACCAGCAATATTTTAGTTTCAAACAAAATTCATTGTTACTTTATTATCGTTGAATTGTTAAAGTTCCAAAAAGTGATTGATTTGTTAGGCTTGCAGTTACTCAAGTGAAGACAACTCCACAGGTAAGCAAATACTCTAACCCTTCTAACTTCTCAAATTGTAACTGTTTATTTTCAACAACCAACAGCTCTTCTAAGCAGCTGCCTGTTTGGAATATTTGAAAATGGAACATAATTTACTTATAAAGCAGAGGAAGGCTATAAAAATATTTGTGAACATTTCCAGCTAACAACTTTAATTTTGAGAAACACTATTAAGTAGTGAAAGTTACATGGATTACTGAAGTCAATAAGATCTAGCAGACCAAAAACAAAATCTTGGTTACAGTTGCATGAAAGCTAGTTAGATCTGCAAAAGAGCCTGCTGAAAAGTTTAGCTGACATTAGATCACGGTAGTTATCCATAGTACAGTGTTACTTATGCAATAATGATGTGCATGGGAATGTTATCAGAAGGAAATTTTTTCTCTGACCTCTTCACAAAAGACACAATTTAAAATAATAGAAGAAAACATTGACAAGCTTGAAATGTTTTGATAGAAAGTGCTTTGAACTAATGACCACATTCACAAGATACATTTGGGAGTAAGAAGATGAATCATTCTTGAAGAAAAACTTAACAATCCAATAAGAATGGATCTGGCTCTATTATATCTGGGCTTGTATGACAGCAGTTTATGGGTGGAATTAACTAAATATCCATATGTTGTCCAACCTTATGTTCTATAACTGAGAAAATTGAAGTTGAAAAATGTTCATATATTTCACTGTAATTATGACGTGAAAGAAGCTTCTGATCTATATCATCTATAAAATACTAACAGGAAATAAAGATAAAGGCTTTGTGGTCACAGTTCTCAAACAAGAATATTTTTGAAAATCTGAGGGAAAAGATCCCAAACATGTCACACTCTATCAGCCCTAAGAAAGAGGTAAAACACTTCCAAGAAAAGGAGGAGGTGGAGGGGAGGAGAATACAACGATGCTTCCCTGGCTTCACAAAATGTTTGTTATTTTTGTTAAAGAATTACAAAGTACAGGCTGAAGGGTATCCAGACTTTTGTACTAGTTTTCTTATTCTGAATCTGTAAACAGCTGCATGTAAACAGTAATTATGCATTCAAATTTGCAGCAAGATGGCCTGTTTAGGTTTATACCATGTAGAGCTTGTGTTCTGTTCAGAAGCTTGTCAGCTTCTGTTTGCTTGGGGATTCACTAAAGCATATAATTTCACTAGATGCCTAGATTCATGCATGCAACTATAGGACTGGGGTTTTTTTAAGAAAAAACACCACAAATTGTCTTCCAAAATTCAAAGCAGACTTAATTCTATTAATTGAAACTTCAATTCTGGCCATGCAGCCCCAGGCCACTGTCTGCCTCTCTGTGACCAAAGTCAGTCACCTCTACCCAGCTCATTCATTCCCATAAAATTGCTAAGTGTGATCTGGACTCCATCTGTACTTGCCTTTTTCCTTCTGGGTCAGCAGAGCTGAGCTGGTGTTGGCTGCAGCAGAAGCTCTCACATTTGTTGGAAGCCAGTGTCCACTGAGAAGGTGAGAACCCAGTGATTGTCCCTTGTTCCATTCTCTCTCACGGGATAGGTGGCTTTGCCGGTGCAAAGCCATCTGCTGGAATGTACCAAAGGTCCGGTTACAGTCTGGGCAGCGATGGGTCCCTCCTGAGTCTTCTCTCACAAGCTTGGACCCTACTACATAAGAACGTTCCCGCCATTGCTGACTACTCTCCACGGCACGAGCTGTGGCCTGCAGTCGTTCAGCACAGCTCGCGTCACTGTAACCCAGGAAAGTGCCCGTACTGGCTTTATCTGTCGGCCGTGGAGAGAGGAGAGATGGATACAGGGCCTCACAACCCACGAGTAAACTCTGTGCTGACCGTCCTGGTCCTGGTCCTCTTTGTTCACTCTGGAGGCCCAGCTTGCTGAGATGAACCTTCATGTGGTTTTTCAGGAACCATGGTTCCTTGAAGCCACGCCCACACACCTGGCACTTATGGTCAAAGGAGTCTTTGTGCTTCCGCATGTGACCCTTAAGGAACCAGGACTGGGTGAAGGCTTGACCACAGACCTGGCAGCGGAACTCCGTAGGGGTGGAGGCAGAGGACGAAGGGGTGGGTGTGGAAGCAGGAGGGGTGGGTGGAGCTGTAGTGGTGGGCACAGGGGCAGGAGGGGTGGGTGTCCAGGCTGCTGGGGCGTTATGAGCCTGTTGGTTGTGCCACTGAAGTTCTGACTCCTGTGTGGCAGCAAAAGAACACTGTCCACACTTGTACGGCTGATGGAGGATGCGAAGGTGGCGCTCACGTTCCCCTGCAGTGCGAAACTTGCCCTTGCAGAAAGAGCAGCGGAAGGTGGGTAGAGGTTGGGGTGGAACAGGAGCAGTCATTTCTTCTTCCTCCTCCTCCTTTTCCTCTTCTTGACCCCGCAGAAGTGCCCGCTCTTCCAATTCAAGCAGCAGGCGGCTCTGGTGACTGAGCCGGGTTTGGGCCTCAGGACAATGGGAGCGCAAATGAAGACGTAAGCTGGCACGCTGCCCTGCCTGGTGGCCACAGTAGGGACAAGTGAGTGGATAGGAGCTGGTGTGGATACGGGTGTGCAATGCCAGGATGCTGTTGAAGCGAAAACGCTTGCCACAGATAGGACACGGATAAGGGCGAGCCTCCCCTCCTGCCCCCACTGGCCCATTAGAGTAATGTTGTAAGTCCAGCTCCCCATTGAAAGCCATAATGTCAGCTTCATCACTGGAAGACGAGGAAGGAGAAGGAAGGGCAACACTGGCTGAGTTGGCAGAAGGCAATTGATAATCTGCACCCTGTAGGAAGAGGGAAAGAAGAAAGTTAAAACCTTTATACTGAATCCTTTCTTTTCCTAAGTCTGTTTTTCAATCAGTGATGTAGTATAACAGCTTGTTGGTACAGGAAAAGAAGAACAATATTAACTTCCTTGCAGAATGAGACAGGGCTCTGGATTTTCCTCAATGCAGTTTGCAAGCTGGTGGCTGGCATACAAAACAAATAGAAACCCTTCTGTCCTCAGCCAGCAACCTTTCACTCATTTTGCAAAGCAGAGGCTGAGAAAAAAGCAGCCAAATAACTTTCTTTCCTATGACTGGAAAGCAGCTTTGCTTTATTGTTAGGGGAAATAGGAAAATGGAGACTCCCAAGAGCAGGTGTCCCAATTTCCTTCTCTAAGAGTATTTTGGAAAATCAATCAGCACTTACAAATAAATCTGTGTGTCAACAAAACATGATTGAATTTGAGGAATTATATCCAGTGATAAGACAGTAAAACATAGTTGTGAACCAAAGAATGGGTAAGAATTTCAGACCGGTAAGTGGAACAAAAAGAAAGAGACAGATATAGAAAACTGAAATGCAAAATAAATTTAATGGGATTGTAAAATCTGCCTCAAAGGCAAACCTCAGGAATCATTTTAGGCTTATAGTAAAATTAATATTAGAGAAATATTGTTAGGATTTCTTGCTCCTCCCTTTTAATTTCAATGAATTGAATAGATTGGAATTGTCCCATTACGGTCAACAGTTCTCTAGTGGAGATGGGACTTGTTATCTTGCTTATTACCTATGAAAATTACTATTTCTACAATACTATGTGCCATTCTGACCAGGGGTGGGTTCTAAATATTTTTACTACCGGTTCTGTGGGTGTGGCTTATTTTGTGGGCGTGGCTTGATGGTCATGTGACAATAGGAGCCTGAGTGGTGTAGGAGGCTAATACCTCCTACTAAGGCAGCATTTAACATCCAGCTGCCTGCAATTACTGCGAGTTCAATTCTCACCAGGCTCAAGGTCAACTCAGCCTTCCATCCTTTCTAAGGTGGGTAAAATGAGGACCCGGTTTGTGGGGGCAATAAGCTGACTTTGTATAAATATACAAAAGTATGAAGGCTATTGCTTAACGCATTGTAAGCCGCCCTGAGTCTCCGGAGAAGGGCGACATAAAAATAAATTTAAAAAAAATTAAAAAATTAAAAATTCTTTAGGATTTAGCAGAGGTACTGGTCTGTCAGGCTTTTAACTGCTTGCAGAGCTGTACCGATCTACTCATTTGTTTTTGGAGGTACTGGTCTACCGATTTATTTTTGCAGGCATCGGTCTACTCATTTGTTTTCTTTTAACACTGATCAGCTGTAGGGCGGCCCTTTGAAGCCTGGTGGCAAGAGTTTAAACAGTTTTTTTCCCTCTAGCCAATCAGCTGGGACTCAGGAGACAGCAATAGATTGGGGGTGGGGCCAAATAAAAGGTAAGAATAATGCAGGGGGGCATTATTAATAATGCAGGGGGGGGCAGAACCGGTTTGGTGATGTCGTATCGTCACCGCTACCGGCTCGGCGGAACCAGGTCGAACCGGGAGGAACCCACCACTGATTCTGACCTCAACTAATGCTAAGAGTCCTATGTGTCAGGCATGAACAATCAAATCCATACATGAACAGTTCAATTAGCTATTTTATTGTTCATGCCTATAACATAGGAATCTTCTCAGATTGGTGGTTTGTATTTAGGCCAAGATACATAAGGTTCAATGGCATTCAAGAGTCAGACCTTTCCCTTTTGTGCCTACATAGAGCTTCCAGACTAATTCCTCACCAGTCTCTGACATGAGAAGCAGCTTGTGGCAGGCTAGTTGAAAAAAGCGTCTGTACTTGCTGGCTATGAATTGCAATGGCAATAATCTGTTAATCTGATTTTTCTTTGATGGTAATCTAGTTGTTAACCACTCTGGAAAGAAGAGTATCCATAAAAGAAAGATATAATAATTAAAATCAGTAATATATAAATACTTCCTCCATCTTGCCCCTATTAAAGTGTTTCTTTTTCCAGTTTCAATGGATTTTGAAATTCAGTATTTCACCAAAAGGGAGCTAAGAGAACTTGGACCATTGCCAAGTTAATTTCAGGTGAGCTTAGAATAACTTACTTTGATAATACTGTAGGGAGGAGACAAAAATCATTTCAGGAGTTCCCCATCCTGTTATATTTCCCCCCCACCCACCCCGTTTTATGACTCAAGCCACTCACCTCCATGGTGCTCCTGATCACATGCTTTAATCCTTGACTGGTGATGGAACAGCCAGTGAGAGCCAAGATGACATGTCACCCTTGTTAGGTAGACGCATCAGCTGCAACACAGAGGGTGGTGGAAGTCATGTAGATGAAATGTAAATATTTTATCAACAAAGGCTGAGGCTACTTTGAAATTAATAATGACTATGCTCATACTACAATATTATCAGTTCAAATTTGGCCTCTGTGTTGCTCAACCCAACCAACAGTGATATGTTCTGAAAACTATAATTATCAAAGCTTGGCTTAGAATGGTAAGCAGACTAAGCCAGTATTTGATAAGTATGAAATTTTCATCCACACACGCTCTCCCATAACTTAATTTGTTCTATAGTTAAACCTCAGATGTGTCTGGAATAGAACTAAATACTCATGAAATTATCCACAGTGTAATTTCTTTGCTGTTGGTACACAGTTGAGGGAGCCTTCACCTATCAGGCATAAGTCTTCCAGTAGAGTGCAAAGATTGTTTCCAGGTGGAACTGAGGTGCAGCGTGACTTTAAAAACCGAAGCACGGCTCTTGGAATATATCTCTTGGAAACCAGCTCCACTGGACTTCTTTCTCAAGCAACAAAGACATAAATGGAGGGCTAATAAATGATTTGAAAGCCTCTTCCCTAAACCATATGGTTTCAAGTAGTACTATTTCACATAATGGATGCCTGCCCCGCTTTTTTCTCCACTTTCCTCAACATCCCTTTTCCTTCTTTTTTAATTGTAAATTTGCAATCAGGGTCTGTTTTTTCAATAAATAAATAACATTCTGCCCTGATGTTCTCTAGAGACTGCAGAGAAAAATGAAAACATTTTAAATACCGATGTGACACAGCCTGACAATGTTTAGTTCACTGTTTTATAAAGCAAAATAATTGCTTTATAGAAAGCTGGCAAGAATTTTATCTGCAGTGGATCTTCGACCAATATTTCCTGAGTTGTCAAAGCAGGGGGAATTCAGCAGTAAGAAAACTGGAAGAAAGACAATCCAAATAAAATATTTTCCGATTGCAATTGGGAAATGTTTGTCCATTTGGAAGAAAATATTCCAGTCTTTGATTTCCACTTTCAATAACAATTTTATATTTGCTGTAGGCAAGTTAAAACCAGGCAGAAGTAGGAAGCAGATGTGAATAACAATGCAAGAGAAGCCGAGATGTCTTGCCTTTCATTATTCTCCATCTCATGCAAATATTAAGAAAATGTAAGAAAAAACAGTATCTCCAGTTCAATCTTAGTTGCTGTGATAATTTGTGACAACTTTTAATCAGATCCATCAAAACTGATCCCACTGAATCTTCCAAAGAAAAATGTGTGAGATGCAGATAAACATTTTAGTTGGGTTTGTCCTTTGAAGTGGAAAATCAACATTTCAGTTTATGATCATGAAACTCAAGTGACTACATTGGGCAAGTCACTATTTGCATTAGAGTTAAGGAAGCCTGTTGGAGAAAACTGGAGTACCACTCAGGACTCTATGTTAAGAGCTTTGATGTTACCAAATATTCCCCAGTGCTTCAAAGAATTTGCATGTGTAATATCCCATTGCTTTGTACAATTCAACAGAGCACACCACTACCCCAGTATTTTTGAGTAACAAAATACCCAGGTTTCCTGTGTTAATGCTAATAAAAGCAGGAGCCCACAAATTGGGAACTCAAAAAGGGGGATATAAACTGTGTTTATGACATCTGTAACTTGAGGGCCTTCCACTGAAGTAATATCCCTTCTGAATATTATTTGTTCTTGTTCCAGAAATATTCTAAAATATTATATGTAGGTGTGGATTACAGTCCCTTCCTCCTCCTCTTAATGTTAGCTTACCTCAACAATACCAAGGAATGGTCACAAGCAAAACCATTAATAGCAGAATAAAATAATAAACAGTAGCTTTTATAAAAATATTGTTTTGGCTGTGAAAAATATTTAGACAAAGTTATGAGCAAGAAGGAAATAGGGCAGCTAAAGGAAGAGAAACAGTGAGCTGGCAAGGATGGGTCTATGAAAGAAAAAATAGGACATCTAGAACTAGAGATAAATCTAAGGAAACAGCAGATAAATTAGAAGATGGAGAATTGTTCAAGGGGAGAGAAAAAACTGAACCAGTGCTGCTGACCTGTGGGTCTCTTGCTAACTGCTTTCCACAAATCGAAGTTTGATCATATAAAAATAAATGTCAGGAAATTTTGGGCAAACAGACATATATATGATACGCCCCAATATGTATCAAATGCAGGGAGGCTCTGATTGACATGGGGTGCTCCATCTCACCCCACTTCACCTCAGGCAAAGCTGTCATCTTTACAATTATATTCATCTGGATTTCAATCTCCAGATGTTGGCAAAAGATTTCTGGAATTCTTGCGGCCTCTACTTTTGTGACAAATACTCTAATTGTGGATGAAAGTGTTAGCTAGCCATGCTCCAGCAAAAATGCACTATGCATATCCAGTTTAAAATCCCAACTGGAGTGGGGGGAGGACCTATACAAGAAAATTAAGGTATTGAGGAAAATGGGTGTGGCAGACAAATTTCTTTATGTGTAATTTTGTTATCTTCTTCCAATAAGCTGAAGAAAGCAGTCATGTGAAAAAGAAAGTACACCCTATTTGAGTTTTGTGGTTTTATGTATCAGGACATAGTAAAAATCAACTGATCCTTAGCAGTTCTTAAAAGTAGGTAAATAAACCTCAGATGAACAACACATGACATGTTACACCATGTCATCATTTGTTTTACAAAGACACTTTTTAATTCATATAAGCATGTTGAATTCAGAAATACTGCCTAGCTTAGAGTTGCCCAGTGAATTTTACTCAAATGAGTGTGAATTTCCATTAAGTTCATAGCAAATCTCGTCCAACACACTAATTATGCATATTAGCACATTGGCGTCACTTTTTTTTTGTTTTTAAGAGAAAGAAATGGTAGGAATCTCTAAGCATGAATTTTAGCTACAGCTCCAATCCTTGGGGATCCTTTAAGGAAGCCAAAACTATTAAAAAGTTATAAATCCTACTATATTTTCTAAGCCAAAACATTAAGAAGCATTCAAGAAAATTGCATATGGAATGATAACTATTTGTTACAATATATTATACTCCATTTCTTTTTTTTTTTCTTGCATTTTTTCCACTTATTTTTAAGCACATTGTGTTTTTATAGTATTTCTTTATGGTTTATTGCTTTTATTTTTAAATTTTTTGTTGTTGTATTAAAAGCAATAAACATTATTTTAAGCAATAGATCCTGTAAAGGGTTCGATCTTAAAATGGCTATAGCTATAAAGCCAAATTTCAAAGAGGTCTGAATTCCGAGATCATTTATCATGCTAAGCCAGGATTTGTCTTAACCTGGCACTGATTATCAAATATAGTACCCTGTTTTCCCCAAAATAAGACATCCCTGATAATAAGCCCAATCGGGCTTTTGATCATATGGCAATAAGACCAAGCTCTTATTTCAGGGTTCAAAAAAATATATGACAGGATCTTATTTTCAGGGAAACATGGTAGCTGGATTCCCCAAAAACAAATAATGCTAAACCATACGTCAGGAGTTTAATAAAACCTCTGTTATGTCAAGGGCTTTAGTAGGTTTTCCAGAACTTCCTGAGAGCTATACAATAAAAATGGGTGGGCTAAGACTGTTTTTTGCAAAGATTTCAGAAGTTAAACAGACAAAATGGATGTCTTAAACCCATGCAGAGGTCTATGACAGCTCGCCACAACCAACTTGCTGGAACCAATTCACCATGATCAACTCTCCATTGCCAATTCCCCACAGCTCACAACTCACTGTGGGACAACTCATCACAGAACAAGAGTTACATTAATATTGAAGAAGTAGCCAAACAGAATCACTAAAGAAAGGATGCCAAAGGAGGGACAAAATAAAATGTGAATGACAAAAATGAAAATATTTTTTTAATTATTTGAAATAATTAAATTGAATTAAATTGTCCTACAGCAAGTTGTCCATGGCAAATTGGCTGTGGTGAGTAGACCATGGTTGGTTGGTTATAGTGAGTTGTCCCATTCCGCATGCAGATATGTGTCGTTGTTCACTTTGGGCAATGCAAAAAGAGATTGTGATGTGCTGCATTCCACTCCCAAGCTACTTTTTTTTTTTTTGCATCTGTCTTAAAATATAGTTTATAAACTGCATAGTCTAAATCTACATACTATGCCAATACCAAACGAACTACATTAAGGTTTAATCTAATATGTGAATTGTCATACAAATTGAATTATGAGCCCAATTGAATTCACCTTTTCTAAGAATGCAGGAGAGAATGTCCACTATATTTAATAGGGTCCGTTTGTAGGCCTCGGAGCCAACATGAATTATTATTTTTTCAACCCCAATTTAATTAACCTGAAATTAAAATTACTTGGAGCATTAAGCACTGTGAGTTATGGCTAAAGGGCTAGCTGAAGTGGTAGATCTGAATGAAAGTTCTTATTTTGAATGTATGCCTTTACAATCTTGCACGTGGAAGGAAGGAATCTTCTGTGTGACATTTTACTCCTTATGAATCTCGTCTCAGAAAAGGTCTGTACAGTATGTGAAAGCTAACAATGAGAATGTAAACAGCAAGGTGAAATGAGGTAGTCTCTGCGTTCAGAGGATTTAGCAAGAGGAGAAACAGTTGGAGGGCAGAAATCTAAACTTACATTCATAGCAGGGTTGAGCATGAATGAATCAGAGCTGTGAACTCATGCTGTTATCATATGACATGCTTGCCCTGCCCCCAGATAGCAACAGACCTCACAGAAGAACTGAGGAAAATTATGAGAAATAATCTATCTAGAGGTTATATTCACTAGAGTAAGACAATACCTTCCACAGAACTGACATTTTATGTGCATGGCTGAGTGCCTCATGTTTCATTTTGTTTTGTTTTTCAACTTCCTGTGCTTACAGAACCATAGGATCAGAGAGGCTAGACTTAATCTAATTGTTTCAGCCTTACATCTGGGCAAAGCATATATTTTTCAGGAGAAGAACTGTCATGTCAATCCCAAGGCCTCAATTCAAGTGGTATACATTTTAGGTATTGTTTGAGCAATTAACTATTTTAGAATGATAGAAAGTTGACTATTTATGATGACTTGACTCATATACTGCATTAAATCAGATTCACTTGGTTGTGGTTGAATAAACTATAATAAACACCACACTATCATAAACCTTGGTTTTGAAACCAGAAGGGATGGATTACAGTATACAGTAAACCAAAACCAAACCACATTATGTTTTAACTATATTCTATGAATTCATTAGCACAAAAACAAATCTTCTTTCTATATGACATTTCTTGCTGTTTTTATTATGTACAGACTTTATCTGTGCCTTTAGAATTATAATCTAAAATAATTATATATATATTCCTCTGGACATACATTTACCCCTGATGGCACTGCATACTTACAATGCCCTTTGAAACATGTAAAATCAGCACAATTTTACATGTTTCAAAGGACAGTTTTACAGGAAATATAAGTAGTATTGTGAAGACCTTGTTAAGCAAACTCCACATTACAGATTTTCACCTCTTTCATAGCAAGATAACCATCAGGACTTCTCTCTTTCCCCAGAGAAATCATGGGAATTGTATTTAGAAAGAATCTTAAAATTTTAGAGAAATCTAGCTCTCCTCAGACCCACAGTTCTCGTAAGGAAGAAATTGTCATTTCAAATTATTTGCATTCATGCTGTACATATCTATTAATTTCTCCTAATTCTAGGAAAGCAAGACTTGAGTTTTCAATAAACTCTTGATAGATTGAAAGAGCAGAAAAATATTTGACAAAAGACAAAAATGGGGGTCGGTGCATGGGTGGGTTTGACATTGTCTACATGCTATCCAAATTATCCCAGCAGCTCTGGATAATTTAATAGCAAATAGCATTTAGACTTACCGTACTTTTCGGACTATAATATGCACTTTCCCCTCCCTAAAAGTGGGTGGAAATGTCTGTGCGCCTTATACACGGAATGTTGTCGAAGCCCCACCTACCCACTGGCACCCATTCTTCAGCCATTTTTGGCCTCCACACATCACGTTTTCAGCCTCCACATGCCCCGTTTTAGATCAGTTCCAGGCTGTGAGGATCGCCACAGCACATCGCTGCCGATTGCTGCCTCCATGTGTCACATTTTTGGCCTCCATGCGGCACATTTTCAGCTGGTTCCAGGCGGCGGCAGCGATGCCCACTGCCTGGAACTGGCTGAAAATGCAACACGTGGAGGCCAAAAATGCGACATGCAGAGGCAGCGATCGGCAGCGATGTGCTGTGGTGATCCCCACAACTTGGAACAGGTCTAAAGTGGAGTGTGCATAGGCCGAAAACACGATGTGTGGAGGCTAAAAATGCGATGCTTGGAGGCTGAAAACGCAACACACAGGGGCGGCAATTGATAGCGATGTTCTGTGGTGATCCCGGCAGCCTGGGACAGGTCTAAAACGGAGTATGCGGAGGCTGAAAATGCAACATGTGGAGGCAGTGATGGGCTGTGGCAAAAACATGATGTGCGGAGGCCAAAAACGTGACACATGGAGGCAGCGATGGGCTGTGGCAATCTCTGCAGCCTGCAACAGCTGATTGGTGGTATTCCGGGAAGCCAATCCAACCGCTAATAAACTGCTTATGCTGAATCAGGCTGTGATAATGTGCTGAAGCTGACCAGGCTGTTTGCTGTAAGGACGCTAGCCAGATGAATACTGATGGATGCTGGTAGGCAGGCAGAATTTTTTTTCTTCTTTTCCTCCTCAAAAACTAATGTGTATCTTATACTCTGAAAAATACAGTATATATCACTTTACAGTGCTTTACAACCCTCTCCAAGTGGTTTACAGAGTCAGCATATTGCCCCCAACAATTTGGGTCCTCATTTTACCAACCTCGGAAGAATGGAAGGCTGAGTCAAACTTGAGCCTGGTGGGATTTGAACTAATAGCATATTCTTTGGAGTAAATCATACTTCTTCAGAGTTGGTGCCCTTCAAAATATTAAATTACTATAGCTTCCATTATCCTATCCTGCATGGCCATTGCAGATGAGATAAGATTATAGTCTAACCAAGTAGGCTATAATAGTCTAACCAAGTAGGCTATAATAGAGGAATAGAGGCTGTTAACTCAGGCAGATCTGTGACCACTTGTAGAGTTCAGAGTCCCCACTCATATGGAGCACCTTTGAATGAACCAAGACAGTAAATAAGAGTGTGGCACAATCTTACTCATATTTTTTTTACTTGTAGAGACAAAGCTTATTCTTTCAATATAATGATTTTACAATGACATCACAAACTTGTACAAACAAGCCCCTGGAGAAACAGGCTAAACAATGCATCAGGCTTCCAGGATGCACAGAAGCATTCCATAGGCAGTAGGGGCACTGCATAATTTCCTTTTCATTATTGTCAGAAGAATAGTTCTGTGCCATTTGAAAGCTTACAATCTTGAAATAAGTGCAATTTGAAAACTTATTTAACAAAAGGCACTCTTAGGAAAAGTTACTGTCTCAGAAAGAGGACGCTCCTATCCAAAGCTTAGTTTTTAATAAAATAGAGAGCAAGGCTCAAACGTGATTGAAAAACAATCCATTTTGGAAGATCTGTCCCAAAATCATAGAGTGGGAGCAGCTAGTTTTTGTTAGCAGGGAAGGGACAGAAAATTTACTTGTCCTTTACCTCATTTTTATTTTATTTATTGAAAAATTCAAGGATTATGCATTGAAGCTAAGCTCTGATTTAGGCACTATATATCAGATGTTATACTGCCACCCTTATTAAGGAATATCTGACTGCCTAAAATGGTGGCGTAGCTTGCTGCACAATTGCTCAAATCAAGCAGCAATGCTGGTGGTATTCACAGGCCTGGAGAAAAGATAGCTGATTCATTTTGGCATCATGCCATGCTGGGCCTATGACAGTAGTATCCTAATGACGAATGTGTTAAACACACACACACACACACACACACACACACACACACACACACACACAAACAAGGTCCTTTGGGCCCACTCAGTGCAAAGAAGGCAGATTGTCCTGTTTTGTTTGTACAAAACACAGGGAGGGAGTTAGTTTCTTAATGCAATGTAACTGTACCAAGGGGTGCTGAGGATAGAAAGTGCCAATTCATTTTTTTTCCTCCCGAATAGACAAGATGGCTACTTCTTAGAAAAAGGCAACTTAAGAGGGGGAAAAAAAACAGTGGCAATTTTCAAGAATCCCCACTCCCAAACTGGGAGGCTGGCTGCCAGGCCTCAAGCCAACTCCCGCCAACTTCCAAGCCATGAAGGAGTAAGGGGAGGAGGATATATGAATGGGAGCAACCAGTCTCCACACATCGCAGCCATGCCTTGGCCTGTGAGAGACAAGAGAGTGACTGTCCCAGCAAGACACAGATCTTCCTCCCCCCTTCCCACCCACACGCCCCAAACAAAGGGAGCAGCTGCCTCAGCAAATGCTCCAGTGCACATGGGGGGGGGATGGGAGGATGAGCCAAGGGAGCTGTTCCCAGTGACTAAGAGCTACTGATCTTCCTCCCACCCACCCTTCGACCCCACCCAACATAGTTTTCAATCTTTGAGAGCCTCAATTTAGCACTGGGTCATCAGACCACCGACCTTCCCACCTCTCTCCCTTTCCTTGCCTGTGCCCTAAAAAAGGCTCAAAACACTGTGGGACTGGGGAACAGAAACCCCCACCTCCAAAGTGTGCCTATTGGGGGGTGGGGGGTGGGGGGGTGCGCAGAGCCGAAGGGGAAGAGAACAGTCTTTAGGTGCAGCATCGGCCGTCCTGCGTTACGCTGCAAGCCACCTGCTCTTCTATCCCTTCTCCGGAATGCTTTCACCCCAAATATCTTCCGCGTCCCCCTATTTCCTTCTACTGATTTCCGCAGAAGGGATCACCCCACCCCACGGCAATTTTAGTCATAGTCACGTGGATGGGGGGCGAGACGAGGAGCGAGGGGGGGCGGGAAAGGGATATAGAAGAAAAAGAAAAAAAGAAAGAGAGAGATGGAGGAAATCGTCCGGGTCATTCGGGGATAAGGAAGCCCGAGGCCGAAACCAGGCGATTTCCGTGCGCCAAAGCGGTGCGCGCCGAGAGCGTGGCCCGGTGCGGTCCCGCGGCCGGCTGCCTCCCGCCCCCATAAGAGGAAAAGTGAAGCCCGGGCCGCGTTTCCTCTCCTACCATGCACCTGCTCTGGGTGCCGGGCGAAGGGTGGGGGGAGAAGAGACGAGCGGCCGGGCTGGCGGGTTTTCTGGGGAGGGGGCCGCACGGTGGGCGGGCGGACGACACGGCGCAGCGCAGCTACTCACCAAGGCGCACGGCGAGGCGGCGCGGAGGAGGGGGCGCTCCGGGGACCCGCCGCGTCGTCGGGGCTGGGCCGGGGCGAGCAGCCTCCCCGCCAATGGGGCTCCCCCCTCTCTCCTCCTCGCCGTCTCTCGCTCGCTCGCTCGCTCGCTCTCCCTTCCTTCCTCCCTCCCTCTCCCTCTCTCTCGCTCGCTCCCTTCCTCCCTCCCTTCCATTGTACGGAGCCGCAGGCAGCGGCGGCGATTTGCATTTCTGAGCCTTGCGCGGCGAGGGATCACCCGGCTCCATTGTGCGCTCCGGCTCGGCCGGGGCAGCCCTGCCTCGAGGGAGGGGGCAGCCCGGGTTGGAAAGGAGGGGGAACGAAGGAGAGAAACGTAGAAACACGGCCTGCTCTGCTCGGGTACCCGGGATTGGGTGTGGGGGGGGGGAGACACAAAAATATTTGTGCTAGGGAAGTAGGTACTTTACCCCGCTGCATCCAAAACCCTTCTGCCCAGCTTTGCCAGGGCGGCCCTAGGAGATACAGGAAAGACAGTGCTAGAGAATAGTAGATTGTCACTTACTTCGTTTGCCCCCCCTCCCCCGAGAGAAAATGCAGGATGGGTGGCACTACTCTGGCACAAGTTATTGTCTGCACTCCGATGAGGACCCGCGGAGGGACACAGCCAGTTCTGGGATGGTATTTCGTTCAGGAGGAGAAAAAAATAGCACCATCGTAAGCCAAGAACTCCCTGCCTCTGTTAGAGCCAAGCAAACAGTAGTGCAATTGAAGATTACAGAGCAGAGGATTGGAGAGGCAGGATCAGCCTGTCTCAGCCTGCTCAGTTGGGCCACGAAGGGGGGGGGGCAGAAGAGCTGGTAACTTGGCACAAGCAAGCATTGTCTGCTTTGTTGTACATTAGTGGAAAGAAATCAATACGAATTTTTGGGATGACGGGAGTGTCCCTGGCAGGAGGGAGGGGAGCAGAATGTTAGCCCAGCATAGTTAGGCAAAGACCGGCTTTGTTTTGCTGCGCCCTGACTGGAAGCACAGGCCGGGATTGGCATCACTAACTGGTACTTGACCACACAGTCATTTTCATATCCCAAAGCCTTCTTATCTTTTATGGTTGGTAGAGCTGAGACAGCATTGCTGGGACAAAGGGTGGGAGGCTGGATGGCTTCTGAAAAGCACAAGGAGGAACAGGAAGGCAAAATTCCACTCCAACATTGTATTCTGCCGTGGGCAGCAGCCAAGTTTGTGAGCAGCAACAGGTAGGTTGTGCTACCACTGAGTAAGAGTCAAGCCCTGTCTGCTTTGTTGCACCACACTGCTGACAAGCAGACCTGAATGGTCCTTCCAGGCATGTGGTCTGATGGAAGGGCCTCTCAGTGCTACTGCTCAGCCACTGAGGTCAGTCAAGGAAAAGGAACATTCTGGTTGCCAGGCAACCACAAGTCAGGTTTTATCTACCTCTTATGTAGCTCTCTAAAGAATGGGAAAGTGAGCACACCAGCCAAATATCTAAGTCAGGAAAACAGATGGGAAAGAGGCCAAATCAGCTTGGCATTTTGTTCCTCCTAAAGGGGGAGGGGGGGCTATTCAGGGCAAGTAAATGGATAAATGACAGTGTGAGCTGAAAAACCCTGCTTTGCTAAGGGAGGTGGGTAAAAGATTTAATAAAACTGTGCAGGTACAGCTATGTACATGAACAATGTACTGTATTTGTAACTCAGAAGTCCCACTGATTTCAACAGGATTTCTGTCAAATGAGTACCTAATTACAGCCTTGTAAAACTATCCACTATTTATAAATAAAAGCTGGCTGAAATTTCTCCATTAGAGAACCCTCCAAGTGAAAGAAAAGTCTAAAGGATGATACAGTTGATATAATAAAAGCCACATATAAAAACAAAACTACCCAAATCTAAGAACAAACTAAATTAACCTGGCTGTTTATATTCCATTTAAAATTGATAGAGAATCAAGATAATGTGAAGAAAATGCTAAATTGACTTTGATCAGAGAAAAGATATTATCTATGTTTCTTGTTGACTAAAAATCTCTTACAGACTTTTACATGAAGTAGAAAAAAATGAACTTATGATTTTGATTAGACCAGATAGATATAGAAAGAAGAGAGTTATGTAGTGTAAAAGGGAAATTTATAGTTATAGCTGCAGTAAATAAGATTGGAAGCTATTTGTGTGAAGAAAAAATACAGTACTGTAGCGTTTAGAGCTGAAGAACATAAATTATTGTTTCAGCATGCTTTTCTAAGAAGTATAATCTTGTTAGGCAACTCTGATGGAATATCAGCGCTCTGTTTAGTACTTACAATGCCTTGAGTTTATCATAGGTAATAACTAAATCACTTCAAATTAAAATGTGCATGATATCCCCATATTTTACTTTTCCCATGAAAATTGGGCCTGAAAATGCTGAACATTCCATTCCAATTCTGATTTTTCTAAACCGCAGAATTAAAACCATTCCCCATCTTTACAGCCCGCAAAGCAATCACAATCTCCATCAAATGAGTCCCCATCTTCTCTCATTTGTTGCTCAGTATGTAGTACTGAAATACAACATAAAATTTGAAACTAGTATATGTGTGAAGTGTAGCTGCCACAAAAATCTGGGCTAAATACACACTAATGACTGGATGTTAAAAGATTTTTTACTCCCAACAAAACCTTATTTCTCACTTTCCCATTTTGTTTAGAGAGGAATTATTTAGAGGAGAGGGAGCAGGACTACTCTCAATTATATGCTGCTGGTCCCCCCACTTAAGCATGAAGTATGGCCCAAATATGAAAGAGGGACAGAACGCCATCTGATTTTAGCAGCAAAAGGAAAGCCAGGGTAAGAATACTGAATCCTGTCCCTTATTCACTATCAATCACCATTGGAATTACTCAAAAACTCAAATTATGCATTCTTAATTGTATGTTAATAACCCAAATACTGTTTATATTTTAATACTAGCTGGGGAGCATGGAGGATGGGAGTCACTGGGACTAGATTACACAGGGAAAGACAAACAGCCTGAAGGGAAACAGTTCCAGTTGCTACCTGGAGAAACTTTTTTTTTCTCTATAGTTAATTGGAGAAATAGATGATTTTCATTGAAACTATAGCTCATTAAAAGATTAAACCTCCTTCATGTTGGTCCTATTGACTAGGTGGGTGTATTTCCTATTTACTTCCTAGACCTGTCTGTTGAGGGCTTTGAGCAAAGCAACAACACAGAAGTGATTTGCCACTGTCTTCCAGAATGTCCTTTGACTTCCCAGGCTTACCTATATCCCTGATACTTCCTGATAGTCCTTTCCAGGTTTCCTAACTAGATCTAAATTAGCTTAGCTTACTGTGATCAGCTAGATCTGAAATTTAAACCGAAAACAAAACAGTTACGAATGCAACTGGGGTAATCCTAGTGTGGCTCTTTTTAAAAGAAACTGTACACTAAAAGAATATTCAAGAAGATAGAAACAATTTGCAAGAGACAGTTTGTATGTGTCTCACCCATCAGTTGGCAGAGATTTAAGCATCCCATCTAGTTGCTCTTCAGGTTGCATCTTACAACTTTATGGACAGCATAGTGAGAAATTAAACTTCCTTGATGCCTCTTTAACAAGGTTTAAATTCAGCACCATTAATTTATGCTGGTCAAACATAAATGAGCACCAGGCCCATCCAAAAGTGGTTATAAACAAAATAAATAATTTGCTCCAAAAAGTATTATAGGCCCACCTCATTAATAGAAATTAATAGCAAAAGAGATACTTATATACTATTGCAACCCTTTCCAGTTTTGGGAACTGATAGCTCAGTATTTTAAAAAAGTAGAAGAGAAGTCATGGCACAATATATTTAGTGGCATTTATGGCAATATTCAAATGTCTACTAATACTGTTCAGTCTCAGTGCATTATACCAAAGTTATGAATTTATATTCTACATTACTTCTTGCATCTTCTTACAATTTGTTTGCTTTTGAAGGAATAATATCACAATAGATATGACCAATATTGAATTGCCCTTTGTTCCCACTGAAAATTATTAAGACAAGTGCAAGTATCTTAATATGGATTCACCTCAATGATTTTTATCACTTTTTCTATATGGGCATAAAAGAAAGTCCTATATTAAATTCCTAGAGGATATATAAAAAAGGGACAAATGCCAAATAACTCAACTTACCAAATTAAAAAAAAAACTTATCTGTATCCAGTAATACAGTCACATTGCTCCCCCACCTCAAAAATTAGAAACTCTTGCTCAATTCTAAATATAGCACCATTTGTACTTCTTTATAGATTACTTCCCTCAGTCAGAATTACAGTAAATTGCATGTAAAAATAACCAAACAAGTAAGCCAACTTTATGCTACAGGGAAAAGCAACCATTCCTCTTTCCCCAGTTTTTGATATTTTCATTCACACTGCAATAGATTTTCACATGGAAGTTGGCTTTGTACAAATTTTGTTCTTTAAACAAGGCATGGTGTTATATTATTTAATCATCTCAAAAATAATCTTGAAAATTAAATGTGTATGTTTGCAGTTCAAGGATCTCTTCCTTATGCTCAGGATAATCATGAAACAATGATTCTCATGTTTTTTCAAACTGCAAGAATGTAGGGGTGTAGCTTTAACTAAGTACTATTCATCAAAACTCCCTGCATAGAAATATTAACAAACAAAATAGATATCTAACATATCTTAACTCTCCTTGCCATGCCAGTTACTCTACAAAATAAGATGCAAAATAAAAAAACTCAAAATCCCAATATTAAATTGACAAGCACCTTTTTTGCATTCTAAAGTGGCACAGTCCCAGAAAAAATTTTATCTTGCGAAAGTCAATGACATTGTGCATACTGTACATCATTCTCACACTGTTGTTGTTATTTTTCTGTTCTTGAGTAACTCACCTAAAGATATCTGATCCTATTTTAGAAGGGAGTACTTCTAAATATGACAATCGCATACCCCTCTCTGTAGCCCAGATGCCCTCTTTCTTCCTTTTATTCTAGAATTACCTTGAAGAAAGTTCAGAAAATGGATGCTGTAGTTGCCTATTGCAGCCTAGATTTTTTCTTTCAACACCCATTGAAGAGAGCAAAATACCAATCAATTTTAAGACTGAAGGTGTGACTGGAGATAGGGTAACCAATAAATGCACAGATCCATACACTCTGGGTATTACCACATTTGATGCTCAATAGAAGATGATTCAGCCCACCAAGTTCCCTTTTTCCCAGCAACTTTTAATTTGGGTGAACCTGGGAGTTCCCTAGTTGAACTTCCTTGCTTGATAGCCTCTCTTACTATCAATAGTGTGAGCTTGATCAAAACTTTCCAGGAAATTCACAATCCAAGAAAATGGCAGAAAAGGCACTCAATGAGTAGTAATCAGGCAGGACATGGAAATCCCACAGTAGGGTATGACCGATCTAGATGCTTCTATGGAGTGGTAGAAGAGCCATCAGGAAATGGGTAGGATTAAGTCACAATATTGTTGAATATGACCATCCATTTGTGTCCCAATCCCCAAGTTTCTGCAAGGATCTCAAACTGTCCTGTTCCCAGAATCCCTAGGAACTGAATCTTGCCGTCCTTGACTTCCTGGAGAAAAGAGTTTCCGATGCAGGCTCCACACCCAACGCTAAAAAGAAAAAGCAAATCAGACTCTAGAAATCCATCAAAAATTTTAAATATGTCCTATTCCTCCCTATCAAGTATTCAATCCGCACATCTCTACTTTATATTTGAATCTTTAAAATTCATTCTGATCTTACAAAATTTAATATGAGGTTTAATTCTTAATACCATTATGCATTAAATAGTACTAACCAACATGCAATTAGAAAGCAGCACTTTACAGCACTTTTTTTTTAGTATCCTGTCCATAGCATTTCAGCTTGGTTGCTTTCTAACTTGATCTCCTGCAGATGTGTTTCATTTCTACTCTCATCAGCTCCAATCAGCATCAGCAAGAGATGATGAAACTCGCAGTCTACAATGATGGAAGGTATCAAGTTGTTCACTATGTTACAACAACTCTGCAAGATTGGTTCATATTTCATTATCCAGCTCACACTGTTAGCCATTATGTTAGCCAGCTCATAGATATTAGAGGAATTTTAAACAGCAATAGTGATATAAGGACAACTGCATGGCGATGGCACACAGGACAGAGAAGCTATAAGACGGTGGAACACAAAAGGAAGAGCACCTGGACACAGAATCACTCATTTAACAGGGATGAAGCAGACATCCTGAAGTATCCCTGTAATATAGACTGAAAGAAAGGCTCTTGGGAATATTATGTGCTGCAGCTTAGGGAAATGGGGATGGCAGTGAGCAGATACAATAACGAGTGGGAGGTTGCACAAAGGCAGAAAAGTTTGGCAGGGTGGCTGTACCTGGCCGCCCCAACCTCAGAGTGGGGTCACTGGTTCGCCGGCAATGCCAAAGCTCTGGCAAATAAAGAAAAAAACAGAAGCCATCAGGGATGGCCTAGTGAACCCTGGAGAGGAAGGGGTGGAATAACTGAATCATACTATTTGGCACACAAAACACATAACTCTTCAAATAACCAGAAGGGTACCAGTAACTGAAAGATGGTATTTTGTAACTTTGTGAAGGGACAGAAATGGCAATGGTAGGTGAAAAGACTTGGGGCACTCTTTCATTCAGGGCAGGTCACATTCTTAGTAATGATCTCTATAATCAACAGATTCAACTGCTAATAATTTCTCTGATTCACAGCATTTCACTCGCAGGCACTTCTCCCCAGGGAATGAGGGGGGTCACTTCTAGGGGATGTTGATTATAGTAATGAGACGTCTGGGTTGAGACCCTCCCTCTGTATGCCTTTGAACGCAAAGTTAATTTAAGTAGAATGCCAGTCCAGCACAATTTCCCTTTCCCCACATAAAGCCTGAAATAATAGTCAAGAAAAGGCATCATCAGATTAATGAAAGAACTCAAAATTACAAATCCTATCACCAAAAAACATTTCAACCCTGAATAAACTCACCGACTGATGGTGTCCTAAAGCAGAGCTGCTGCCAGGCAGTGAACTTCTCCCCTGCCTAAGTGGTTCATGGTGGCTTGGGGAGGTTCCCTCTGACCCAGAAGTGTGAGCTGAGAGGAACACAGAACACAGTTAAGCACCAGCAGAAGCAGCTACCAATCTCTTGAGAGGGTTGATAGAAGAATAGCTACCTCTCGGGATGGGCTTGACATCTAAGTCCCATTCCTCTTCCTCAAAGTGGCCAGGGAGTGACAAACCAGGAGGGGGACCAGGGCCAAGGCCCAGAGGAGCTAAGCGCTGAGAAGGGCAGGATGACAAGCTCATTGAGACACTTGGCTGGGCAGCTGAAGAAAAGTGAGAGGAGGGAAAAAAAAGAGAGAAACATCCAAGGCATTTTGATTCAGCACCCCTATCCTTAAGAAGACCTCTCCCTCCAGTATTTGTTCCCATCTCTTTAACAGAAAATGTTATTCCAACCACATTTTTGAGGCCTTTCTCCATCTTAAACTCATGTGGGCCAAACAAGGTGAGGGAGATGTTTTTTGGTCCACTCTTTGATTTCTGACTGCAGATAAAAAGGTTCTGAGATTAATCCACCTGTTTTCACTGCAGATCTAGTTCCACTCTTCCCTGCAAGTCTTATTTTGTGTATAGTAAAGGCAATAAGGCTTGCAGTTACTTAGAGTTAATGCATCAATGCACTGTCTGTTCCAGTCTGCTTGTTACTGCTTTTTTTCTTATCAGTTCTGAAGCAGCCAACTGCCTGAAATGTAAGGCCCCATCCACACACATGCAACTCCAACCCCCTCAAAAAAAGCAAATGGGAATGTATCAAGATTAGGCCGAACTAGAAATCCCAGTCATCATGATGCTAGGGATCAAATGACATCATCAAAAGTGTGCCATTGTTTCAAACCTCCTTGATCACACAAAGTAGCATTTGTTTTGTCTGACAGATCTAGTTTTTTAAACTTACTGGGATAATGACACTAGAAAACTCCACTGATTGTCTTTCAAAATAAAATTATTGTTAATCTTTGACATAGATTTTATGCAACTTTTTATCACTTTCTTTTCTTTCAAGAATAAAAGATTTTAAGAACCCGAACCCTCCCCCAGTAAAACATTCCCCTATTGAGCTGACCATCTCAGGCATGCTCATACCTTGTCTCCAGAGTAGTTGGGCTATAATATTTGTCCACTGATGCTTGACTTCAGCAGAGGCTGCTTGCAATGTATAGGCCTGTCGGGATGATCCCCTTCCGAACCAAAGCTCAAAACGTAACCCACTAGAACCCACGCTCTCCGTTAACCCCATGGAAGCAGTCTATATGAAGACAGAGGAAACCACAGAAAATGTGGCAGTGTTCATAGTCAGATGCAATGTAATTTGATTTTCATTTAACTGTTCTGCAGCATCAATCAGTTATAATTTATGCAGTAAATCATTATTAAACACATTGCTCACTGCAATATAATGAACCAGATCTCTGAGTAAATATTGCGGCACCATCTGCAACAGGAAGTAAGTCTACATATACAGCTGAGAAATAGGTGATCCTGGAGAAAATGGACCCTTCTGGTTGGAAAGATCTTTCACCAAGAATTGAAATTTTATTCCCTGATGTCAGCTGAGTTATTGGTGACTTAATCAACCCCTTCCTTTCCCCGCTTTTTATTTTTCTCTCCAATCCTTTTTTCCACACTGCATTTGCAGTGGATTTCAGCTATTTGTCATGTGCAAGTCTGACAATTATGTCTATTTATTGAACGGATAATTAAAGCCATCTTATTCCAGACAATAATTTCATCAGTGTGGATTAAAATAACCGCAAATTATACTTCTAGCCCCTAAAGCCTGGGAAAATATTATTCGAGATAATCCCTTTACCTACCTGCAAGACCAGTTTGCAGACATAGCCACCCTCAGCTCCTTTACATTTGGTAAAGAGTAGCAACTGTTCAAATAGGAAAACGTGCCGCTGGCATTTACGGCGTCCAGACAACAGAATGAGTTCACCACGGTGAAGCAATGTCCCTTGTTCAGACAGTTTCATCTGCAAAGGAACAGGAACATGCGTGAAACTAAGGTTGCCATTCCCTCCAGTTCTCAGAAGAGTGGGGAGATAGTTCCCCCAATTTTGCCCACCAGAATTTTTGTGTTTACTGTTAAGTATTTAGAGGTTTGCACAGTCCAAGAAGATAAAGAGTTTGGCAACAACACAGACCTTTGCAAGTGTCAGAAAAGATTAAACTGGTGGGTTTAGACAAGTGGCATAGAAGGAAACGGCACACGCACAGTAAGCAGCAGGAAAGATGCAGCACCATGTGATGGAAGCACCTTTGCACTCACCTCACAGCCTCGGATCTGCTCTATGGCCAGCAGATCTCTGCCTCGCTGCTTCTGTGCCTCCAGCAGCTGCTGGGCCTCCTGTAGGGCTTGGCGGTCAGGCCCCTGCTCGAGCTCACATTCATGTAGAAGTTCACCTAGGAAGCGCCGGTAGCGCTCCAGTTGTTCCAGAGGCACCTGCAAAGTGTATGCTATTTGTCCATCCTCGCGTGGCTCCATCAGACCTTTCTGCAGGAAGGAGAGGATAAAAGCAGAAGGCTAGAATGAAACACTAGAAACAAACCACTTGGGTATTACCTGTTATACCATCATTTCCTGGAAATCTCATAATCCAGATTTCTACAGTGAATGAAACTATACAAGTGTCTCAAAGTCAAGCTTTTTGGGGGATGGCAAGCAGGCTGTGCATCATCAAACTCTCAATGCAACTATAAATATGCCAACCTCAGGGACACCTGAGCTAATGAGTAAAAAGGGCCTCTTATGAATAGTAGCAGTTTCTTTAGCAGTTGAGCGATTCATCCGGCCTTTCAAGATAGAAAGGGAAATTCCATTTCTGTCTGCCACGTGGCCGCAGCTCATTTACCTTGCCAGTGCTTCGAAGCAAAGCCAGGGCAGCCTGGAACTTGTGGTGATCTTTGGCATAGATTGCATACAGTTGCAGCTCTTCTCTCTGAAGGTAGGAAAGAGAGAGAGAGACAGCGAGAGACAGAGACTCTCTCATTCATCAGTGGAGCAACAGTCAGGCAAATTCCAGGAAAACTGGCTATTGGAACAGAGCAAAATCATCTCTCTAGCTTGTGGGACAACGTATGCTTGTTTTTTCCCTTATTCCTTCTTTATAACAGGACAAATGTTACCTCCAAGAAAGCTCAAAACAAGGGCTGCCATCTCTTTCTCTCAGCCTTGCTGCTTTTGAATTCCATGCATTAATTATGAAATTAACATTCCTTAACAATTTATTTCCAGGCTAATTAACTCTTGTCCTGATAATTTGTATTATCAGACTTGTAAAGGCGCAGGAGAAAACATTTTAATAAGGTGATAGGTTCTTTGAAAAAAAAGAGGTCTTTTCATTAATGGAGAGAAGCAAAAACTTTGTAGCAGGCATGTAGGTGACGGTTTCCTGTAGTAGAACAAGAAAACAAAGAACATGGAGAACACAAGGCCAAGTATAATTCTGACAAAACAGAAGGGCAACACTTGAATTGAAAGAGACTTTCCCAAACAACTGACCAGAAAGAAAGGCAGTTTGGCCATTATTGTGCTTTCTGAATAGCCTTTAAAAAACAAAGATTAAAAACCCCAATTTTTTAAAAAAGGGAGGGAGCTTTTATTTAGCTTTTTAAAGATGGACAGCCCTGCACTTACTTCAAACCAGACGGATATATCTCCAGGAACAGTGGCTATTTATCCTGCTGCTATATTGAAGATTGAGGTGGTTTACTTTTATCAGTTTGAGATAATTTATCCTAGCAATTCCCTCTGGATATAGAAAGCAACCAAAGGTTGGAGCTACCATATCTTGGATACAAAAGATACGATAGCCACTACATGGCAGCAAAGAGAGTCTTCTGTACTTCTTTGCAACCATCTATTATAGTGATTGGAGCTTTGCAGCCCAGATCTGGTAGCCCTATCAAAAGGTTAAAGATGGAAGAAAAGGAAAAAAAAAAAAAAAACAGAGAAGGAAGACTTGAAGTTGAAAGAGCAATGAAAGTCAATGTGATATTGGCAAACTACTTATGTACATGTAGTTCTCGATTTACAAGAACTATAAAAAGTTAACTTTAAAAGTTATTAAGTGAGCTTTGCCCCATTTTATAACCTTTCTTGTCACAGCTGTTTAAGTGAACACTGCAGTTGTTAAATTAGTAACAGTTATTAAGTGTATCTGGCTTCCCCATTGATTTTGCTTGTCAGAAAGTTATGAAAGATGATCACACGATCCCAGGACACTGCAACCATCATAAATATGAACCAGTTGCCAAGCATCCAATTTTTTCTCATGTGATCATGGAGGATTTTGCAATGATCATGTGAAAAGCTGTCTTAAATCACATTTTTCAGTGCCACTGTAACTTCAAACTGTCACTAAATTAATGGTTGTAAGTCAAGGACTGTTAGGATTCATGCTCTACTCAAAGGAGATTTTACTATTACTAAAGACATGTATGGGCATTTTGAAAGCCAAGGTGATTCACTGGACTGGCACCAGATCCACCTTGAGCTACCAATGTTGATTGGGCGACTGGATGAATCACTCTCCTCAATCCAACCTACCACCAGTTTTTGTGGGAAAAATAGGAAGCAATACTATATTCCCCATTTTCAGCTCTTATATAAAGGGGAGATATAAATTAACAAATAAATATTGTTGATTTTTAAAAGATGTGCCCCATACACAAAAGCTATTGGGAAGCTATGCTCCCTAAATGTTGGTATCACACCGACAGACTCTAAGTTATAGTGGTGAGAAAAGGCAACTCTATATGCTCAGAGGAAATCTCTGCTTCACTGCTACTTCACATATGCCAGAACATTAAAAAAAAAAAAGCCTTTCAGAACCAAGAGATGGTCATGTGGTTAAGGAAACTTTGCCAGTGGATGGGTGAGAAAGGAAGGAAAGAAGGGGGTGGAATTCTGATACAGGAAATGGGTCCCAGCATGCAGCAGG